CTTGGACGAGATTGAGGTTGACCTCGAGAGAGCAACCGGCGGCGAGGCCACGGCGGAGGACCTTTCCTCCAAGCTCAGCCGTGTCGTTCAGCTTACGGGTTTCTCCGACCCTGTTTACGCCGAGGCTTACGTCAAGGTTCACCAGTTCGACATTGTTCTCGACGTCCTCCTGGTCAACCAGACCATGGAGACACTGCAGAACCTCTCCGTCGAGTTTGCTACCCTCGGTGATCTCAAGGTTGTCGAGAGGCCGACAACACAAAACCTGGGTCCCCACGACTTCCACAACGTCCAGTGCACTATCAAGGTTTCTTCCACGGATACCGGCGTCATCTTCGGCAACGTCGTCTACGATGGTGCCCACTCTACGGATACCAACGTTGTCATCCTGAACGACCTCCACGTCGACATCATGGACTACATCCAGCCCGCCACCTGCACCGAGACGCAGTTCCGCACAATGTGGACCGAGTTCGAGTGGGAGAACAAGGTCAACATCAACTCCAAGGCCAAGTCGCTGCGTGACTTCTTGGAGCAGCTGATGGCGGCCACAAACATGAACTGCCTGACTCCCGAGGCCAGTATGAAGGGCGACTGCCAGTTCTTGAGCGCCAACTTGTACGCTCGCAGCGTATTCGGTAAGTTGTGTGGCTTTCCCATATCATGTGTTCATTACTAACAAATTCATAGGTGAGGATGCGCTGGCCAACTTGAGCATCGAGAAGGAGGGCGAGGACGGACCCATCACCGGCTTCGTCAGAATAAGAAGCAGATCGCAAGGCCTGGCGCTGAGCTTGGGATCCCTCAAGGGACTCAACAAGATCGGCTCAGCGGCGTGAGGGTTGTAAGTGACGGATGTAGGTGCTATATATCGATACTGCAGTAGTCGCCCCGATGTCATGTTTGACAACCTCCCTCCCGGCTAATCTCCAGCCTGCGGGCGTAATGGGGTTGAAAGATCTAAAAAGGGAAGCAAGAGAGAAAGATGCGACCTGGGAAGGCGGGCTGGCTGGCTGGCGGTGCTGAATGGAAATGAAATATGAGGGGAGGGATTGAGTCCTTGTCTGTGTTTCCACCCCCCTTTGGCTCTCTCTCTCTCGCCCCTCCTCTTTTTGTGGTTAGAGTAAAAAGTGCAGCCGGGTCAGGCGTCATGAGTAGGTAGAAATGAGATGTTATTCATGTTCTAAGCATGTACAGGTCACCCAGGTGGCGTCATGGCGTGGGTATGATGAGTATGATGAAGAATCATGTCGTATTAAGTACGAAGCCAGAGGTGCGAACCCCTCAGAGCATATGCATACGTACATTCCGCTGGGTATGCCACAGTTTGGATGAGCCGAATCGTAATCACTAAACTAAGGAGAGCGTGTAATGCTCGTAATGGCTGACAAACAAACAAAGGCTTTTTCTTGTTGGCGGCAAACATCCTCCGCCGAAACGCCAAAGATTGCAGGAGTTGGATCGCGATGAAAAGGGGTATTATCCAGACTGAAACCAATAATAAACAAGAAGGGGGCGTTTGTGTATCCGTGTTGAAGCTGGAGAATTAAGAGTGCTGCGGTCGATGGCCATAGCCATGTGTGTAGGTGCCTTGCGGGTTTAAGGAACCCGTCTTTGTGGTGTTGGGAATGTACGGGAACGCTGAACAGGTCGCTTTGGTGTTTGGGGGCTATTTGACGGCTGGGTTGCCATTATTGATGAGGGTCGAAGTATGGTGAAGAATTCGTCCTCCAGGGTGGGCTCGGGGGGTGGAAGCTGAAGGCGTTTCTTCGTCGACGCACTAAGCGCCGCCTTTCCTGCCATCCTTCCCGGAAAAACTCCATATGCTCTTGAGACTATCTGTCAGAGACATAGGCATTGATTACCTGGCCCTGAGTCCAGCCCTGCTCCGTAAGAGGTAGATTTTCTTTGAGAAGCTTGCCCATAAAGGCTAGGCGTATTTTCTTCTTGGTTGGAGAGAGCTGGTAGACACGTTAGTCAAGGTGGTTGCAGGCCGCCGATATTCAAAATAATAGAGCTTACCCCTGCTTCGTTCAGTATCTTGCCGGTAATGGTTTTCACGGAGTCGGTTTTGGAGAAGCCAACTGTCACATCACGCCCATTTTCAGACAGACGAGCAAGAAGAGAAAGCTGGTCTCGAGCGTCAGCCACCGCCTTGCCCTTTTCCTCTCTCCGCCTTACATTCTCGTCTTCGTCGAGTTCCTCGGTGGTCTCTTCGCCGCCCGCCAGGTCATCCTTGAAGTCGCGTGTCGAGAGACCCTCGTCGTCGTCCGCGACGTCTATTGTCGTGTCGTCCTCGACAAGATTCGTGGGATTAGCTACCGCCCACTCGTTAAGCTGGTAATAGTTGCCAAGCTGATCGTAGGCACCTTGGGCTAGATCACCAGTGGGTAACGTAATATCCGCCGCATCAAGAATGCTCTGGGCAGTTGCAAGGCCGTTCGTCCCGTCGTCTGCTGCACCATGACTGGCGGGATCCCAGAGGACCTGCAGAGCGTAGTGAAGCGACTGCCATATCTCTGGACGTCCAGTGACGCGGGTTTCGAAGAAATCTTTGCGCTCGCGGTTGATGGCGGAACGGGTCCAAACACGGCTCTTGGAAGCCCAGACGTGGCGGCGAAGGGGCTTGTTGATGTGCCTGTCGAGAGGCAGGGTGGACTGACGGTGGCGGCGACCGCGGCTGGAGGCCTGTGTCGTGGAGGCGGCGGGGGAGTCGTCGCGCTCGTGGGCGGCGGCGGAAGTAGAGGCGTTGATTGCGCGGGCTGAGCCGGTGTTCGTCGGGCCTGGGTAGGGCGAGGTCGAGCCACTCTGGGATCTAGACATGCAGCAGCCCTACGAGGTTGTGATTAGTCTGATGTTTGAAGCAGCGGTCGTCCGTGGTGCAGTTGGACATTGCGCTTAGGCTTCGGAGTACGCTCCGAAGGCGACATGAGATTGAGGAGCAGCCTACCATCGTGACGGTGCCTCGGCGGCAGAGTGGAATTAGGTGTATGCGCGGGGTTTAGTTTTAGCAATGAGAGATGCGTCGGTCCATAGCCTGACGTATATGATGTGGCGCGGCCTGACTAGGACTGGATAACATGTACTGTTGGTCCAAGAAAGGTTGTCGCCAAACGAGAGCTTTGCGAAATGTAGCAGTTCCTCCCAAGACGACAAAGTGTGGAAGGGAGAAGACAGGATAAGAGGCGTAGAGTCGGGCGACAATCGTTGGAGGAGCCGGTGGTGGTGGTGGTGGTGGTGGTCTGGACCCTTGACGTGATGAGCTACTGCTGGTTGGCTGAAGAAGGCGGGTGCGCTGCGGATGTGTTGGTGCCGTTGGGGGAAGTGCGTATTTGGAAGTGATTGGAGCAGTAGCGAATGAAACGTCGACGAGATCGTTGGCGAGATGCACAGGTAGTGGTGGTGGTGGTGTGGGTGGTGTTGGCGTTTGGTGGTGGTGGAAGTGCCTCCCCTGTGGTGGTGATCGGGAGGAGGAAACCGACGAGAGAGAGGTGAAGGATGACGAGTAGAAGGTGGGATGGTGACGAAGCAGTAACTTCTTCCCTATTGCGGTGCGACGTGCGACAGCGACGACGGCAGCAACAGTAGTGACAGCGGGAAGGAATCCAGCACTGAGGTGGTTGCAGTTCCTCCCCCGGAATAGGATCTCGGCTAGCAGGGGGGTCGCGAGCTAGCGTCACCTAAATTTTGCTTGTTTCCGCTGAAAGTCTGGCAAATACTGAGAGTCTGGGCCGTGACCGAGGCTCCAATTCCCTTTCCAGTTCTCTTCTATGTCGGAGCCGTATTATTTGATTGCTGTTGGTTGCAGACATGCACCGAACCAGACCATTCATGGCTGTCAGTAATTACCCGTTTGCACGTGGGATTTTCCTCGTGCTCAGGAACGCCCGAGACAATGCGCAAAGAACACAATCGATGGAGAGACAATGGAACGGCCCAGGCACCGCCAGATCTGATCGTCTCCGAACGCTCTTCCTTTCTTCTTATCTCGTTGTGTTTTTTTTTTCTTCCTTCTCTCCAATTTTGTTTTCTAGCTTAGCTTGGAGGTTGGTCACAAGCGTCTTGGCAAGGGGCCCGTTACACCTGTCGACACAGGGTCCCCCAGCAAGCTCAGCCCAGTCCCCTCATTTTTATGCCGGCGAACCCCTCCGTGGTGGTGCCTCCAGCGATGCTTTCCAGCGGTTCAGAGTGCTGGAGTGGTCCGTCGGGCGGTAAGGTTGCTGAGCCACGATGCATCTTACGGCGCCTGACACAGACAACCGGAGGATGACGACGAGAGCGTGATGCGATGAAAAATATATTTTCCTCCTGAAGCCGGCAACCGTCTCAACGTTAACGGTTGGGCTTGCGCTCTGCGCTCTGCGCTGCCAACTCAATTCCATAACCAAACCAACACGGCCCAGGAATGGAGCTGCCTGTCTCAAACGAACCCTTCCGCCCCATTGAGACGCCGTGCCGAGTTTCCATTAGTCTTATTAAGCTGGGCCGGGGCTCTCCGTTACTAACGCAATTCAGATCTCTCCCTTTTCAAGATTAGATCTTGCGTCTTTCAGCGAGGCGACGACTTGCTCATCTGGCCTGTTATGCAACCGTGTGCTAAATCGTCGAGTTTTGCGGAATCGGCCGTTTTCCAAGCCAGGTGATCCTCACAAACCCGACTTCTCCGGCTTCTTCAGACGAACTGTTCGCCCTGAGTCGTCATCCATGCCTCAATACACGGCCGTGGATCCGTCACGCACCGGCGCCTCCGTATCCTGCCGTTCACCCGTTTCGCCCGTGGTTCCTTGACGCCCACCCTTGTCCGTTGCGGACCCATTGGGCCCAGTGTTCCCATTGTCGGTCCATCGACGTTAATGACGTCGAGATGGTCTTCCGAGACAAACATCCCAGCATGCCGAGACAGCTCATAACCTTTGGCCAAGCAAGCATCGCCGCCAAGTCGATGTAACGTCCAGCTAGACCGGTCCCAAAACTCAACTGCATCAGATCATTTGACATCTCTACCACAAGAATCCACGGCAGTTCTTGCTGCCACAGAGACACGGCGTCATGTCGCCCTGTTTGGACTTATCCTTCGCGTCGTTATCTTCGTCGGATACGCCGTCAACATAGTCGAACGTCAATTCTTCTCCAGCAGGAATATCTCTGAGGGCGAAGAGGCCGATATCGTGCATGTGCTTGTCTGCGTGGTCGCCCACGCGGGCAAAGATGCGGAGGTTCGGCTCGCACGAATGATTGATGAACCGGGTCGGCCCCGCCATGAACTCGCCATCGATCTCGAGCGGCGGGCCCTGTAGGCGGGGATCCGGGGAGTCGGGGTCGGTGAACTTGTCGAGGGCGAAGAGGTACACGTCTTTGCGTTGTGAAATGCTCGATTCCTTACGACGGCGCTGGGCTTCCTCTGGCGTCAGGATCTCGCCAATGTACCTGTCCACGAACTGGCCTCGCTTGATGTCAACTAGTGAACGCACGCCTGGCACTCAGCCGTCAGTTTCTGTTCTCCAGAGGATGTCAGCGACAGTTACGACTCACCCCATCCCCTCTGGGTTGTGCGGAAAATCTGCAGGGGCACCTTCCTGCCTCTCTCGACGACGCGGTTCGGGCAGCCGTCCGTGCAAGCGCAACCCTCGTGGCATTCGTAGATCGGCCTCTTGGAATGCTTCAGGAAATGGGATCGCAGCAGTCCCGCCTTGGAGCCGTGCATGTGGTACATGTACACTTTCTTCCTCGCGGTGCCCTCGTCGTCCGAGTCATCCTCTTGTTCCTGGAGGCACAGACAGCCTCGGTACTGGCACTCTTCGTCGTCGCGGCATTCGCAGCCTGAGCGGAAACTATCCTCGGCCGCCTCGACGCCGTGTCCGAGCTTCGACTCTTGGAGGAAGCGGAAGGTGGAGGGGATGACGGCGTCGTCTTCTTCATTAACGATCGTGATCGGGGCTTCTTTGTTATTGGGAAATCGGCGGATTTGGCACCAGTGGCAGTTTTCCTTTTCGCGCTCGAGGGCCTGTTGCAAGAGGAAGTCAGTCTTCAGTCTGGGTATTCGGTCAGTGGTCAAGGTCTTACCCGTGCAGACGACTTGCTTGTCGACTCTGTGGCGCCATGGTAGAAGAAATGGCGCTCTGTGGCCGCCTCCATATTGTCGCAGTTCTGGCTATGGATCGAAGAGGCTACAGTAAGGCATGCTACTGGCGAATTGGTAGAGCTCTTGACGGAATGCTGTCTTGAAGCTGTCAAGCCGCGGGGCAATTGGCCAACCACTTTACGCGAAGCGACGCGTCGGCGACGGAAGCTGCTGCTGACTAAGGATTGGAGCGAAGTGGGGTAGCTGTACCTAGCTTCCTCACCTTGGACACCGAGAGGTACCTAGCTCGGTCAGCTTTCATCACACTGACAACGATTCCGAGGACAATCTTGACAATCCAGCATGAGATTCGCAAATCCTTCTCGAGTGCAGTCGCCATCTTTTTGGAACGTCTTCGAGATACGAATACAACAAGGGACCCAAAGATGAAGACATGCGCAATTACGGGAATTTTGAAGCGATTTCCTAATTTTCGGACCTCCCAAATCCCGGTTACGATGGCATTTGATGCTAAACACGCCTCTTCACTTCCACGACATCCGACTAGATCCTACGCCCGTTCTTGCACTCAGGCTTGAAGGTCGATCCAAGCTCACCCCACTTGATGTTGCTAAAGGTCACAACCGGGTTCGGCTCCGTCTTGACAATGTTGGCCGGGAACCCCTCCGTCTCATCACATGGCCCCGCCTCCGGCGCTCCGTCCAGCCAGCGCATGCCGCCGCCCTCGTCCCACCAGATACTGAACGCCAGCACCATGCCTCTGTCAAACGAATCGCCCATCTCCTTGTGCCCCCCGAGACCGATGAACTTCCGCGAGCCAGTGGCCTCGCAGAACTCGTCGTTGAGGTAGTTCACCTGCGGCAGGTCCGGATTGTTGACCGTTTCGCTGCGGATGACGTGCCCGTCTTGGACGTACAGCCGATGAATCTCGGTGAGCTCGCCGGCCGCGTTGGCAGGGAACTGCGTGACCACCGTAAAGGGACGGGTGGTGTCAACCGAGAAGTTGGCGCCGCGGCCGTATTCTTGCGGGTTGTTGTTACGGTACGGGTTCCACGCACATCCGTTCTTGTCGCAGACACCCTCGAAAGCGCAATCTTCACCTTCGCAGAGGTAGACGCCGGTCTGGTTGCAAGGGTGCGGGGCGATATGGTTCGCGCGGGAGTTGGCTTCCCAGATGTCCTGGACAATAAGTGTCAGCCATCACAAGACATCAGCGTGGATGGTGAATGAAAGTCTCACCATTTCATTACAGCACGCTCCGTAACCCTCGAGGTTTCCCTCTCCGTTGATAAACGGCGTTGTGTAGCACTGCGCATCGCAGTACCCGGTTCCGTGGGTTGCGCCGCCTGGGTTGAGTTCGCTGCGTCCGCCATCGGCGTACATCTCTGAAAGATACAGCGCGCTGTTCATGCCACACGGCAACCGCGTGGCGTCGACATCGAACGTGAACTCCATACCCGTCAGGTGCATCATCTCGTACTTGTCCTTGGACGGCTCGAGGAGGTACACACGCGGCGAGACCAGGCTGCCGTCACGGAGCTGGTACATGGTCATTGCGGCGCCCTCAGTGGTGACGCCGACGCGGGAGTAGTCATCGAGGCCCTCTTGGACGCAGTTCTCCGCACAGGCTTCCTTGGTGGGACATGCCGTCTCGTTGGGGGCGCTTCCCCATGAGCCGCAAGAGCCCCCGTTGGCCGCCTGGTAGACGTTGTGGGCGAGGGAGTCGAGGACGACGAAGTTCTTAACTTCGGTGCAGCCCCCGGCTTTGGTGCACCGCCAAGTTGTCAGAGAGGGGTGGTTTTCCTCAGGGCCGATCTGACGTTGGGCGGATGCCAGGCCGAGGAGGAGGGTGGCCAGGCCCAGACTGGAAATTGTCGGAGACATATTGACGATACAGTCGTAATCCGTCAATCAATGGCTGGATAGACCCGGTCACAGAGATTGACGATTGCGCCTGGGCTCACGGGAGCATCGCGATATGGCGATTGCGTGCGAAGTCGGGGATTCATATACGTCGATGGAAGGAACGCATTTCTCCCATACCCTGCCGCCATTACCTCCTCCGGAATGCCAACTTCTTCTCAGACCTCACATGAACACATGCGCCTTCAGTCCTATTCGGATTCAAGGAGGCTAACACTCCGAAATCTGCGCGGGGGTGATCGAGAGGTTTGCCGTGATGAAAGCACGGGGTTTGAACCAAACACGGTGCCAAGTAAACTCGAAACGGCCTTAGCTCGCTTTAGAGACGGCAGAACAGCAGAGGAAGAAGGCCATCGTGAGCGACGAGCGGCTTCACGGTATGTCGGGCCAGGAACCGCATCGCGGGAGATCTTGGCTCCTGGTTCAATGCAACGCTGCCCTCCTCTACGGTCCTAGTGCGGATGAACCTGCATGGCGCGTGGCTCGTCGGTCCAGTAAGCGTTTTGGTTTGTGCAGCCATCAGCAGCCGACGCCCACGTTCCTGGCAGGAGATGCGAGCGCAGCCATCTAGACCTTTCGCCGTTTTGTGACTTGGGCTCATCTGGACGGGTGATGTTGGAGGTGAAGCGAGGAGTGAAGAGTTGGTCGCGAATATCCTGGTCGAGTTCCCCAGTTCTCCGCATGAAGCTATGCCAGGGGCAGAGCCGGGGGACGGTGATCCGATCCATGGAACCAACGGCCACTACAGGCGGGCAAGAATTGGCGAGGAGTGAAAGGAGCAGTATCTCCCGATGGGATATTGGGATGGACATTTGACCAGCTTTCGTTGCGCCGTCGCGTTCAATGGCACCTCGGTGGACCTCTTTCACTGAGCGCAACATCTATCCACATTTGATGAGGGACTATGACTTTTGAACTTGCAGTCAATATAGTTGACTGCGACTCAAAAGCACGTAACGATGTATTGTCTCGTCAGAGGCAGTAATAGATGTTTGCAGACTGGTAGATCTGTTGTCTGGCACAGCATTAATCTCATTTCGCATACACAGCCCACCCACCAGCCGCTCACACTATCCAGTTGACTGGTCTTGAGCCACACTCAAACTGAACAGCGCCAGACGCGGAAGAATTCATCGCAATTTCCGTCGCCCTAGCCTTCGCCTTCAAGCCGCAGCACATCTGCAGTTACTCAATAATCCAATTCTCCCGCCTTCGCCCGGCTGGGCATCACCGCACACAAATGCTCTTACAGACCTCAGACCACCGCCCACTTGACCTCATATTGAAGTGGCGCTGCATGCCAAGTTGTCAGCGCCGGATCTCAGCGGATTGATTAAACTTGCACGTCGCTGCAAGGCACATTTTCTTTTGACCTTGCTCATTCGCTCCCCAATCTCAGCTCGCATCCGCGGGCTCCGCATCAGTAACTCGTCTAAATCACTTGATCCGAAAGGCCCGGCGCTGTATAGACCAATGCCGACACCGTCCAAACAGACGAATAATGGCAAGTCGGCACGCGCGATCCCCTGGGATGATCCTTCGTCAAATATTTTCCTATTGCAACTCTTATAGTTTAATCCCTTGCGAAGTTGCGACGAACGGTTGTTATTGACAAAACCGAGGTCCAAGACCTCATCAACATGAAGCAGCCGTCCCTGCCCCTCAATATGGAAAGCTCCTTGGCAGATCGGACCTCGCGATAACTTCACAACGCTGACTCGCTTCCCGCTGACGCCGACACCGATGCAACACACCATTCACCAATAATTCACCTCCCGAGCGGTACTAGCAGCCCCTACCGCTTGCCCCCCACAATTACTGCCAGTTGCTCTTGATGACATCCACAATAACGCCGTGATCCTCGTCCTGCTTCAACCCGCTGACGACAACCACGGCGACGACGCCCTCGACACCCTGGACGCGGATGGGCACGCCGCCGCCGTGGATGGCGTACTTGCCCGCCTGCTCCGTGCTCATGCCGAAGCGCGCGGCGAAGGCGGCCTCGTCGCCGGCGAACTTATTGTGCAGGAGCCAGGTGCTCGCGCCCCAGCGGAGCACGCTGGCGCGCTTGCGCTGCACCCAGGTCTCGTTGTCCGGGAGGGAGCCGGAGCCGACGGCGGTCTGGAAGAGGACCTGGCCGCCGCTGTTGGCGAGGGCGATGGAGACGACGGTGGGCTTGCCGGCGGCGGCGAAGGGGAGAAGGCGGGCGTAGAGGAGGTGGCCGAGCTCGAAGGCGTCTTCGGAGGTGAAGGATGAGAGGGTGAAGGAGTCGCCGTCTTGCTTTAGTGCATCAACCTAGTTTTGTTAGTGAATTTCACGAGTGACATAGATAATGATAATATTGTGTGGCAGCATGGAAGGGGATTTTGATTTAGGCATGATCAGAAGGGGATGGAAATAGGTCAATTGAAACCAATGAGAAGGGAAAGGGATCTGATTCGGGATACGACTGGGACATATTCGGACACAGAGGTAACGGCATGGTACGGGAGTGACGTGTGGTCGGGACTACGTTCATGATGGGCAAATGGGTCGATAGGGAAGAAACAATTCAAAGGGTGGAGGTGCTAGTTCAGGATGGCAGTGGGTGGAATGAAGTCAAAGTAATGGAATATTAGATCAAGCAAGGATACAAGGGAAGTTTAAATACTGAAAGAAAACAGGTTCGGAGCAACACTTACATCGGACGGCGGCGATGGAATCGGATTCGGAGCGGCGGGGTTCCGGACGGCCTCGAGGGACTTCTCCAAGCCGAAGCCTGCGGGGTTCCGACGGGTCCAGACCTTCTGAGACATGCTTGCCGGTGTCGGTTGCGCTTGGGTGCTCGCTCGGAGTGTGTACGAATTGGATGCGAGTTCACTTCTTTCGGGCGATGATTCCACGGAGATGCCTGGAGTCGAGGAAGAAGGTGAGTCGTCTTTCATCTGTCTTCTCAGTCAGTCGTCTCTTCCTCGTCACGGCGGCGACGGACGTATTTAAAATCCCCACCGTCGCCCAAGATGTGATGTGGTTCGCCCCCTCTCCGCTGATGCAAAAGCCCACTTGGTGTCCCAGAATCCGGGCCATTTCTTCCAACTGTTACAATTACCGCATCAAGGAAAGCGCGCCGCCAAAACGTACCGAGTCCGGGATCTCCTCCTGCGCGCCGCGCTGCACCTCGGCGGGTGTCCTCACCACCGGCGGTCGTGCGTGTGCGCTTGTTGGCGTCGCGACTTTGCGCACACCGGAGGATCGCACCTTTCCTGCGCCCTTGTTACTATATCTGTAGAGACCCCATTCTCGAAGCCGCCTCTGGAACGTTTTCTGGTTCACTTCAACACCTTTCGCGGCGAGAGACTTGATGATGCTCTCGTTCGTCTCGCGACGGTTCCAGGCCTCAGTGATCTCGCCCTTGAAGGGTTCGAGGTCGAATTTGGGGCGTCCTGGAGGCATCTGGGGTACCCGTGTTCCATTTGCGAAGGACTTGAAAGGTTGCGCGCTGATTCGCCTGAATGACCTGGTCCAGGCTTAGCATAACCTCGAGAGGGAACGCCGGTCAATGAGAATGTCGATGCAATGGTGAGCGTGTTCGGTGTTCGCTCTTGGCCGGGCGCGACTGGTTTCAACGGCGGTGGAGCTACCCCTCAGGCGTGGATCCACCCGGCAACGGCCGACATGCCCCGTACCAAAATCGCCGAGACTCCCCGGTGCGACGGCCACGTCAGATCCGGATGAAGTCTCACTCCCGGGGGCGGCAAATTATGCATTACGTTCCTTGAGTCATCATTTTTTTCCGCCTTTCACAACTTTTTGTGCCCAAACAGGAGGAGAAGAAACAATCGCGGATGGGAAAGGATATCTCTTTTCGTTTTCGTAACTTTGAATTTAAGATAGATTATCATTCTGAGAATAATAATTGCGGAACCGTAGAACATTGATTGACACCAAAACCGTAAGTGTATGAAGATGGACTTAAGCAGAACACTGGTATGGCCGTCTTGTACTGCTTTGAAAATTCGCCGTCGTCTTTCTATTCAGTGGGTTGTGGTAACGAGGTTCTGTTTTGAGGATGTCTTTCCAATTCGTTGTCAATTCTTTTCTAACGAACAAATTGTGACTACAAATGCGCTACCGCTACTTCAAACCTCGGGAGGCTTCTTAATAAGACTTTAGCCCGCCATTCTTATTACCACAAAATGCATTTTCGAGGAAGTCATCCAATATGTGACCATAAAGACTGCATGAAAAGGTTCACAGGTAGGCGCTGTCAAGACACTAGGATCAAGACACTAGGATGGTCGCTCTCTCTGGATCTCTGAACGACACCTAAGGAATGACCAACAAAGGTTTTTGGGGTCAACCTGTTCTATTGGGACCAAACGGGTTTCTCTAGAGGGGCAAGTATGGTCACATCTTTTTGCTATTCGACATATCTCTGAATTGACCTTCCAAGAGTCTGAGCAGATCATACGACCACGGAGACGTCTCTACGGCGCCAATGTCAGTGAATCTGCCGTGCAACTTGTGTTTAAACAAAACTCGACACAAGTCGCAACTAATTGTCCCTTCTATCCTAAGAAAACAGGGCAGGTCAGAGGAGTATCACCGAAAAGAAGAGTATTCGGTTATGTTTCAGAGGACAGAGACTGGCCATGCAACAGTTTCGAGCAACAGACTTCAGATATCAAACGCGACCAACAGTTGTGACCAGTCCGTTGCAAATTTCAGCACAGAGCGGGCAGCGTCTCAACCCCGACAAAAGGCGTGCTTACGTCTGATGGCTAAACAAGCGGTCAGCCCTCTTCTATCGTGAGCCATTTGTTGTTGTCTCCTCCGCACCGGACCTGTGGAGAGTCTTGATAGATTGATGTTACATGTGCGTAAAGAGCCTTTGCCGATCTTTTCCCACATCTAGTTGTCAGACTCAAGCCGGTAGTATTTGTAGAGTCCCGTGCCACTTCATATCAAGCCGTCATACGACCTCTCCCAACTTGGGCAACCGGCCGATGGACGATACTAACATCATATATTGGTCATGGAAGAGGTCGTCTTGAGGGTCGGACTTGCTCCATAAGCCAAGTCACCTGGGGTCCAATTCGCAAGAAATCTCGGCGGCTCAAAACACCTTAAAACTTTCGGATGGTCGTGCCGATAAGGCTCAGGATCGCTACCAGCAAAATGCATAAACGTGAACATGGGGACTATTTTCTGTACATGATGCGGAGATTTCAAGCTCTTTTAGGCAGTTGATTTCGACTTGATGTTCGAATGTGGTAGCCTTCGGGTTCCGCACTTGACATCGTCCGCCACATTCCGTGAGTTGAGCACTCTACCTGTGACAACAGACAGAGGGCTATCCCTGGTTGTCGTCGAAGGCAAAAGTCGGATGAAAAGGTACGAAAGTTAAAGTTTGCTGGCTACAATTGAGTTGAACATCAACAATTCCGGCGATGACAAAGACATTGGACAGCTCGGCAACTTCTCCGTTGACGATCTTGAGAGCTGTTGTGGGCCTGTCGCAACAACTCAACATCGAGTCCTTTCGGATGATGGCCGGTTGGCCCAATGGCAAGGCGTCTGACTACGATCCACCGTGGAATCAGGAGATTCTGGGTTCGACCCCCAGGCTGGTCAAGTTCAATTTTTGCTGTTCGGAGCGTTGGACTTCGAGTTGTGCTTGACGCCATAGTGATGCTTAGGGCACAATTTTTTGATGCCTCCACGGGAGTTAAGGTACCCACATGACCGTTTGGCCTATTGTGGGCCGCAGCACGGTTCGTTGGTTGTTCCTTGAGTCGAAGGAAAAGCTTGCGTTCACCGTATCGTAAGGATGCAACGGCGGGAGTTGCGCAAGGAGGCTCAGTAGACAATAGGCGAAGTTCCGACGCGTTAACGTTTGTACGCGGCCGTTGCATTGGGCCTACGCGTGCCTGGCAGCGTGCGTCACTGGGGATCCGTGACCATCGAATCAGACCGGCGTCTGTCTACTGATCGAGTGCGAGAACGAGCATATTTCATCGTGATAAGATTCTGGGGAACTGACGGCTCGAAGCCAAGGGATGCTCGTATCCCGTCGGCACAGCCGCCCCGTCGGCGGCCGTGAGAGGCCGGCATCGCCGTGGGCCCCTGGTCGGCACGGTCGGCTTGTGGGAGACGTCTTGGCTGCCAACATACCCAGGGCTTGACATCCAGGGATGATGACCAGGGCGTCATCTGTGGCTTGGCCCGCTTCGGGACATCGGTCGACTGCAATCGTGAGCAAATTCCCGAGGCGCACTTGGACGGCAAAACCACACCACGTCACAGCGCCGATTCGCGATGTTCTCGCGGGTTTCTTTATGTACGGGTGTGCAAGGCACGACGGCAGACGCTTCAATATAAGAGAGACGATCACCAACCAGCGCATAAAGTAAAATCAAACTTTAATAACCGGCAAGTGGAACCACTCACTGCCATCAATCCATGACAAGAACCAATCTCCTCTTGGTGCCTGACTCGTATCTTGACCAGGGTTCTGGTTTCAACCGGGAGTCGGGGATCATGCAGGCCCCCACACATTTTGGAATTTCCCCTGGCTAACAAGCCACAGGAGACTGCGATCACGACAGACGTCAACGGAACGCGGATGAGCCAGGTTGGTCCCTCCGGTCACTGGGTCAAAAGTGCCCCTAATCCCGCACTGGCCGACTCTCCGGGTCTTCTCCCCTTTGGGCTGAGAGGAGAACTGGAGGTTCAAGGATCTTTATCAATACACGTACGGATACCTGGTGCTGGCCAAGTGAACCGTGCCATCTCCAGTCCGGCAGCAGAGGGAAAGACGTTGGTCCCTTTTCAAGTAGTGTAGTCCCCGTGCCCCCTCCTCCACACTGCCTACCTAAAACTCTTTCTTCGTCCCATATCGTCAGTCGACCTGAACAGCACAGCCATCCCGCCGGTAAACGTGTCACGAGAAGATCATATTCAAGGGAAACATCCAATGTTGGGAAGAGACTTGGTCAAGGCGTCGTCGTCCTGCTAGAGAAACAAACAAAGGTTTTCGGCGCGCCGTGCGTCGAATAAAGCGACCGAAAATGGCCTCGAGGCATCGAACCCGAATCCTACCGCCATCGTCACTCCTCATCTCATACCTCGCGTCAACAGCTCAGGCCGCATTCACCAATGACTTCTCCGCGTATCCTTCGTCAGCGCGAGCATGTCTCTACAAGGCGGCAGACGCGTCCGGTTGCACAGGTGACACGGTGGCCGAAATGAACCACTGTCTCTGCGGGAATGGAGGAAATTTCGTGACATCGACCGCGTCATGTGTCGCCGAGACGGATCACGACGAGCTGGATGATGTTTACGAGATGCTTTTGACGTCCTGCACAGACTCGAAGACGCCATTGGGTGTCTCACAGGCAGAGTTTCTCTCGACCGGCAGCTCCAGTTCGTCATCTTCATCAACAATGAGCTCAACATCTACGACTTCATCAAGTTCATCAACGACATCATACATTCCATTAACGACATACAAGAGCGTAGCGAACGGAGTGACGGTAACGGTTACGAAGGGGATTGAATCGGTACCGACCGGGACGAATGTTGGAAAGGGGAGCAGCAGCAGCGACACGTCGGACTCGAGCTCGGGTGATGGGCCTGGTCACACCGCCCTGGCGGCTGGTCTCGTTGGAGGAATCGCAATTGTTCTGGCCATTCTGGCATTCCTTTGCTACCGCAAGAGGAAACAGAAGCAGCAGCGTGAGGCGGGTGCCGGACCCGGTGGGAAGTTCGCGGCCTTGTCCAGCGCGACAAGCCTTACGACCATGAGCTCGCCTCCTCAAAACAATGCAACTGCTGCAGCAACGACTCAGTACCACAACGTCAACGATCAACGACCCGGTACCGCCGGCACAATGCAGATTGCCGCCACTCCAGGATGGCATCAACACGAACACCAACAACAATATCAACAGGGAAATCTTAGCCCGCAACACTGGCAGCAGCAAAACACACACGGCCAAGGTTCAGGATCATGGCCATCGCCCGTATCGAATGGAGCAACAGGCACTTGGGGAGGACACGGAGTGTCACCCGTCTCCCAATATCCTCCCGGCACGTCCCATGGATCATCGCCGCCAATGCAGAACGGAACCTGGAACGGCCAGTCTTCGACCGCGAGAGACCTCACCTGGAATGCCCAAGCCCAGAACAACACCTGGAACCCCCAAACATCACCACCAAACGGAACATGGAACGCGCAAGCGATGCCTGTTCCTGTTCCCGCCCCTATGCCCCATCCCTCCAACTCAGCAACATCTCCCGTCTTCGAACTTCCCGGAGACAACATGCAAGCCGTTGAGGCAGACTCTACACCGATCGGTCCCGCCCAGCCGGCACCAACACAGCAACATCACAATCATTACCAACACTACGCACAACCATCATCATCAATACAAAACACGCCACAAATGGCAACCGCACATCCAGCACAACCTGCACCTGCGCATCACGGTATGAATAGGCAGGTGGACGATGCACTGCAAATATCACAAGTAGAATTACCGCCGCCACGGTACACGGGACCATCAAGCCCAGATTGGGTCAGCGAGGACAAGAAGTTCGGATGATGGGGAAAAATCTCTTGGCGAGATAGCTTTTCAGCATAATGATATTTTATTAATCCTTGTAATGCTAGACTTCAGGCATCACTGCCGTCATGATGCCTAAGACAAAATTTACAACATTTCATCACTAAGCAAAGCGGATTCATCAAGTTCACCCTGTGGCCAAGTGTTGTCACGTCTCAGTTGCTCTCCTGATGTCGCAGATGCTGACTTCCACCGAGGCAGTGTTTGGCTCGACTCCACGATCGTCACTTTTCGCTCCATGTTGGACATCCTGTTCGTCCTGGCTGTCGCCGTCGGCTGAATTTCCTTGTCTGCCTTGTGTGCACGAGCCCAGTGAACCCTGGTCCGATGCAAATCATATAATTATCAGTATTTGCCAATTACGGATGCACATTTCCAGTCCCTCACGGCTGAGGCTCAATAACGGCCGGGTCCATTCAGGGGCCGGGCAACCATGGCGGGGCGGTGGGAGATGCTCGTGCCACTTGTCACACAGTGAACCCAGCCTCATCGCGACGATCTCTAGATCCCACCGTTTATTACGGGGAGCAATCCAATATTTGGCGCCAAGCACTCGTTTACGGAGATAACATCAGCCCAAGGTGGCCGGAGAAGGCTCTGAAGGCTGAAGATCTATGGATAGGGCGCATTCCGAACTTTGACCGCTGCAGAGTAATTAAGAAGGTATGGAGTAATGCTGCTGACAGCGAATGTAAAAAAAATAAAAAATAAAAAAAAGGTCGCGATTCAATGGCAATAAAGGCAAAAAATGTCCTCGGAGAGGCTCGAACTCTCGACCTTTGGATGTCCCTGCCTTCAGACAGAGTCATATTGAATAGTATGAGACCAACGCTCTACCGACTGAGCCACGAAGACAATTGATTGGTGGATGCTGTCATAGAGTGTCCTAAGACTGGATGGGTCTCTGACTCATTGTTGGTGGAGAACCACGGGGAGCCTCACCGACGTCTGTTTGGTCAGTGGCGTATGAAAAGCGTTGAATGTGAAAGATTCAGTTTGGGGAAAGGTAGAGGTTTGCAATGGAGGATGTGAGACAAACCCTTCGACATGCGGTCGGGGTCGGGGTTGCTAGCGTCATCCCGCCCCAAGACCGATTGAGCAAGTCGGAAGACGAAAAAGACGCGGGTGCCGCGACTAGCAACAGGCTCGCTCTTGGTGTTAAAAAGAACTTGATGACTGTGCTTTGAGTCTGATATCACGGGCCTCAAAAGTTGTCGCGATGGGTGCTAGGCGAGGCAGCCCTACGGCCACAACGTGTCTCTCACAGACAGCCTCTAATGCTCCCGTTGGCAAGACATCTGTCCCTTTTCATCGCGAAAGAGGCCTCTTGTCAGCCTTACCCAGCCACAGAATGCGGGTTTCGTGTTCCATACGCGCGTCTTCAAGACGCTAGCGAATCCTTTGGTGGTGATTGGACCGGTCCTCTGGGGCTGAGCTGCATGAGAGCGGCGCAGAAATCCTGCCTGTATTGAGGGAAAGTCCCCAATCACGTCCGAGTCGGGTCATCATTCCACCACCACACAATAGATCACCAGAGGAGTCGGGTACCCTTGTCTTTGGATTTAACCATAAATCACCTCCGACGACCGAGCGAGGTGCCAAGCCCCATATTTGGGAAAATATCCATTATCGATTGAACCGGGAGTGCTGGCCGACGACGCAATCAATCATGGCGATGTCCGGTTTCTCTACCACGGCGGTGACGTCCAGCTGTGACGACATCTCCCATCGGTCCCTTTCAACATCTGCGGAGCTTGATACCCTTCTCAAAGGCATCGATCCGGGAAGCATAGCTGCCCAGCATCTGATTTCGCTGTCTGCGAAACTCGACCAGTTCAAGCAGACCACGGAGCAGCTGCGGCAATCGCTGACCGATGCCCCGGCCATATCGCCGGGGCTCCGAAATGCCATGTCCATCTCCATTCAGCCATGCGCCGATGGTGCAGCGATTGTCGACAAGCAGATTCGGAGACTCGATCCGGGGAACGTAACCGGTATCAACCCAGATGTCGTTATCCAGTACGAGAACTATCACGCGACGAACACCCGCCTGTTCACCCAGTTCATCCAGGTGCTTCTTATGTGAGTCTGTGACGTTGCTCGTTCATAATTATGGCGCTAAGACTGTTGAAGACCTACCGTGAACGAGCAGGACTCTCAGCTCTCGGCCCCCGACGGCCACCGGCTGTTGGAGAACGCCGTGGAAGCTTCTCAGATTGTTCTCACCCGTAGTGACATACTTGACAACTCCGGTGAAGCAGGCCAGTCGGTGACGGATGCAAGAATGCCTGGGGAAGAGGTTGTTGGCGTACAAGCAGACGAGCTGCCCCCAGACTACGGGTCTGGGAAGCCAGATAAGGGGAAGAAGAAGGCCGCTGGCCACTTCTTGTCTTCGCTGTCAAACTCTTTCAAAGCCATGACTGCCGGTCTGCGACCAAAGCCCGAGCCAATGGTCATTGCCATATGTCAAGCTGCCAAGGATGGTGATATGGGACATCTCAAAGGCTTTGTTTCGCAAGGAGTCAACATAAATGGCCAGAACGATGAAGGATACACACCACTCATCTGTGCCATTCGCGCCAATCATCTGACAGCAGTCAAATTTCTAATCTCGGCCGGGGCTGATAAATCTTCGAAAGACTCGGCCAGCGGCAAGCGAAAGCCGCCCCTATTCCACGCGGCTGAGTGCGGGCTCGTACCTATTGCAGAGTATCTCATTAGCCAAGGCGCAGACCTGAAGGAGCGATCTTGGTCGGGTCAGGCCTTCTTCATCGAGGTTGCCAACAGCGATCAACTAGACATCATCAGACTGTTTCTGTCTCGTGGTTGCGATGCCAACATGATGGCTATTAGTGGTCGGAGTATCTTCGTCCATGCTGTTCAGAAAGGAAGCCTTGCTCACATGAAGCTTCTCCAAGAGTACGGTGCCGATGTCAATGCTCGAGACATCACGGGCCAACCAAGCTTGCACATGGCGTTAGGTCAGAACCGTCTAGACATTGTTGCATGGCTTCTCGAGCATGGCGCCAACCCGAACGTTACCAACATAACCGGCGACACAATGATCGTATCAGCGCTTCACAAGAAGAACTACGAGTTGGTTAAAATCCTCCTCACTCGAGGTGCCGATCCGAACGCAACGGGTCTGATGGGAAAAGGCATCCTATGGACCATGTTGCAGAGTAAGGACATGGAAGATGGCATCAAAGCAGACCTTGTTAGCGCCCTGCTTGATAGAGGAGCCGACCCGAACCAGACCGACAACTGGGGAGAATCCATCATGTCATTGGTTGTGACGCTCGGCAACACGGACTTACTTCGCACATTCTTGGCTCACGGGGGAAACCCGAATAAGAAAATCAAGGACGACACATTTCTCCTTTACGCCATCGATCGGGGTCGATTCGAACACGTCAAGATGCTGCTCAAACACGGCGCTGACGTGAACGGAGCGGACAACAAGGGTAGAGTACCGCTATTGGAGGCTCTGCAAATGGACAATCAGCCGTTGGTGGAGGTCTTACTCCAGTTTGGTGCTGATCCAAACAAAATGGGGCAGATCAGGCCGTTGGTGTTGGCAAAGCTCGTGGGAAACCGGGAAGTCGTACAGATGTTGACCGAGAGAGGAGCTGAAGGCCCGAAAAGACGCGTGGCTGAGAGCACTCCAGCGGCTCCGGCATCACCAGCAGCTCCCAGAAGAGCGAGCGCCATAGTACCACCGCAAAGCCCAACATCGCCGGGAAGAGCCGATATGCCACCACCATACACCGAAGCAGGTGTTTCGAAAGATCCTGCCGTGGTTGGTAGGCGCCGTTAGGCGTTGGCGTGAACGTACTCAATATCTAATGTCACTTGAAATAGTATGCACCTGAGGAAGTTCATTAGATTCTACAAGGGAATCGCCGTGAACTGAGGTTAGGAATGGATTTAGCACTTGCCAGCGGGATGCTGTTTGTAACGATTATACCAACTCAATCATGGGTAGTTGCGTTAGGCTATGGCAGCAAAACCTTGACTAATAGACATTGCATTTCTTTCTACCCTCGGAGGCCCATTGAGTCTATTGTATCAATTGCCTGGCGAATGTGTAATGTACACTAAGATTTGAGGCACGTTTACTTGCTTCCGGCTGGTCTGGAGGTATGGGGACGAACCTAGATTGATGACTCAACTCGACGAAAGGATAGGAAGGTTGGAATCTAGATGGCTTGGAGCTCTGAGTTTCCCCTTTTGATCTTTTGCACCTTCTTCTATCCAGGCTTCGCAAAATTACGGCGGAAGTCGTTGACATATTTCCGAGTGTCTCCAAGGTGGAACTAAGTCAGCTTTCTTCGGGGAGTAGGTAATATGGAAACCTACTATGGCTTCTTCTGTGGCAGAAACAATCGGAGAAGCCCATCTCACCATGTGGGCTAATGTTGATGACCACCCTACACTCTTTTGATTGCCCGTATGAAAAACTTTTCTGCCACAGTTCTGGCGATCGGGGTAGAGGACTGATGTACTGCGTAGTATGATGCATGCACTGTTTTTCGTCTGAGTATCCTTTAGAGGGACATATGTCAATAATGGTTTAACAGCGTAGTCCTTGTTTAGGCCGGGGAGTAAATACCCTGCGTGCGGAAACTGACAGACGTCATCATGCATCAGTCATTCCGCTGAACGGGGAGTTAGGAGCAACGGTATATCCGCACTGTTTTGGGCGTCAAACGGAAATAACGACTGCAGAGAGGTGGAAGCTCTGAGACAAAGTCGTTCTCTTGTCCATCTCGGCAACGCGTGGCAGCGACCAAGCTCTATTCTCTCATTATGGCAACAGGGCTATTAAGTATGCATAACCATCCGGTGCGTCAGTAGCTGAGTTGCCTGCCGTTAGCATTACTGAAACTGCGGAAGCGAGAGGACGCTATGATCACCATCGACACCGCAGCCTTTCACCTGAAATAACGCATGTAGCAGGCGTAGACGAACACAAGGGAACCTTGGAGAAAAGCCGAGCGGTACGAACCGGATCAGATGACTGGGATGGGAGCTTACATACATAATCCCATCCTCTTTGGTCAACTCGTTATTCACTAACTAAACCATGTACAAACTTCCGGAGCTGTCCAGAGCGGAGCTGCGATCTGCGAGCGGAATTCTTGGCGAATACACCAGACATGAGAGTGGAAAGATTGCCCACCACACAAGAGAACCTTCCGCAGGAAATAGTCGGTTGTAATTTCAGGAGAGATTCAATACCACACCATGCAGAAAAGCTGCGAGCGGCTCGGGAGAGTTCAGTCACAGTCTGGAGCGTTTTGACCAAGCTTTTAACAAGGAAAGACTCAGCCGCCCACCGGCGAAACACGCGCAAGAACACTGCGCTAAGCTTCGATCTCTTCTAAATTCCGTTTGAGTTTCCTGCCCACCACTGTATGGTATTTGTACGGCATGTTCAAATCATGTTCTAAAGACCTCGCGTGCTCGTATGCGCCCCACCAATTTGACGTGCCAATGAGACTTCCGGGTAAAGTAGTAATCGCATAACATAAAGGCCAATAGATAGATTAACTCCGTACTAGGTTTGAGCCCCTGAATACTACATGACCTCAACCTTTCATGGCTGTTCTGATGATCTTCTCTAACCCCTCCCTGCCTATCGGCTCAATACCAAGCAATTTGTTGTCTGTTTCCGGGAAGTAACCACCCCATCCTTTGCCAAGAAAAGCCCGGTTAATGAACATCTCAACTACTTCCTCGCTGTGATCACCCTGGGCCCATCGCTCCAGAGCAGTCTTTTCCAAGTCTTCCGTTCGACAGTGCTTGATATCCCATTCGGCGACAGGATCAATCGTCTTCGCAATGCTGAGAATCTCATTCTGCGTGGTTTCAACACTGCTGATTTTGACTGGACGGTTGGCAGTCTCCTCTAGATGAGTAAAGATGCCAATCACAGCCTGCCCAATGTGAGGCATGGTCGTTGCGTTAAAGAGAATATCTCCGCCATCCTTAATGAGAGCTTTCTTCTTCTCGACGTCGACGAGAAAGTTCAGGGCATATCCCGGGGCCAGGAATGAGACGTTCATGATGATGGTGTAAGAGAAAGAGGGTTTCTGAGCAACCTTTTCATCCAAATATTTCCGAATGGCAATCTTGGGTTGATAAATGGGGAAGGCCGCAAGCTTTGGGTTCTTGGTATCATTGCCATACTCGGATGGAATCATGCGACGAATGCCAGCGTTGAAGGCTGCGTCAACCACATTCTTTTGGATGTGAATGGCGTGGAACGCTAGAGCTGACACGAGGGCATCCTGACCGCGGAGAGCGGCTTCTATGCTGGGTACTGACTCGTAATCAACCTCCTTCACTGTAACGTTTGCGGGGAACTGATGGCCAGACCCTGCGCGGGTAAGAACGGTGAGCTCGAAAAGATCCGACTTCAAGAGGACATCAAGAAGCACACGTCCGAGGAAGCCATTGGCCTAAGAGCAGAGGACTCGTCAGCTCCGGGCTAGAAGTAACCTCCGCTCGCCGAGCAGAGGCTTAGATGACTTACACCTGCGAGGACGACTTTTTTAATTGGGGCAGACATGAAATCGTGGAACTTTGGTGTTGTTACGGGCGGGAAAGCTGGGGCCAGAGCGGCTCGAGACGGGGATTCGAGGAAAGATGAAGCTGAAGCGAAATTTGTGGTGAATGGGCTGTAGAATTTTTCTTTGGGAGTAGACCGAGTATAGCAACTGTATTTAACAACATCGGGTACTATGTTTTGTATTCTTCACCTCATGTCAATGGCACTTTGCTGTCAGACTCAATGTCTCGCCTTGTGTCATGCCAGGATGATCGTGACGCTCGGGTCAACCCACACTTTAAGGTTCACCGGGACGGCCTGTCGGGCGGACGGCCCTGCCGCGTGGTGGTGTCCTCCTGCCCGTTTGGAAATCCCGCAGTTGTTCGAGGCAGTGTAGCCGATCTGCCAAGGAAGAGTGCTTATCGAATGACATGGGTAGCGGTTAGATCCAGTTGTGAAGCGTATGCTAGCACAGTGTGACGGCTCCCATCGTATGATTAAACACTGAAGGACGGGATGATGCCAAACGAACTCACAACCAGGAACATTGACAGCATCCCGGAAGGACCCAGCTGCATGGTATGCTGACTAGGACGAGGAAAGATGTATGGTAAGGCTTGGGTATCAATATGTTGTTGTCAGAACCGGGCTCTGACACGTCATGTGAGTATGAGGTCCACGATTCGGATCGAACTATGGATTAACGAAAAGGTCGGAACTGGATGCCGTTATGGTGGAGACCAAGGATCAAAAGAATCTGCTTCCAGATAGTGCCCAGATGGCTACGGAATAACGCTGAGGTCGTGAGCTTGTACCAAAAGGAGGGGAGCCATATAAATGTCCTGACATCCTCCGCGGATACTTGAGGCTACCTTGCCATGACAAGCTGAGCTTTCTGAAGGCTTCACAAAAAAAAAAAAAAACCACCGCCTTGATCTTTGACGCTGCGCGTTATTAACCATGTTGTTGCCTGTCATCACTCTCGTTGCGTCTCTAGCAACTGTTGTGTATTCTCTTTATATCATTGTTACCACACATATCCTCCGCCGTCGTATGAGGAAGGAATATGGCTGTCTTCCACCCAAGAAACTGCCTCAGAAGGATCCCTTCCTGGGAACCGACGTCGTTCTTCAGAACCTCGCTGCTGCGAAGAAATTTGGATTCCTTGCTTTGTTGAAGAAGCGCCATGCAGAACAAGGACAGACATTTACCACAAACACCTACTTCAGGTAAGTTTCTAGTCTACTATCAACTCGCACCCACTTACACATGCTGCAGAACCACGATAAACACCTGCGATCCTCGGCTCATCCAGACTGTCCTCTCTAACCAGTTCGAAGATTTTGGAATGGGTCCTTTGAGACGGAAAAGCGCATCACCTCTCCTTGGGCGTGGAATCTTTACGACCGACAATGAGATCTGGGCCCATCAGCGAGCTCTAATTCGGCCGAGCTTCATTCGAGCTCAGGTCACCGACTTCAGCATTTTTGAGACGCACGTGGACCAGCTTATTCAGCTCATTGCTCGTGAGAACTACACTGTCGACTTGCAGCAGCTTTTTTTCCGCATGGTTAGTCTTTTTCCGCCCACGACGCTTGATGCCACTGAGCCTAATTCCATTAACCTTCTTCAGGTTCTTGACTCTAACAGTGAATACCTTTTTGGAGAGTCTGTCGGCTTGATGTCCGACAATGCCTCCGATTCCGCACACACTTTCCATCACGCACTCGACTATGCCCAGCAGGGTACCATTCTTCGACTTCGACTGGGCAACTTGATGGTCGCCCACAGGGATGCCAAGTTCAGGGAATCGTGCCGCATCGTCCATGCCTACGCCGACAAATTTGTGAAGCAGGCTTTGGAATTTCGACAGCGTGAGCTCATGTACCCTACCGAGAAGAAGGACGAGTACACCCGCCAGAAGTACGTCTTCCTCAACGAGCTGGCCAAGGACACGGACAACCCCATCATGCTACGAGACCAAATCGTCAACATGTTGCTCGCAGCGCGCGACACAACCGCAGGACTTCTTGCTTTCACATTCTTTATGCTGGCTCGTAAACCAGAGGTCTGGAAGAAGCTTAGAGCTGATGTGCTTGAGCATTACACTGAGCCCCTTACCTACGATGCTGTTCAGGAGATGACGTATCTTCGTTTTGTCTTGCAAGAAAGTGAGTCGGCCCATGCTTCAATCGCTAGTTATTTCTACTGACACCAACAAGCTCTTCGCCTTTTCCCTCCCATTGCGACGAACAGCCGCATGGCGAACAAGGACTGTGTTATCCCAGTTGGGGGTGGTCCTGACGGACGCTCTCCCATGTTTGTTGCCAAGAACAATGTTGTCACATATAGCACGTTTGTGATGCATCGCCGACCCGAGCTTTTCGGCCCCGATGCTGAAGAATTTATTCCTGAGCGCTGGGAGACATTCCGTCCTGGCTGGGAGTACCTGCCCTTCAATGGCGGCCCGCGCGTTTGCCCTGGTCAGAAATTCGCGCTTACCGAGTCGTCTTACACGGTTGCAAGGTTGCTGCATGCCTTCTCTGGCATCGAAAACTTGGATCCGGCTGAATGGCGCGAGCAACTTACCTTGTCCCTGACACTTAACAACGGAGTCAAGGTACGCCTCCACCCAGAGGCTTAGGAGTCCTAGAGTCGGGTTGTAGATAGCCAAGAAAAGAGAGCAGGTTTTAATTCATTACCTCATGTCTAGCCATCTTTCGAAGTAGAGAAAATAGATTGCAAACGTCGTATGACCTGAACCAGATACTGTGAATAAATTGCCAAGATCCTGTTCACTCGACAACCCACCAGATGCAAACGCAACACAAACAACAAATCGTACACCGCTTCTGGATTGGCTGGTCAAAGTTCATAGAGTATCTGGTTGTCATCCCTTTGCACATTGAAGAAGTAGCACGAAGAGATGTATTTGCATCTCGATGAAACTGCATCCCATGCGCTTGCAGCCAAATGTCGTTCCAGGACCATGCAAGATGGACTTGGTATCGGCAGGCAACTTGATGATCGCTTTCGCTTGTCTTCAGCTTAATCATAACCCATCATGGTAGGCTTCCAGAAGGGGCAGTGGAACGATGGCGCTAGGCTAAAACGGCTTACAATGGCGGTTGAGTGAGCCAAGACAGGGTCGCAATATGATAGAGTTGTGGATAATTGCAGGGATTTGGTCAGCGTAACAAGACCACGACGTGTTTGGTTGACGACGCTCACCGCCATCGCGTATGTGACGTTCGGTTTAGTAGGGGACCTCTCGTCCCAAATTTAGATGATACTCTTGGGTTCCTGTGGTCTCGAACGATGATGTCTCGGCCTTACAGCCGCAACCTCGCCTAGAATTTCCCTACAGGGTAGCGAACTCAAGAGAATGTTTTAACTTGCCGTTTAACCATCTTAGGCCCACTGTAGCAGCGTGAGTAGAAGTCACAGGCTGACGGAATATCACCAATGCCAGCTGCTATCCTCAGCACATGAGAACAAGGGATGTGCTGGTTGTCACAGGATAAACGGCCAACTGTTAGCTAGAAGCGCTGGCGCCCTGCAAACTTTAAAAATATGTAGCGGGGTAGCGTTGCTTGAGACCCCCCTCCACCGGGACCGAGTCAGCTACAGCTAAGCGATCGTCTCGGCCAGAGTCATTAACTCCCCGGCTCCTTTGCGGGTCGCTTGCTTCATTCAAGATGAGATCCTTGGTTAGAATAAGGTTTACAGTCCCGCCTTCCAAAGGCTAGGCATGATTCTTCAGCTGCTCAAGCCTCGCTTCGCCCGTCCGAAGTGAAAACCAAGTACGTAAAAGAAACAGCTACCCCGTCTCACTCCATGATTATCCGCTCTGGCGAAGGCATCGTACCAGCCAAGACTCTGGGCAAATGTGCTTGGCTGTGGTGCCTGCGACACTTCGGTGGACAATCGTACAATGTTGCATTTGATTCGGATAAGATGAGGCAAAAGAGGCAATGTGAGCACGAAGTTGTTTTAGTAAGCGGGTATTGAACTGCGTAGTTGTCTCCTTTTCTTTCAAGAATACGCAAACGATTCAGTCCTCTACGTGTGCCTATTACCCGCAGTTTAGGAGCTGAGTCTGACTTCCCTCGGGCCTTTCACACAACCCCCCCGCACAAGCACAGCCGATTGTTCCGGAACTAGCGTGTTCATGACTCTCAAAGAAACGCAAATCCGGAATTTGTTTGTTTCGTTTCATCGTTAAATTCTCCACCTTACTTCAAATACACGATCGAATTATGTGCGGAATAACGGCGGCTATCACTCTCAGACGAGGCGCCTCTGGCAATGGAGTGAGCGGTACCAATGGTACGAATGGCACCAGCGGAAAAGCCGAGCATGCTCAAAGTGAGAGAAGCAACGCCGAAACGCTTCGCAGCCAGCTCGAGAAGAGCCTCGAGACTATTGCTCATCGTGGCCCTGATGCGTCTGGCATCTGGATCAGTGAGGATGGGGCCATAGGTACGTGTGATTGGCCCTCGAACTGAGAACAGAGCCTAATATTACACACGTAGGCTTGGGCCACAGACGTCTTGCAATCAACGATCTGTCCCCAGATGGTGTGCAGCCCATGCATAGCGACGACGCAAAGATCCATGCGGTTGTCAATGGAGAGATATATGATCATGACGCCCTTAGAGAGCGATGTATCAAGGAGCATGGATACAGGTTCAAAGGCCACTGCGATAGCGAAGTCCTCATTGCCCTTTACAAGATCCATGGCGCCCCAGGGTTCTTCGAATATCTTCGAGGAGAGTTTTCTTTCGTCATCTTCGATGAAAGAGACGGACGTGTAATTATCGCCCGGGACCGATTTGGCATCAAGCCCATGTTCTGGACCATTCACGGAGAGGGTGCCAGCAAACGCTTGCTGTTGACCTCGGAAATGAAAGGCTTTCTAGCTCTGGGCTGGCAACCCGAGTGGAATGTCTACGGCCTCATCAGCGGATCTTCTCTTCAAGCCGAGAACACGGTATTTAAGGGCGTATGGAAATTGAACCCTGGGACATGGATGGAGATCTCCCGGGACGGTCAGATTCAACACCACCAATATTGGGACCCGGAGTACAAAGATAAGGTCAGTGACGCTATACGCGGTCTTTAACCGTGAAAACCCTCACTGACATCCGATCCAGCATGACGTAGAGAATCGCACTCTTGATGAAATTATTTTGGAAGTTCGGAAACGCATTATAGAAGCGACCAAGCTTCGCCTTCGCGCCGATGTCCCTGTTGGCATCTATCTCTCAGGTGGTATTGATTCGTCGATTATCGCAGGCATAGTGACCAAACTGGTTCGCGAGGAAGGCGTTCTGCTGGGGAATCAAGATGCAACAAAGAGAATAGCATGCTTCACCATTCAATTCCCGGAAACATCGGGGTTCAATGAGGCCGGTTAGTACATCCCAAGTGCCAAAAAGCACTTATCCAAGGACTCTTGAATTTGCTAACACTTCACACAGACATTGCCGAGAGATCAGCCGAATGGCTGGGCGTGCAGATCATCAAAAAGGACATGAACGAGACCGAGTTGGCCAACAATTTTGCTGATGCAATCTATCACGTTGAACATCACCACTTTGATCTTAACACGGTGGGGAAGTTCTGTTTGTCTACTTTGCCAAGACAATATGGTGTGCCGGTTGTCCTTACCGGAGAAGGCGCAGATGAACACTTTGCTGGCTACCCTTTCCTATTACCGGACTTTCTGCTGGAGCCGGACCATGCGTGGCCATCTTCTGCCTTGAACAAGAACAATGAGGTGCGTGAAGGCATGCATCGAGAGATGACGGAAGATATCACGAAAATGTTCGACAGAATTGGTATGTTCGACCATGGCTGGAAGGATAAGTCTCAGCACGGACTAGCAGTGGGGACCAATGCCATGAGATGGCAACCAAGCAAAGATTTGTTTGCGCCTTGGGTCAAGGAGAAATACTCAAGTCTGGACATGAGGGAGTCTGTTGCTGCCTCAGTGCCAGTTGATGTCCGGAAGAAGATGGACGAGAGCTGGCACCCACTGCACTCGTCTCTCTGGGTCTACACCAAATCGCCGCTTGCGAACATGATCCTAACCTGCTTGGGTGATCGCACTGAAATGGCGCACAGTGTCGAGGCTCGGCCACCATTTTTGGATCATCACTTGGCCGAGTACGTCAATGCCCTGCCCCCAAGTCTCAAAATTGCGTACAACCAGGCCGAAGGTGAGGCTGTAGGCACTGGCGCGAGTCTCTGGTGGAAGAATCTCAGTGCAGCGCGACAGTCATTGAGCGAGAAGTGGATTCTCAAAGAGGCTGGAAAGCCATTTATTACACAAGAACTGTACGAACGGCGCAAGCATCCCTATTCGGCTCCTGTCAAATGGCCTCGTGACGGCCCTCTGCATCAGATGATGGAGAGACTGATCACCAAGGAGAGCATTGAGAACCTGGGATTCATAGAATGGGAGGACGCGCGAAGCTGGCTGCAGACAGGTTTTGGAGACGATGCTGATCCGCGGTCGTTTAGGAAGTTGGTTGTCACCGGGTCTTGGGTGGTTCTGAGCCAAAGGTTCGGTGTAAAGAAGGCTGTCAAGGAACCATGGGCAAACGGCATGCGAAGGGTGTGTGCCTGACACAATATATTTTGCAAGGTCAGAGATGGAACGGAATCAAAAGAAACCACGCATTTCTAGTTCTAGAAATTAACCTCCTTTGAAATAAGGAGAAATGACCAAAAAAGCAAATGTGCACCATTTCACTGATGGATCGCTGGTGGGAAGGTTCCCTGAAAGCGAAAGTTCTTCCTGACCAGCTGGGAGAAAAACAAGCAGCATATATACTGCTTGTGATAGGTCTCAGTTGCTTCAGTCTATAGAGCAACTGACGAGGAAGGATCAGGATGAATCCAACAAACTTGGTTGGGCAGGGATTGGTTATGCGAGAGAATTTCGCTTACCACATGAGCCAGTCAGACTTGAAGACAAATCTTGGCTTGCATATTTGATTGGCATTTTGCGCCTAGCAAAGCAGAAGACGACGAAAATTGAAAGCGCTGCGCCGTGCTGTGCCGCAAGGGAAATTAACACCCGCATCTTGGGACAGCAAGCCAAGGCCGCGGCGTTCAATAGAAAACCACTTACGGCCCATGGGATAGTTAAGTACATTGCCAAACTTTTGTTCCCCTGTACACTTGTTTCTTCGTATTAACCTCGACAGCAAAGCTTGCGCGGATCTGGAAAAGAAGCTGTGACAATGAAGCATAATATTTGGTTCATGGCAGGCTTGATAACCCTCGGTAGGTCTTTGGAGTTGAGCAGCGCCTATGTCTGTCTCGAATACCCCACTTACGTGTATACAAGGACTGTGCACCATGCTGGACTGTGCGACTTCAGGCGAGTCATCGGAAAGAGAGTTGATCAGCTCGCAAGATGAAGCCGATTTGCTGAGCAACTGCGACACGATTTCTGGAAGATTTCTCATGGCCACCAAATCTGGGGAATCTAGTAACGTCACTATTTCACTACCGAATTTGGTCAAAGTGAATGGGACTCTATTCATCCACGACGATATCTCTTTCTCCGCTCCAAAACTCAGGGAGGTTACAGGGTCATTTGCGCCTAGCGGACGAGACTCGCTCCCACTGTTGGAGACTGTCGGTCAAACTCTTTTCATCACGATGACAGACGTACCATCACTATCGTTCCCGAGCCTGGTCCGTATAGGCTCGTTTTTCTTTGACGGGGTTTATGGCCTTAAGAGCATCACGTGGGGTCCAGCCGGCTTTCCCGCCATAACAGAAAGATCAGGAAACATCAGAATTCATGAGACCGACATCGAAGACATTGACTGGATCTTCGACAAAGATCGGGACTATGGAATCATCTCCATTCAAGGCCAAAATATCAAGAAACTTACTGTCACTGCCCAGACCATCGATAGATTGGATGTTACAGCATATGGTACCGATAGGGAAGTTGAGGTCACATTCGATATGCCTCGCGTGGAAGGCAGACTACACAGCAAGATCAACACCTTAGCTTTGAACGGAGTCCGAAGCTTGAAATACATAGAGCCGCCGTCTTCAGTTGGGTATTTGTCTGTGCAGAGATGTAGCATGATTCGCCTGGACATTCCTTTTCAGGTTAGCGATTCACTATTTATCAGCGAAAACCAGCAACTGGTCAACCTATTTTACGGCGTAAACTGGAGAAACTACGGTGATACTAGCGGGCGATACGATGCGGGGGCCATCTACATCGTGGAGAATCCGGCTCTAGTAATGGACTTCAACACGACTGACTCCGTCACCAACGCATCTACCGGCGCTTGGCGGTGGCCTCAAAGGACCATGAATACGCTTGTCATGAAAGGTTCGAAATGGTCCACAGGGTTTTTGTAAGCTCTTCCATTTTATCCAAACGATGCCAGCATGACCTAACGCCTAAATTGTCTAGTAATGGGCTACTTGAGGGGTACTCTCAAGTTGAAAATTTTCAGGTTGATTCATATGATCAAGACTTTTCGTGCCAAGCTTTGGGCGATGAATATGCCACTCCGAAAGGTGGAAGATCTACATTCACAGGAAGCTATAGTTGTAAGAGTAATGGCGCCCTTTCCTTCCCTGACACGGACTCTGGCTGCAAAGGCTATCGATGGTCTCCTTGGTTGGTAGCTTCATTATGGACGTTGATAGGCTTTGAAATAGCGCTGTAATGTTAGATTTTCATGGAATCTTGGAAGACACAACTTCGATTTATAGGTGCACATCTGAAAATCTGATTTATCTGACATGTAACTTTAAATGTGGGATTAGGATCAGGCTAACATTTAAGTACAGTCAGGAACTGGGGATTATTGAGAAACAGTAGAGATTCAGACCTCATTGTGATGGAGGCTCAGCCGCGCAGGAAAGAATAGTGACTAGCAGTGGCGTAGTCAAGATCGTTTCCAACGATCTGAAGCAGAGTGACTTCAGTTGAGGTCATCGGCGTTCTCGACCTCAACGTCGTCAGTCTCACCATCGACATCCTCACCATCAACATCCTCACCGTCGACATTCTGGTTGTCGACATCCTCGGTCTCCTGGCGGCGCCAAGAGCCCTTCTTGCCTCCGTTGTTGCCATACTTGTCGTCGTTGCCTCCGCCATTCTTGTTGCCTCCCTTGTTGGCACCCTTGTTGCCCCAGACATCCTTGTCACCGCCCTTGTTGTTGTCCTTGTCGTCGTTCTTCTTGTTGTCCCACTGATCGCCCTTGTCCTCGTTCTTGTTGTTGTCATCGTCGCCATTGCTCTTGTTATCGTTGTCATCGTTCTTCTGGTTGTACTTGTCGTCATCCTTCTGGTTCTTGCCATTGCCCTGGTTGTTGTTCCATTGATCACCCTTGTTGTCGCCCTTGTTGCCATACTGGCCATTGTCGCCGCCACCGTTCTTGTTTCCCCAGACATCAACCTTGTTTCCACCTTTGCTGCCATACTTCTCATCCTTGCAGTTACCCTTGAGGTTCCAGAAGGTACGCTTGCACTGCTTAGAAAAGGTGCGAGTGACGAGTTCTGCGCCAGTCATGGCCTATGAAGATTGTTAGCTTCCAAGCAGCCTCGTAGAGGAATTATAGTGAGCTCTAGCCTACCGCATTACCGTCAGCGCGGACCTGAAAGTCAATTGATGTTAGCCAAGAGTTCTGTATACCAATGCTGGAACCAATGAGAATCCCCTGGAACGGATGGTCTCACCTCGACAAGCCCACCCTGAGCAGCCTCAGCGACAGGGGCAGCAAGAGCAGTGGCGGCGAAGAAAGCCATGCCAACGGTGGCAAACTGACCGAAAGTAGGGACATGCATTTTGATAGTTGTTGAAAAAGTTTCTTGTGAAAGAGAGTGAGTTTGAGCGAATGTGGGGTTCTAAGTGAGAGACTGTAGAGAAGAGTGATCTGGAGAGTGAGTGTGATGATGAGAAGAAGAAACATCTGTTGGCAGGGGATTTTAAGTCTGTTTTATACAAGAAATTCATTCCCTGACGAGCCTGATGAGTATTCGGCTGAGGAATCGATGCTGCGTCTCTGAAAACACGAAGTGTTTGCGTGAGAATCTAGCGCGTTCTGTAAGAGCCACCTTGTCGGTCCAGAGGGCCTAAGCATCCCCAAATCGAGGCCGATACTTTTAGCTCGTCCGTGTGGAGTGGAAGTTAGTGCATGGCAACCAGAGGCTTTTCCGGGATCAGCTAGAAGATCCGAGATATTGGTTCTAGACAAGTTTTGCTCAGCGTTGAACTCCAAGGCAAAGCCACACGAGATCCCCAATCTGGCGAAAACCTCGGATTAGCGCCACTGATCCTCAGAGTTGGAAAAAGTCTAGACCACCTGGAGTTGAAACGAAAGGTGTCCTGAATAGAACCAGGGAAGTGGTTGACAGTGCCGATCTTAAGATAGTGGTCTGTTACCTAAAGCCCGAATGTTATCTGGAACGAAGATCTTCATGAGACAGTGGAGATAAACTGCGTCTGACTGAAAAGCTATAAGAGCGTGGGTAATGTGAGATTTCTTGAGTCTTACTCCGCACGCCAGAGGGCCCTTATAGTGACATGGATGGATAGTTGATTACCCATGCTGGCTGCCACGACATGAGCGTGCATTTGAAAAATGTTGCCCCCTACTCCTGGACGAATCAGCGAACATCAATCGCAAGAGACTTTGGTTACGAAAGCATCGCAAGGCAAGCTCGTGTTCTAGGCCCGATGTCTCAATACCGGTACTGTGGGAAGGAAGCGTCTCCCAGCCGAGAAGATGTTATGCCAAAGCAACCCCATCCGTGAGCCACCCCGCCTGAATCAACAGTGCGAGAGCTGAAAATTGTGGAAATGGAAGCGAGCCGTGCGAGAGAGGAGATGCGGGATGGCGCTACTAAGAAGCTTAATTGAAAACACTAAGCGCGCTTACATGGGCCGGCGCGGCGTTGGTGCGGTGCATCCCGTCCGGGTGGTTTCGGGAGGTATTTTAAGATACTCCATGCGAAATGGCATCTAATATATACTTCATCGTGTTTGCTGAAAGCATAACATTTATCGGAAATGATTATGTCAGTGTATTCATCGTCCATGGCAATTGAACCTGAGATTTGGGACATATCTGACGTGGCTAATGCCGGTGAGATTCCAGGGTGCAATTACGTGTAGTGTGAAGATCGGACCAACTTTCAGCGTCTCATGAATAATTCGGATGTGCAGATGAATGGAGCTAGTATCACCAATCACCAGCACTTTGATATTACATTTTTAACGATGATTTGTTTAGAGCAGTGGAATCTTGCGTTGTCTCGGCCTTGACTTATTTTCGGACAGAGTGGAAGACTAGACCGAATCCTTGCCTCCAGCGCCACATTTGCCTCCGCATTGATCCGCCCATAGCCTGGCGAACCTCAGCTCACATTGGCTAGCCGTGATGGGGATTACAAAACAACAGTATTTATCATTCTCCCAGTTCTATACCTGATCTACGACACATGGAATTTTCAGGGGCTGAAGTTCGCGCTTATCTCAGCGTTAACCATTGAATGGTGAATTTAAGTGTCTTCATAGCGGCTTTTGGTGATACTTGTGAGTGTGAATGATGTATTATCAATAGGAAAGTCTATATCTTTGTTGGGTTGAAAGGGCAGGCGACCTTTGATACACGGTGGGAGTAAGTAAATTCTAGGCCTTAAATCCACGTCATTACTCTTCTACCAGATTATTTCGGTCCCTTTAGCTGAATTAGCAATGAAGAACATTGAGAGTAGACAGTGTCATAACTTACGGTAGCTCGAAGTCGGGCAAGAACCAGGACAAGACGAGCGCTGGCGCCGAAGCCCCAACAGCTGTATATACCATATATCTCATAACATCGGAAAACTGGCGAGAGGTAAGCTGACATGATTATGTATGTGAACATTGGAATGGAATTATTTCTCACGGCATGATTGATCGCAGTCCTCTCAGGAGTGCCCCACGCAGGCGCAGTTCCAACAATCGAATCGAAGAGCGAATCGACAAGCTGTCCTGGGGCCCCGTTGCCGAGATACCTGTACAAAGCCGGCTTGAACGTATTCGTGTAGATGCCCCCAGCAATGCACGCACCAATACTGCCTCCAATAATGGAGAAGCAGATGACCAGAGCGGTGATCTGCGGCATCTCACGGTGAGGAACGACGACCTGGGCAGGAACTAAGACCGATAGTTGCATGATGCCAGAGCCTAGACCTTGAATGATTTGGACGATGAAAAGCTCCGCAACCGAGTTGTCTGCACCTCTTAGGCGAATCATGACACCGTACCCGATCATACGAATGACTGCGGCCGAAATGAGAAGCCACTTGTACCGCCTGGTGTAGGCCATGGCCAGACCGGCTATGATGCCCATGACACATTGCATGACGCCATTAGTGTACTGAAAGAATGTCGCATCCCGCGCGGAGAAACCGCGGGCAACTGTGGACCAAGAGTAAAGATAGGTATGAGTGCAAGAGAATCCGATGGAGTCGCTAGCGATGAGAAAAAGACACAAAACAATTGTTCTGTTACGGAAGTAATGCCCTGGCATAATCGGATGCTTGGCCAGGAACTTCTCGTACATTGGTAGCAGAATGAGAATGAGGCCGCCCAGGATGATAAGTGCAATGATGTATGGGGTTTGCCAAGCACTTGCGCTTCCAGCAGCGAGTGTCAGCGGCAGTAGGACCATGGAGATACCCGCAGACAGCAAAGCTGAGCCGCCAAGGTCAATCTGAGAACAGAAGCTGTACAATGTCATCTTCTGAGATGGCGTCAAGCCTTCCTGCTTTGCCTTCCGCTGGAAGTAGAGCAGAGTTGAGATAATGAATGCGCCGCCGATGGGCATGAGAATTGCAAACATGCCAATTCCCCAGCGCCAGCCAATGCCACCGGGCCTAACCACGTCTTCGATGATGAATGCTGCTGCCCACGGAGTAATCAAGAAGGGGAAGAACGAAAAGCTGATGGCAAAGCCACGCCACCTTGCCGTAGTGATGTCGGCGATGACAATGTCATTCATTATGTTAGTCCCGGACTGACCAACAGTGTAGAAAATGGCCCCAGCGGCGTAAGAGTCGAAGCCATGAGAGGAAGCCATCAAAATGTAGCCCAGCACATAGAACGAAATCGTCATGATGTACGTCTGTCCTCTGCCAATAACATTGGATATCTTTGCCACTGGCGGCTTGATGACGGCGAAGACGATACCATTAGCTGTGCCGAGTGTTGCCAACTTGGAGAGTGCCGAAAAAGATGATGTCGCATAGTTATTGTAGATAGCAACAGTGGTGTTGTCGAATTCGCTATCACGGATGAGTCTCTTCTCATGGACAAAAATCGGTATTGAGCACTTACTACACAATCATAATGAGAGCCAACCCGGTGATAACGAGCCATCTTCCCTTCTTTCCCCATATTGCCTGTACTGCTTCGATCGTGCCGACTCCGGACTCTACCAGCTCGGAAGACCTGATCTTGTCGTCAGCATCGTGGTTGTCGACTCCGTCATCTGTCTTGCCAGCCGCCTCCACGTCGTTGGCAGTCCGTGAAACCGTGATGCTATCGTCGGCGGCTTGCTCGGACGGCCGAGGGTCCGAGCGGAACTGGCCTTTCAACGAAGTGATGAAGCGCATCGCGACTCGTTGTTCGGCTACTTGGTGCCGGAAAGACGGATTGAAGTCGGGCTGCGGACGAACTGCTCGCGGTCCGAGTAGAAAGATGCGGCGACTTTAACAAACTTTGAGTCAATACTGCGCGTAAGCGTGCCGACGCCTTGCCTAAAGTTACCTTTTGAGACGATCCCCGCCCTCTCAACAAGAAGTCTGTCTGCTGCACGTTGATGCGCAGATACCACCTATCACAGGGATCGGCTCATTGACAACCGACAACCGTCCAGACAGAGTTTGGTGTGGCCCGGGAAGACATCCCGCGGTTGTTATCTACCGCTCGACTCAGAGGCAGCGCGGGGTTGCGCGGGGGAAGCCAACCTATCACAATGAAGACGTTGTCATCGTACATGGTCTTGTGATAACATTGGTGATAGTAGTTCGATTCATGAGCCGTTGCGACTCGTCCGATACTTGGTGGGATTGTTTCCCATGTCTCGCGTCACTCATCCATGCTTCCCGAGGCATGATGAAATGATAGCATTCCAGAACCGATAGCTTGCGATAAGGTTGGTCGTCGATGGGATGGACCCTGGAAACTAGATCCGTTGAGCGGTGCCGAACAGGAGAATCCACCCTTAGTGCGCCGCAATTTAGACATTTGCCGACATTAACGGCCGATGGCGGCTTCGAGAACGGAGCACGCGGGCCCGGCGCCCCCAAGATGAAGCCGTGAGTCCCGGTCGGCGGTTACTGTCATTCAGTCGATGAACCCGGCTCAAAGATCGCTGAAGTACTGGGAGCTCCTTAACATCAAAGACAGTACGTTGAAACATCTCGGCGAGTAAGTGTAAACGTGGCTAATTGAGACGGCCAGGAACTGACACAGGGGCACGTTCTTTTCCGTGCAGCAGAAACCTTCCTGACTCTGCTGATAGCCAAGACTCAGATAATCAGATGAAAAAGATAATGCAAGCGTGGCTCAAGTAGGCAATCTCGAACGTCTTTCTTATCTCCCGACCGACTTGTACGAGTCGGGCCATGGCCAAGAAGCTCGAAGGATGCGCTAACCCCGAAGAGGCGAGACACCTGGTACACCATCTGCTTCTCTCCGGCCACATGGTCAGCGATCCGGAAAAAAGGACCCCCACAGAATAGACCAGCTGTAAAACAAGTCAGCCAGAGGATATCCTCTTCTGAGCCGGCTGGTGCTCTACTTTTCCCCTTTTCTTTTCTTGTGCTTCTCCTAAAACAGCGGGCGGGGACTGCAAGCGCAATATCATCCTCATTGATTTTAATATGGACACTAAACTTGTGGCTGAATTATCGGCTCCCACTCAAGGGGCCCGGCCCAGATCCAAGTGCAAGGCAGCGGTCACCGCTGCTGCGCTCTCGGCTCTCGGGCTGGTGGCGCTTTTCAAGGGTAGCTTCGTTCCGTCCCCATGGCCTACTTCCACACACCGACAAGCTCACGAGCCCCATGGTTCCGCAGGTTGGAGTTGGTCCAGGGTACGTAATGAGTTGTGATAAACCCGTGAGCATTGAGTACTAACACTACAATGTTCAGATCAAGCCAAGCAGGACCCTGGAGTGGCATGAGTGCTTTGAAGACGGAGGATTTGACTGTGCTAGACTTGATGTCAGTTCTCAAGTTCCCTTCACGAGAAGATGATGGTGCTAATTGGCCCCGAAAGCTCCCTATGAATTGGCTGGAAACATCTGATGACCGCAGAGTTGTTATTGCGATTTCTAGAATACGTGCTACAGACAAGTCCGACTACAAAGGCCCCGTGTTCTTCAACCCTGGTGTAAGCGATATCGCGTGGAACTTCAGATAGCTGGGTTAACTTTTAGGTTAGGGACCCGGCGGCTCTGGAGTTTGGTCTTTGAAACACCACGGCAAATACTTGCAGGAGATTATCGGCGAGAATCATGTGCGTTGTAATTCCTGCATAGGATGTTTAGGCCCGATATCATGCTAATACCTATCTTTTAGGATTTGATCAGCTTCGACCCAAGAGGCAGTGAGTTGTACATGAATTAGAAGTGCAGTCTTCATGGACCTAACGTAAACTAGTTGGCGCGTCTGTTCCCCGAGTTGAGTGCTGGTCCTCCCCACAGCAACGCCAAACATGGGGCATGCAAGACCCAGGCCTACCCGATGCTCATGAGGGTGCCTTAGCTGAAAGCTTTGTCAGAGGGGCGGCGTATTCTCAGGCATGCGAGAATACCATGAATAGCTCGGGTATTCTTGAGCATATTGGTACCGTATCTCACGTTCGAGACTTGCTTGAGATAGTTCACCAGACCGGATACGACAAGCTGAAGTACTGGGGCTTTAGCTACGGCACGATCATTGGAGGCGTCTTCGCATCCATGTATCCCGACAAAGTTGAGCGTATGGTCAACGATGGCAACGTGCATCTCAGGGAGTGGTTCAACTCCCAGCACATCAACTTCTTGAGGGACACAGATAAGGTCCTGTATGCCTTCTACGAGTTCTGCTACCAGGCCGGTCCTGACAGATGTGCCTTCTACGCAACATCCTCGCAAGCGATTGAAGAGAGGTTCAACAAGCTCCTCTCAGACCTCAAGGCGCTGCCCATCGTCATCAATGCAAATGAGGAGACTGGACCAGACGTGCCGTCCGTGGTGACCTACTCGAAAGTGAAGATCCTCCTTTCCTCCGTCCTCTATGAGCCACAGTACCAGTTCGAGAATTTTGCCAAGATTCTCGCTGCTCTGGAGAGGGGAGATGGAAGGCCTTACTACGAGCACTACAACCCCAACAAGCCCTCAACTGCCCCGCTTTGCACCCCGAGGCCGGTGTCTCCATTCGAGCCCTTCCCGGAGATACTGGATGGAACGCCAGACGCCTTTCCAGTCATTATGTGCGCTGATCATCCACCAGTGCATAACCTGACGTTAGAAGAGGTCAAGAGACAGTCGGAAGAGTTGATTGGGCTCAGCCCAGCTACTGGTTCAATTAACGTCCCATTTCCTATTACCTGCAACCAGAGAAACATCCGTCCGCGATGGAGATTTGATGGTAGGCATTCTTATTTTAAGGTAGCCCATTTGAGCAGGTCTGTCAACTAAACACGCTACAGGGCCTTTCGAGGGCAAGACAAATCATCCTATCTTGTTTATCGCCAACAAATTCGACAACATCACACCTCTAGTTAGCGCCCGCAACAACTCCGCTGGGTTTCCTGGCTCTACAGTCTTGGTCCAGAACTCATATGGCGTAAGTAAATGCCGATGCATGCGGATGTTGCAGTACCAGTTCGTTAACGTACGATGAACAGCACACAACTCTTGCCGCACCATCCAAGTGCACCAAAGGCCATATTAAGACCTATTTCCAGAATGGAACTCTGCCTGATGCGGGGACAGAGTGTGAGGGAGACTCTTATCCATTCGCGGAACCAGTCGGAACCGAAATGCGCATGTTCCATCCGACTCCGCAATTCTGATATCAGTTTCGTGGATAGAAAGCTCAGAAACTCGCGTAGAACTAGAGCTTTGTCTTCTAGACACAATTATAGAAAGAATAGCCCAAGAAATACACTCTCATTCAGTCATTCAAGAAAGTCGAGGCTATCAATACCAAGTAAAGTAAGGACAAAGAGTATGAAGTAAGATAGACATGACTATGTATATTGTACACCTCAACAACACGCGATGAGCCCTTTGATATCATGCTACCTCTCGCCATCTAAATGATTTCTCCTAGGTATTAACTTCTCACCCTGTCGAGGCTTCCAGGAAGCTCATATGCTATCGGGTTAGCTGGCATCTCGTATCTAGGATAGCCGGCAGCATGAGAGAAAGGGGTTGCCATCTCTGCAGGCCTCGACCGTGAGTCAATCTCTACCGGTCTGGATCTGGAATCTATCTCCGCCGGTTTTGCTGTTGAATCTAACTCCTTGGCGTCGTACTCTGGTCCGCCTATCTCAGGCGGCAGATAATCTCCATTTACCTCGTTTACCCCTTTTTGATCCATCGCAAATCCCTTCTCCGTATCAGCATTTGAGCTTGTGTCACTTAGGACGGTGCTTCTGCGACTCTTCCCTCGTCTTATGTTGAACCAAACAACCGCTTTGTCAATGTAATCCGACGGGGCATCTGGACCCTGTCTTCTTTTTCTGCCACGTCGCAGGAACCACAATACCACTGTGACACCGACAATCGCAGCCATGACGATCCCAGCTGTACCACCTGCCGTCATCCCTTTGTCTTTGTTGACCAAATTGTCTTCTTCAAGAGGTGTAACTGTCCAATAGTTGCTCCAGGACTTTGAAAAAGACTCGGCGGCGTTCGATTTGATGATTGAACCGTCAAAGCTCTGCACAATACTTTGTTCAATGCCAGGCCCAGGTGCTTGCGCCATGTACATGAAGTTGCTATCGTAGTCGACACCTAAGAATGCAGCTTGTAGGAAGGCCCGACCGAGTTGCCATTGACCAGCAATTGACTCGTCGAACGATTTGCAAGGGAAGTAGTTGACGTCTTTTTCCACTAATGGAGCACTCAATGTCAAGTTGAGGAGCTTGAAAGGCACTTTGATCGTCAAGTTGGTGACAGTACTGTCCGAAAGTACGAAGCCGAGGTAAGACGGAGAGTTGATAAAGTCGTTGAGAGAGCCATTGCGACTTGACTCCCACAGATATAGTCCCGTGCCGTTGTGGTAGGTCAACCCCAGATTCTCAGCGATGGCTTCACATACGCCAGTCGGGAGATAGATGTAAGGCGACACAGGGTTTGGTGTTGCTATGGCCGAGCCTTGTGCGCCGCCAAAGGTCTTGACGTAATCAGCTCCCAAACCTTTGGGCTCAACCCAAAAACTTGCGTTCGGCGATGCTGGAAAGGAAGAGGCTGCGCCGACCTCCGTCCCCATGAAAACGTCTCGAAGAAAGACTGTCGGGAGGCCTCGCTGTATCGCAAATTGGCCGACATCCCCAAGTGCTCTGTTCTGCTCATAGGCACCGAGAACGAGTGATCCGGGGAGGTCCAGAGCAGCGCTACCCATATGTAAACTCCAAGCTGATCTCTTGATGCCGCCGGCTGCCTTCAGCTGCTCCAAAATCGAACCGACCGTTTTGTCGTCGCTCGGGGATTCTTTGGGGCCAAGGCCAAGAAAGCCGATTGTAGGCATGACATTGGGTATGGGGTTGGTGTCGGCATTGCTGCTTCTCCATTTGTTGGCGGCGACGATGGTTGAGTTCACGTCAAGTTCTCCGGAGGTGCCCAGCTTTGTTCGCATTTGCACCTCGTCATAGTATTCGGAACCATAGAACGATCCTGAGAGAAAGTATGTACTGAACCATGCATCGACAGCCCCTCGTGACTTTCCTGTCTTGTTGGCCGATGTGCTGGGGATGTAGCTGCCGTTCACATCCTGAGTCAGGAGTACGGTAGCGCTAGAACCGCTGGGCCACAGAGGAATCGGTACTCCATTGACAAACACGCAAGGAGCTTGCCACGGGCCGTCCGGCTCAGGCAAAGAGTAGTTGGCGCTCAAAGTGTCAGTCGTCCACGGCAAAGTTAGCTGGGCGGTCGTTCCTGCTGCAGCGGCCAGCAGCGCAATGTGTATGGCGTTGCGCATCGTGAATGTGTTCCCTCAGTGCATGAACGAGACTGAGGAAGGAACTCTGCAAAAAAGGAATGGCGAAGACGCAGGAAAGAGTGTAGGTGCGGCGAGAAAAGGAAAGAAAAAACAAGCAGACTCAACGAGACCCGAAAAGGGGGAATTGAACAGGAATATGATCCATTCAGGGACAGAAACCTCACTAAATCCTTCTGTCATCCAAAGTGGTACCTTAAGGATATCGAAATCCCACATCCAGTAGCCGCCCCATCTCAGGCAGCCAAGTTAGCGGGGATGGGCATCCAACTCGTGGGTGTCTGAACCAGAAGCTTGGATCCTAACACGCGAGATGTCCATCGATGTCTCGATCATGCGTAGTCCTAAGAGTTTTTGTTCTCGTCTCAAATATGACCTGGCGTGTGATATCAACAAGCCGATTGGCGGGTTTCTCATTATACTTAAGCGTCAGAACCGGGCGTTTAACGAAACATGCTGTTGGTACGGCTGAGGCCGACAGGCGCTTCGTATGTGTCGACTTGGCGCTGCAGGGATATGCATCCCACCAACCAGGAACACGTTCGAGACTCCTGCTAAGCGCTCAACAGCCCACGCAACAGCAACAAAAATAGGACACTGCCTTGCGGTTCCTTGAATTCATATCTACGTCAAAATTGCTACTTTGTTTTGCTGGGAAGCCTTCTTACTGGTCTTGATAAGGTTTCCGGGGCCCACCCGGCATCCGCTTTCGCCGGGTGGGCCCATTAGTTCGGTGGAGATCGGCTGAATGCCGTGTAGTGTCCGGCAGTCAAATACTTCTTCAGAGTGATTCCCGATGAAGTGTGCATCAATCTGACATAATGGCCAGTAAGACATGTCTGTTGAAAGGATCTGAATAGCCTATGGCGAAGTAGAAATAACAGTGTTCATAATTTCATGAGGATTACGAACTTAGTCCCCCTTGATTTTGTCAAGCTCGAACTGCTCCTGACCTATCGTTAGTGATCCTCGCCGCGACCAACGTTCTTCTCCAATTTCCTCCAGTCGCTTTAGACTAGACAGGTTCTTCTCTGCGTATTCCACGTGCCAGGTTGATCGTCCGACTCGAGTCTTCTTCAATCCCTTTAACACCACCTTCGTCCGCGACCGCCACCATGTCTTTTGTTGATTCATGGCGCATCGCCTGAGAAACATGAGTAGAAAGCAAATTTGATCGCTCCTTGAATCATTAAGTAGCATCTCACAAACGGTCAACAGTCTACTCATCTGGATGCTCTTTTCGAATTCTAACTTGGTTGTAAAACTTGCGGAAAGAGCGGTCGGAGGAGGGAAAGCTGAGACGTTCGATGTGAGGTACATCATTACCCAGTGAATGTAGATCTAAATCGTTAGGAGTCGACCTTATCATATGGAAATAGGGAACCTACCTCTATCTCGGGGAGCAGTTCCTTGCGGAGGTCGAGGTCCTTGATTATGCCATATTTGTCCGCCATCTTGGTCAGCTGAGCCACCATCTCGTCGGGAGAGGCCTTGAGATTGACAAGGTCGCAGTAGTACAACAAGACAAGGAGGTCCTTCTCCGGGTCGTCAATGAGTGCCAGGTCGGACTGTCTGAACGGGAAAGGCAAAGCTTCGTCTCCATTGGAGCTCGGCCCTGGCTCAGTCCCTGCATCTGGGTGATTGAGAAACGGGTTTACAGCGCGTGCCAAACCTAACAGTATCTTCGATGGCGGACCCAGATCAGTCGTTAAGCTGAGTATTGTCGACTCAATCACAAGAGAAACATAATCGCGGATGTTGGCGGCTTCTCGAGCTTCATCGACCAACCCGTCCAAGTGCTCCACCAGCGAAGCCACCGCCTGGGGTCCTGAGCTTGCGTCGTCCCCAGCCAGATAGAGATTGCGCAACTGAATGGCGGAGTGAATGGCCTGTCGTGCGTTCTCTGAAATGATTGGAGGAAGGTGGCGAACCCATACCGTTGTCGAGCTTAACGTTTCGGCGACGCGGGGCGGGGGTGGCGGACTGCGCAAGTTAGGTCACCGGTCGATCTTGGGCCCAACTTTAGACTCCAACTCACCGCGAAGAAGCTCCCCCCATGTCAGAGAGCAGTTGCGACACCGAGCTTTGAACAGATGAATAGTCGGGCGCGCCCAGGAAGGTGAAGACTGCGGCATTCATGTCGTTCGCGGGCTACGGCGAGGCCGTCAGGTTTAAAAGCTCGGGAGCTTGGGAAAGCATCGCAGCGAGGCTGACTGCGTATATCTTGATCTTCACATCGTATTTCGTGTCTGCATTTGCGACCGAAGGCTTCGAGTGGCTGAAGGGCCAAGCTTCCAGCTACGCGAGGGAGCTGAACGGCGGCGCGGGAAGAGCTCCCGGATTGGACCGTCCCAAGGCTCCGTGAGCGCCACCGTGTTTTCCAGCCATCACGAGACGCGTGCGGGGTACTGGGGTAAGACCCTACGCTATGCCGGGTCACAGGTCCATGGAAGTATCGTAGGGGTCGAGAGCTGCAATTCAACATCTCAAGAGGTGATGTGGCGACAAAAGGATATATGTTTGTTGTGTTGAGTAGTTCGATATGTACTCAGATGCTAATATATACACGTCCTTAATGATGATGCGTGCCAGATTCGTGGTTCGCCTGTAACGCCATTCCGTTCCTGCATCCCTTAAAAAAATGCACACTTCCAAATTGGTGCAGCTCCGATGTCCGGAGACTTTCCCATGATATCCTTTCCTAATGATGCCGCTCATAAACGCCTTTGCCAATGCGTGTGTGATCGATACGATTGTTCGATGTTGGGTTGGTAGTAACTGACGATGTCGTCGTTATGTGTTGGTGAAGTGGGTAGGCGGGTCTCTTAGACCTGGTTCTGAGCCTCGTAGACTTGCATCGCCTTCTCGAGCTCCTCGAGGCTTGATCGGTCTCCGTAGGCATCCATCAATTTTGCCGCACGCTTGCGGTCTTCCACTGCCTGTCTCTCAGCCTGCTCAGCCATGGCGATGCGACGCTGGACCATGGCTTGTCGGTAGGTGTTCAAGCCGTAGCCGACGGCAACGACTGCTACTGTGGGCGGGATCCTGTTGCCACTTCCGTTAGCATGCCTCGTTCATAATCGAACATGGCAAATGTTGGATGTTCATCGGCTCGGGGAAAATGCGTACCATCTCATGGCGAGTCTGCGGGGGGTCTGGAGGAAGTAGCTCGGGGGAACGCGAGCGTTGGTGGAAAAGGCTCTGGAGGCTTGTCTGAACATAGTACGTGATAATTTCGGTTTGGTGTGGATGTTGGGGGTCGATCGATATTTGTATGATTCGTCTGTATCTTGGTCCGTTGAATGTAACGCAAGGGATGGGAGAGATCTCTTCGGGCTAAAAGAAAGCGCCGGGTGGCAGCGGCCATGCATTCATATAATGAACCCTCCATACGCCAGAGCGTCTCCCGCCCATCGCAGTCGCCCGCGCCCCCTTGGCATGCCTATCTGATGGGACCCCCCAATAACCAGGCCATCCCCTAACTTGCAAGGCCATATCCGTAAGGTAGCCATTGGATTGGATGGCCACACCAAACAGGAGCAAGCATTTCCGTAGGGACGAGCATCTCCGCAGGGGGCAAAGCGGGATGCGCGGCAGTATTCGTGTGACACCAGCATGGCACCACGCTCAGCAGCAGCCCCAAATGGGCATGGCGCCGCCATCGTTCCAGAGCGTCGATTGTGGGGTGATGTCGACCGATTTGCGGGGTGTAATCGGCACAGCCCGGGTGCAGTAACGTGACGGTCGCTGGTCCTCGCTGGAGTCGCTGGAGTCCGGGAGGCCTTGACTTTTCTTTTTGGGGAGGCGGTCAGTCCGGAGGTTGTCTGTTCCATGTCACGGCGGACGGCGAAAGAAGAGGCCGTGATGGAGCACCACAGCACAGCACTGAGCTGTGTTCGTTGAGTTGTTGCTGGAGGTGAGGGCGACGACAGCATTCCCGAGGTAGCTTGCCGGCTGGTCGCGCCCCCTGTCCACTATCTCTCGACTTGTCTGTTGATCCCTGATTCCCTGACCACACCAAAACGACGCTCGCACAGCCCCCCGGATCTGCCTGGGCGGCTGGCTGGCTGTTCTGTCCAGCGCCCGTCCATCCTGTGTTGTGTTGTTGTCTGCCCGCATGTGATGGATGGTCTGTCTTCGAGGTCGGGAAAGTGCATGACGAACATTCAACGGCCGTCGGAGGGCTCCGTTGCTTCCAGACCATGTCAATTCGCCTTCTAGCGGTGTTTTGTTCCACGGTAAGACTATTATGACATCTACCACTCGGCAATAAACTGGAGATGTCTCATCAGGACCCTTTGGCTTAACAGGCGTTTTCCCATCCGTGCTCAGTGTTTTCCCCATTCCTGAAGCCGAGAATTGTCATCGTGGACGCGCAAATGCCGATTCCACCCGCGAAAAAACAGCAGACTCCACTCCAAATCGTCCCGAAATCTCGTCACATAGCCGAAAACCCTCGTTGATGTCATCTCTGGTCCCTGAATATTATCTCTGATTTCATTTCCAGAAATCCCACAGAGTCAGGCCCGTGCAGCTGCACTAGGCCAGATCTCATCTTGTCCCCATCGTATTACGCTCTGGCCCAGCCTTCTTTTGGAAGCCTTTCGTGCAATTCTCACCAATCCGTTGCCAAGGCACGAAATAGGCGAGCTGCACCAACCCCGGCCTGCCGATGTCATTCAACGGAATTTCCATCAATGAGCTCAACGCATTTTCCAATGTCCGTCTCCACAACCCGCTGCCAGCTTCAGCGCTCCGCCAAGAGAGGCGGTGTTTCGCAACGTCACAACAGGCAGTCGTCCGCGACTCTTGAAGCTCCTGTAAACCAATTTGATGACGATCGTGATACTGAATACTGTGTTCAATGCTCAAATTTAGTTGCCTTGATACAAGTATATAGGCAAGGAAGTCTCTAACCTGAACCTTGCCAACCCCTTGGGACCATCACATTTCAGATGCCCGCAAAATCGTATTCCGATCGTCCCGTTGTGTCCCATCTGCACCGACTGCCAGCCACTTTGAGAGAACGGGTTGGAACACTCTGCCTGGCAGCGACTCAGCAGAGAGTAGTCCCCAGTGGCCCGAACTCGAAGTTATCAATAGCATATGAGTTAGGTAAGCGTTACAGGGGAAAGAACAGATTCTCGTTGAGTCGGCCTGGATAATTATTTACGAGACCTGAGTGGGGCCAATATCCTGAACGATCAAAGTTCACCTCTTGATTCTCTGGAATCTGGTAACCTTGGATCCGTCGCTCAGCTCTTGCTGGATTTCTTGATGTTTGTAGCCCAGCAGTCTCGGTACAACCACAAAACGAAGGGTGTAGTAGATTATTCCCAACGACAAGATACCAAGAGCAACGACCGAGGACAGCCAGTACGGCAACGATGTGCTCCCCTTTCCATTGGGGGGTCTTACGAAAGGCATCACGATCAAGAACTATCCGAGTCAGCAATTAACCCTACAAGTATTAAGTTTTGGCAAGACTCACGATGTTTGCCGCAAGATAGATGACGATGAGAATCCAGGGGGCGGGGAGGGGCGACTGGAAGTTTGCGCGGTCGGTCAGGCGCAACTTGACCAAACCGACAGTAATGGCAAATAACAAGACGGTTGTCGGATAGCTGGATAGCGACACGACGAAGTTGAATGCATCGCCGGCTGGCGGGGCGCAGATGAAAAGAATTGTGACACCAAGATGAAGGAGCAGAGCGTAAATTGGCGTTCGAAACGGCCTGTTCTCCATGAACCAGTTGGAGAAGGGCAGAACACCGTCCTTGGCAAGCTCTTGGAGTAGCCGAGCTATTGCTGGAGTTAGTAAAGCAGCCAACTTTTATTTGAGGCCTGGATGGCAAACTGGAACTCACGGATTGTGAAGGCGACACCGAGAAGATGTCCGAGAGCAGACAGAGCAACAAGTGCCGGGAGGGCTTTGGCTCCAGCGGAGGGACCAAAGACATTTTCAAAAAGAGTCGCTGCAACCGTAACCTTGGCAGCAATGAATGCTTCCTTAGGAACAGCAGCAAACTAGCAGCCTCAGTCAGGATATGGCACAGACTGGAGTTCTAAACGGGGGTTGCACTTACGTATGCGACGTTGGCCAAAAGATACAACACGGCGATGACGCCCATAGACAAGGGAAGAGCCAATCTGAGTGTCCGCTGAGGATTGCGAACTTCAGAAAGAACCTGGGGTCTCATGTCAGTGACATTTCGAACTGGTCGTACCATGCAGCTTACGGCATTGACGTTGTCATATCCTTGGAAGGAGAAGATGACGTTGAGAATGGCAGAGCCAATGTTGTATCCGCTGCTCGATGTGCCTTCGAAAGCATTAGAGAAGTTGTGGGGACTCTCTATCCTAAGATGCCCCGCCAAGGCAGCAAAGCCACAGCACACGATGAAAAGGAGTGTAAACAGCTTTACAGCCGAAAGCACATCTTGAATCCCTCTGCCAACACGGGGTGCAACGGTGTGAATTCCGACAGAGAAAATAGCGCCGGCGATGGCGACACCGCGAAGTTTCCATGTCGTTGAATCAACGCCAGCCGCAACTAGGATATAAGAAGAGAAGGTAATGGCGTTGCTTGCAGAAACCTCTGCGTAAGCTTGGTTAGATGAAGTGACCGGGACTTGAAGCTCTAGTCAAGAGCTGACGTTGGAAGGATGAAACCCACGGAGGAAGACGCAATAAAACACGTAAATGCATGTTTGCATGAGTCTGGGGCTGAATGCGCGTTCCAGATAGTTCTTGATACCGCCAGATCGGGGGATGGCAGTACCGAATTCGAGCATAACAAAGATGCCGCATGTTGAAATAATAGCGCCGATGACCCAGCACATCAAGGCCATCCCTACACTTCCTGACAACTTGAATATTGTGCTAGGAGTCGAAAATATTCTGAGAAAATGTCAGCTCCATCGAATCGGCTAGAATAGCCAGAATAACGTACCCTGCACCAATGATCTTGTTCACGACAAGCGAAACAGCCCCAAAGAGGCCAATTGTCCGCTCCTGCAACACATTGACTTCCACAACTCCCAGCTGACCATCTTTTACAGAGTCATCAGCGCCATCACTGGCAGTACTGATTGCCGGGGTTCCTATGAAATTGTTAGCATGAACGTCAGACAGCCACGATCCTGTTTATCAATGTTCACTTACTTTTGATTACATCGCCCTCAGAAGCCATTATCGCAGACAACTCGATACCAAGGATTCAGAGGTGAAAAGTCGCCAAGGACAACGAAACCAGAGCCAACGATAGAAAAGCACGGTTTTAACACTTGGAGATCTGCTTTTGTGAAAATCTGCTAGCGACGGATAGTTCCCGACTTGTGAGCTAGCACGATGCGTCCGCGCTCGCAGAGCTGGGGTACAGAGCACGCCATACTGGAGCCAAGATGTCGAATCACCCAATTCAGTGCTGACCGCGCAGCGAGTAATAGGGAAACAAGGAGCCATTTACTGAAGCAACCCAACTAAAAACTGTACCGATTTCTTGGATTCGGTGTTTGCTGCCGATACTTGTCGCCTGGTGCAGTAACATCACCCCAGCCAATGCGGCAGTGGTCGATGTCGGGGATTCCCCGAAAATGTCGTGATTCCAATCCCAAATTCGCCATCGCAGCGTACGACGGCCATTGGGGGGAAAGCTGCAGGCACCGAAAGCATGGCAGATGATTCACCCGGGGCGCATCCGACTCCGGTCCGAATTGTTCGCAGGACGGATACTAGAGATGGATTACTCCCGATGTCTGAGCATAAATGCGGATGAAATATCGGATTCTTTTACGTCAAACGAGCGTGTATGTCAATAACCTCAACCGAAATTTCTGACGAGAAGCCTGCAGCGACTATGGCCATTGAGTTCGAGACTTTCGAAGTCCCCGGAGCGCGGACTTACTTCGGCAACACTTTACCTTATGGCCTCCAAGTGAAGCAGACAGGAGCTGTCACCCCTGCCGTCGAAAATACAGCTGCGGCTCTGCGAAAGCTAGGGGAATCCGGCAAACTTCAAGAGCTTCTGGAACGCCACGGTGCAGTTCTAGTCCGCGGGGCGGGTCACCCGTCCGCAGATACGTTCGCCAAGCTCGTTGGCGCCGCTGAGGAAGGCCGAGGATCTCATCCCCATGTGCAGATCGGCTTGGCTGGAAAGAGAACGCCCTTGGCGGAGAACGTATGGACTGCGAACGAAGGTTCGCCGTTGACGCGGTTTTATCAACATAACGAGGTATGAAACCTCCCTACGATGACTACCTCACGATACTCAACAGACATATGTCATACAGTACTCGAGATACACGCGCTTCCCTTCTAATATCCACTTTTATTGCGTCAAAAAGGCACCAAAAGGTATGGAAGAGACGTGCATGGCTTGCATGGCAAGGAAGTCGCTGATTAGTTTATCAATCAAGGTGGTGCAACGCCCATCGCCAACAGCGCCAATGTCTTCGAGAAGGTCCAAGCTGAGATTCCCGAGCTTGTAGACCAAGTGCACAAACGTGGATTGGGCATGAAGATGGTCTTTCGCGCACCTGGAAACGAAGCTAAGGTCAACTCCTTCAACTGGGCGGGGGAGCACAGCTTCGGGCAGGAGCTGGTTCCCGGCGACGACGAAGCTACGACGCGCCAAAAGGTCGAAAAGCAAGTGCGGAAATTGACAAATGACTTCAATTGGCAAGAGGACGGAACTCTTGAGTTGACTCAGCATATCCCAGGTAGACTTCATAAAACTGCGTGTGACCTTGACTGCAGCTGACACTCACAGGCATTTGGAGACTCCCATCAAGTGGTAGACCTGTCTGGTTCAATGGACTTGTAGGACGCCATGGCATTACTCGAGATATCGGAGCTCTTGACCCTCCTCACATTGGCCGAGATGGCATGACCTGTGAGCTTTCTGAGTTGACGAACACTGGTATTGAGCTAACGGATTGAAAGACGTCCCATGCGTATATGGAGACGAGACACCAATTCCGCGACACCTTCTTGACAAGTTGATCGATGTCATCGATAAGGAAGAAATCAGCCTGGTACTAGAAGAAGGCGATTTGTTGCTGGTCGATAATTTTCAGGTATCACATGGAAGAGAGCCCTGGGAGGGAGACAGACAGATCTTGGTGTCCATGTGGGATACCCCTATCCCAATCGTCGCATATTGAAGTAGATGGCTCGTTGGACTTTTACTCACTACCCTCTTCTCAAATTATGGCTATTGGCTTGACTCAAGCCAAGTACCTGTTATGAGCCTTTACAAAATATCTCTACCTATTCGACTGCATGCAGTACTTTGAGCCAACACTGTCTCGGTGTTCCAACTCAAAGAGTGTACTGGTAAGCGGGATGACATTGCCAGCGCTCCCCAAGAGCTCTTGAACGAGACCCTTCACGAACACCATCGGCCTGTAAGTCTTCGTCACCAGCTCGACGAAGCTTTCTGTTCCTCCATCGGAGGTAGAAATGCAGAATCGTAGCTAATAGAATGCACATTGCAGCAAAGGCGACATTTAGGATATTGGCCTGCCAGTATTGAGGTCCATGCGACTTAGGGTAGAAGTAACTGGCATATATACTAGCCAAGTTACTTCCGGCGTTGACGACAGCGTAGGACACAGCCCGTTTGGTAGACGGACGGGGCAGGGTTGTTGACACCCATGAGAGAATGCAACCGAAAGAGCCGTAGACGCTCATCATCATGAATGTCGCGGTGTATCGAGCGGCGACGTTGAGAGTAGTGGCCGAGATGATGAAGCCAACACTGCAAAAGACCTGGGGCCAGACAATATGGAGCCATCGCTCGCGATGCTTATCTGAATGCCATGAGTTGGTAATTCCAAGAATGGCAGCGAAGACGTAAGGAGGGGCCGATAGGAGCAAGGTGTTTCGCTGATTGTAACCGAGAGTTGCAACAATGGTCGGAAAGAAGTTGGTGAAGGAAGCTGCCGTGTTTAATCCCAGTTGCATCAGCCAAATCATGTACAGCGCTGGGTCAGTGAAGGACATCTTCAAACCCTGCCAGGCAGTCGCCTCGCCTCGGTCGTCTTCTTCAACGGCCTCCTCTGTGATGCGTAGAGTGGCAAGCTTTCTTTCCTCGTCTGTAAGCCATTTCGTCGTAGCCGGATAATCGGGTAGAGTGAAGTAGGTGAGGACGGCGACAGGAATAGGGATCGTGCCTTCGATGATGACTGGACCACCACCGAGTTAGTTTATGAGTCTGATGGAGGATCGGCGGCACCAATGCAGAAGACTTACAGAGCCATCTCCAGTCTGCCAACCCTAATTTTCCATTCATTCCACCCATTATTGCGCTTCCCAGCAATCCACCAAAAGCCCCCGCCATCTGACCAGCTGCATAAAGGACTGAGATGCGTACCGCAAGCTCTTTCTTTGTGTACCAAGAGCTGAACAGGTAGAGAGCACCAGCTAATAGAATGTCAATAATGTATTACTTGAATCGATGGAACGGATCTTTTACGGAAGAATGGCGCCTCGACGAAACCCAGGAGAAACCGAAGCACAACAGCACCAGTGTAGTTCTGCACCGCGCCTGTCGAGGCACTGACCACAGCCCAACAGCACATGACAACAGGCAGGAATATGCTCGGTCGCATCTTGTTCAAGATCATGTTTGTCGGCACCTGAGTCAAGATATATCCGACAAAAAAGACACTGATGATGGTGTTGTATTGTGTGCCAACCAAGCCAATATCCTTCTCGAAGTCGCCAAGTCTTGCGGTCGCAATCTACATATCGTGATTATTAGTACATTCGCCCCTAGATAAATCATATACAAAGAAAGCCTTGTCTTACGTTGTTACGGTCCAGGTAGTTGAGGACATGTGCCCACGAAATGTCAGTATGTTGTAAGGGAAGCTGCTGAAAGGCGAGACTTATAGAGTAGCATCATCAACGGCATCCTGGATATCTGGTCAGCATATTTCTCGAACAACCTTGATTGCAGAATGGCACTTGCATTCGTGTGTCTATCCTTCGCACTAGACGCCGTTCCTTTAGCTCGCGATCCTGAATAACTACATCGTCGGCAGAATATGGCTTGACGGCGTCATCGAGCATCTCCACTTGAGGGTCTTTGCCTGAGTCCTTGTCGACTCCTGAGCGCGACATGATGGGCGAAGATCGACAAATCAGATAGACAGAGAGTAGAAGAGTAAGCTGCCTCTCACAAACTCGGACGAGATCTATGAGAAGACTCGATGTGACCAGACCTAAATACAAGCAACACCTCGGCCCATCGGCGTATTCTCCGACCTAGTCCCACAACCGATGCTAGGTCTCCGGATATCGTCCCCTCCCCCGCAGTCACTGATGCGGAGAAATGGCGGGAGCTGTGGGTCTGGGGTAGTTCGAGGAGGCTAATGGGCAGATGCTCATGCAGGTGCTGTGATCTCGGAGCCTTGGGCGTCGGAAAGGACAGGCGAGCCGGTCGGCTGTCGCATAATCCCGGTCTCTGAGGTCACAATTAGAATCACGTCTCGAGGGTAAAGAAATATAGCGGATAGTATTGCCGGCTGACTTGGATGCATTCCCCAGAGAGTTACATGATAACGATTAGGCTCGAACGACACGTAGGCTGAAGATCTGTCAAATGACTAGAGAAATTGATAACAGAACGTGCTCGTGTAGTTCGAATCCAACCAATAGCTCATGATTCTATGTGGTGGGAAGTCTCGCGTCAGTGGGCGGAGGCGAATATATCCAAAGCAAAGAAGCCAGAGGAGCATGATCCACTGTCTACGTGGAAACCGTACCCAGCTCAGACGTGAGAAGGTACCGCCCCCAAGGTCCTCAGTGACTTCCAAGTTGGAAGGTCCAACCTCCGCCTTAGACCCCTGTGATGTTTGATCTGGCTCGTTGGAGTGAGCTTCCCCGCATCCATCTCCGGGGTGCTTATCCACTACCGCGAAGGTCAGTCCGGAGTCGCGGGGTAGGGAACCAACGCTGTGAACTCGTTCCTCAGATGATGATCGATAACAAAATTGGGATGGCGCAGCCGATCGGGATGAAGATGGTCTCACTGATGCTTCGAACAAATCTCAACAAAAGTACCGGCCGTCGGCTTGATTCTCAATAGGCCAGAGTCGGCCGAGACCCCGCTTGGAATCGCGGGTGAGACGTGCCTTGTACAAACCAATCAACCATTCCAAGTTCGAGACAGAATTGATGCAGGCCAAGGTGACGTGCTTCCTCGGACAAGTCTCCGATGTCGCCAACGCCGACCATCGGTCAACCAACATTTCCCCTCCGCTGCCTTGTTCGGATTGTGACGTTGGCATCTATTATAACGGTGTATATCCCAAGCTTGGAATGAAGTATGGCTACTTGAGTAAATCATAATCACCATTCACAATCTTGTTTGACCCAGTTGTTGTGCTTAATACAGCCTTCTCCACGATGCCCAGCGCTACGAGACCCATCGTCCTTCATCTCGGAGACCCCATCGAGTACAATCCCGACATCTACAAGGAGTTGAGGCAAATAGCGACTGTTATCAGACCTCCAGTTGAAGAGAGACAGCGAGAGCCTTTTCTGCAGGCACTCCGAGAGAAGAAATGGGGCGACTTCACGGCCATCATGAGGCCCTTTTGGAACTCGGGCGGCGAGATGGGTCGGTGGGATAAAGAACTGATTCCATTGTTGCCTGCTTCGGCAAAAGTCTTCGCATCAGCTGGGGCTGGATTCGACTGGGCAGATGTAGATCTGCTCGCAGAAGCTGGTAAGTGGTGTAGGCCTTCTCGACCTGTCAGATGTCTCTTACCAGCTACAGGCATTCTTTACTGCAATGGAGCAACGGCATCGTCCGAAGCTGTCGCCGACATGGCGCTTTACCACATCATCTCAGTGTTCCGAAATATGCAGTGGACTGCGACGGCTGGACGGAGCGGCAACCCCGAACAATTTCTGGACGCACACAGAAATAATAGCGAGACAGCACGGAACCCAAAAGGCCACACTCTCGGCATCGTAGGGCTTGGCAATATTGGATACCGCATAGCGCAAAAGGCGCACGCAGCCTTTGATATGAAGGTCGCATATGTTGATCCGATCCCGAAGCCCGCGGACCGAGAAGCTGCTGTCGGTGCAAGGCGATACCCTGACCTCAAATCAATGTTGGCTGTCTCCGACTGCGTCGTAATTTCGGCTCCTGGGGGTGCTGAAGGTGGCAAAGCTCTCATGGATGCGGCGCGGATAGCTCAGATGAAGCCGCAGTCACGCCTGGTAAACGTGGGGCGTGGAAACCTGGTAGACGAGGAGGCATTAGCGGATGCACTGGAGTCAGGCCATCTCGTTGCTGCCGGCCTTGATGTGCACAACAACGAGCCGCATGTGAATCGGCGGTTGCTTGCTATGAGGGACGTCAGCTTGACGTGCCACACTGCGGGAGGCGCCGTTGAGACGAGGATTGGATTCGAGGAACTTGCGATGAGGAATGTGATGCAGGTGATTCTTGGCAAGGAGCCGTTCACACCCGTCAACAAACATTTCTTCAAATGAGACAACAGAATAAGCTTTTCCAACGCCAGGACACATCAGACTGTCATACCTACCTCAGCACAAACGATGTTGTTCAATATGATACACGGACGTGGTAGTCTATGTCAAAGACCTAATCTCACTCACACACTAGTTCGATGCTCTTAGCATTTTGAATGTTTCCACCCCCGAATGGCGCCGAAGATTCCGGCCAGCGCCCGGTCAATCACTTCGGCCCCACACGTGCTACTCGGCGTCCGGCGTCCACAGCCATTACTTTCGCTGAGCGTCCAGTATCATCGAGGCCTCGTAGATTGTGATATACCACAAAAACCTTTATTTCATGTCTCTTATCATGATGAGTTTATGCTTTTCTATTTCCTCGTGTGCCGGGCACTCGTGATTATCTGGGCGAAGATTGTTACTCATACGTTGCCGTTCAACCCCAAGTGCATGTTGGCGAGTCTTACCGGACCTCCAACCCACTGAAATCAGGGGCGGTAATCTTAGCTCGCGTATTAAACTCGTGATTAAGCCTTTTTAGACCTGGAAGATGTGACGCTGACCCTCTTCGTATCTGCTGTGCCGCAGCCCTAACTGCAAGTGGACATGACTCCGCCAAGATTAGCGGTTGTTGCGATGGTACTTTTGCACTGAAATTGGCCTCGAGAAAACTGCCCGGGGTCTAGACCAGAGAAATTCTGGCGCAAGCAGCTGCCTCAAAAGCCGCCCCATTGCATACTATGGTGGCCATTTCTCTTCTCCCCAACGAACGCAGAACGACTAGCCCAAAACGCCCACGACAGCGAGATGATATCACGCTGGCTTTTCATCGCGGTTCTATGCGCCATCATAGACTTAGGTGCGCATGCATTATGCATTTGGGGTTTTGGCGGCTACGCTGAGCCATGCGGGGCCCAATTCATTGGCGCGGACGACAAAATCTGGATAGATGCCGTGGCAAACAGCAACTCGAGCGGTACCTACGCCATGCGTGGCTACGACGTCTCAAAGCCATGGCCGGGTAGCCCGATGGACGGCTGGAAGATTGCTATGGCAGCCGTTGACTTGGACCACGAGCAGCGAGGTGAGGCTGGCAGCCTGTTGGGTGGTCGTGCGACTATCGGTGATGACATCAAGATCATTGCCCCCGAGTCACTCTATGTGGCTAGCGCCAACGAGAGCGACCATGGCCAACCTGTCGTGAACGCAAATTCCGATTGGGTATTTTGCGCATGGCGCTGGTTCTCCCCGCCGTATGGGAACGAGTCTCTCGCTATGAATCCAGACAAATTTGAAGCACCGGAAGATGGTTCCTGCAAGCAGTGGCTACCCGATGCTTGTATTCAAGCTGTAGAGAAACAGGCAAGTACAGCATACTGGATCAACTCAGAACCTAAAGGTATTTACGGTTCTCGGCATACATGCTCCGATCTGGATGTTCCAGAGGAGTGTTCGAGCACTAAGTTGGTGGATAATGATCCGTTACTCCCAAGTACGCAGCTTTCTTGTTACTTATTCGAGTGTGAATTGGAAGTTAACCTTTTCCTTAGCCTGGGGCATCCCTCTCCAATATTTGAACGGTTCGACCACTTGGCAGAGCGGCTACGCCATCAACGAGAACACAACCGCCGAAGAAATGCAAGAGATGTGGAAGACTGTGACAGAAGGGTACCAGCCGATTGTTACAGTGTTTGGGCGTTTCCAGAATGATACACCAGACAGTCTGGACGTTGAGCCTGGTTTCGCGAAATTGAGCTGTCTTAGGGCTGCTCCTGCAAAGGGAGCAAAGTCCAACAGCGAGAATGGCAACGGAAAGGGTAGCGGAAGCGGAAGCGGCGGCGAAAGCGGCAGCGGTAGTGATGATAAAAGCGGAAACGGGTCCGGGAATGACGGATCTGATAGGAGCATTGGTTCACATATGCTAGAATTCTCCATGTGTTTGGTTGTTTCGGTAGCTGTTATACATTTAATGGTTTGAGCTTGGGTGGATTCAAGGCTTCCCTGTCACTTAGAAAATGAATTGTACGTCGTGACTGAATACTTTGGTGCAGCTCAACCTGGGATTGCGAATTTCGATGCCTGAGAATGCCACCATAACCTAGGAGTTCCGGACTACACGACATGGTGCCCGTGAACGTGAATAGAACTCTCTTTGAACTTGTGTTGTGATCGGTCTCAGCGTCCGCATATTCATTGACTGAGAAAACGGAGTTGAACTATGTCGTTTGGGAAACCTTCCTGGTACTGAGGCCAGAACGACGATGAGCTCTTCGGGACTGAGGCTTCAATTTATCCAAGTAATGGATTGCTCGGTCAAAGATTCAACTGTAAACTGACCGTTGTTGAGAATTGACGGGTCTTGTCTCGTGCGCATCGTGAGTGGGCAGTTGCATGGTGAACTTTGATTTAGCGACACCACTTAAACCCCTGCGGTAATAGCAAGCCGGTTCCTCGGCTAAGCATCATCGCGAAGACCGAATGGGGCCACTTGCCCAGATTTCGTCCTCTTGTAGCTTAGGATGCAACCGGAAATCCGGGGTAAATTGAGGCTTGCATTTAGCCGTGAGGGGTCACATCAGCAACGTCATTCTCTAGAAGCACCTTATTGAGTGGTATAAAATAGAAACAATATGTTGGCTGTTATCGTGTGTTACATACATGTAGTTTGTGAGTTTGGACGGCAATCCATACGGCTTCAAAGGATACCATGTTCAAACCGCCTTCTTTCCTGGCTTTAGGCCTACTTCAACTCACAGGTGATCCACTTGAAACCAATTGCGCATGTTGATGCTGATTTTTTCTTAAGAACTCGCGAGTGGTCTGATCAACCCGATCATCCCAGGTTTCAACCCGGATCCTTCAATTATCAGAGTCGGAAGCGACTTCTTTCTTGCAACTAGTACTTTCGAGTTCTTCCCGGGTGTCCCCATTTATCACTCGACAGACCTGTGAGTCCAAAGCTGGATTCCCATGTAGCAGTCCCCCAGCCTCTCCAGAACCATTCTAAACAAACCCAGGGTCAAATGGGACAATATCGGGCATGCGCTCAATCGCCCGTCTCAATTGAATCTCCGTGGGACTGCTCCCAGTGGAGGTATTTTTGCGCCCACCCTTCGACACCATGACGGCGTCTTTTATCTCGTGGACACGGCATTTGACATCATTAACCCTCCTGACAATGTGAGTACCTCCAACATGGCGAAGAAATTCGACTTTATTGATGCGATTTCAGGTGACTAGAGTACATCGCTCATTCTACGTTACCACGAGCGACATTTTTGACGAAAACAGTTGGAGTGACCCTACTTACGTTGACCAGTGGGGATTCGATGGCGATCTCTTCTTTGACGACGATGGCAAAGTATACTTTACATCCACGTTCTCTGAGTTCGTCGAGAATGGGAATTTCGGGAACTGGATCACTGAAATCGACATCACGACTGGCGACTCTTTAAGCAACTCTCGACTGCTCCATACCACCACAGTGCCTCCCGAGCTTGGATACCCCTTGGTGCGTATACGAGATAAATTAACTCCCGACATTGATAATATTCTGAGACTGACCTCATCAGACGGAAGGAAGCCACCTTTACAAACTCAACGGAACCTATTACATGATCACGGCCGATTCGGGAACTGAAGCCAGCCATAAAGCAAACGTGTATCGCTCAAACAGTCTTGAAGGGCCATGGGATGGAAACCCACATAACCCTGTGCTCTGGAATGGCGAAGACATGTCCCGACCAGTACTTGCAACAGGCCATGCTGACATCGTCAACGACACCGAAGGCAACTGGTGGGCGGTGTTTCTCGCAACCCGCCCACAGAACCCACGGAACAGTAGTGGTCTCCCCCAGCTGGGCAGAGAGACTTTTCTCTGTCCGGTCACCTGGGACGATGAGGGATGGCCTATTTTCAACAACGGCAACCCCATCACTGAATACGAAGCCGATGTCCTGTATGACCTAGACAGGCCTCAAGTCTGGCGAGACGAATTCGATGGCGGGCTTGTTGATAAGTCTTACTACTACTTGAGAACGCCTTACAAGGACTTCAAAGACTTTGAGTCTAGCCCTGGGAAGCTTCGTATCAGAGGGAATGTCTACACATTGAATGACAGAGAGACTCCCGCAGCCTTGCTTCGCAAACAGGTTGACCTGAACACTACCTTCAGCACAGAGATAAGCGCGTTTAGTCCCGAGAACTGGAGACAAGAAGCGGGGGCAAGCATTTATCTCAGCATTCACTACCACAACGAAATCGCTTTGACCTACTCGAATGCGACCAGCAAGCGGGCAATTGTGGTTCACACAAGAACGGGTATCGATGCAACACTGAACACAACCTATGTCGAGGATGAAGAAGTTGCTGCAGGCGCGCCTGTCAAACTCTTCATTGAGGCGAAGGATTCTGGCTACCGTCTAGGATATTCAACTGGCAGTAGTGACCCCCAGTGGCTCGCCAGTGTCGAGAATCGATGGCTACAGTCTTACGTCGAGGGTTGGCAGAATTTTGTCGGCAGCCATTTTGCGATCTACAACACTGGTACTAAACTACCTACATTGAACTCTGCGGTATGTTGCAAGCGCCTCAAGTCCATGCAGGTGGTAAACTGACTAGAATATAGGAGTTTGAATACATCCAAACTGAGTTGAACTAAGCTCAGACTGAGCTCGAATTGAGCTATTGGATTTCGAGATTGGTATCATACAAGTAGACTAGGACCTTCGTGGCTCGTTTGACGGTAGCTACAACGAGAATGGCGAAGCCCTCCCAGCATCATATTTGTAGAGTCTTTGGCCGTCGCTCGATGTTGATCCACATATCCTCGTAAAAACTGACGCCACCCTTGACAACGTATCGTCCGGGATCAGTTCTGTTAACGGCCTCTGGCTTGAACCTTCGGAACAGCTGCAGAGGGGCCTTCGAAAGTTCCATCATGGCCAGGTCGCGCCCAAGGCATACCCTCGCACCGTAACCAAACCCCATGTTGTACTTCAGCATTTCTTTCGTCTTCTCTTCGCTTTCCAGCCATCGTTCGGGTCGGAAGACTTCTGCATCAGGCCCAAACACCGCTTCATCACGATGCACGAGCCATGGATTGCAGGTTAGTTCGGTACCTTCGGGAACATGCTGTCCAAACAGCTGCACCCCTGCTCCTGCGATTCGAGGGAAAATGTTGGGTGCCGATGGATTCAGACGTAGTGTCTCCCGAACACAGGCTGTGTAGTATGGGCAGTGAGCTTGAACTTCGGCATACTGAGGTATATCTGAAAGATTGCCTGCCCGTGTCTGCGTGTCAATCTCTTCCATGAGACGCTCGTAGACCTCCGGATGTGTCAATACGTGCATCATGAAGGCCTGGAATGCCGTTCCAGTAGTATCTGCGCCGGCAAGAAGAACCAGCAGAATTTCTGCCTTGATATACTCTAGGTCGAGTGGCTCTCCCTTTTCGTCTCGAGCCTCAATGAACCTTGACACAGTTTAGTATCGAATTCTGGTATGACCGTTTTCATCCTGAGGCTTACGTTTGAAGTAGATCAATCCGGCCGTTTGTGGCCCCCTTCTCAATATCCTCAAACCTCTTAGCAATCAGACGGTCTCGAAATCGCATCAATGTGCCAATCCCAGAATCTTGCTCGGGTGTCGCCACCAAGTACTTCCCTAGGAAGGTGCTTTTCACCCAATTCGTAAATGGCCAACAGCGGGCCATGATTCCAAATGGCACGAGTCCGTCATGGAAACCTTGAATGAGTCCTTCAACGTCCTTTTCTTGGTCGATGAAGCCGAAAGCTTGGCCAAACCCAACATCTGAGACGATGTCGTATACCAGGTAGACTGCCCACGGTGCAAAATCTAAGCGTTTCCCGACAGAGGCAAAGTTGTTGTCAAGTTTTGCTATCCAACGATCGATATGCTGGTCCAGGAGCGGTTCCATCTTCTTGATGTTAGAGAAGGCGTAGGGTGCGGCTGCAATCTTGCGGTAGCGAGCATGAACTATATGATCTTGCATGTTGAACAGAGATTCTGTCTTGCCGAACGAGCCAGTGATGTAATGCTGAGACTTATTGGCATTGCGGTGGTATATTTCAGGGAGTTTTGTCGCGTCAGTCACCAACAGCATCGTCGGCGTTATACGCATGATAGGACCTTGGGCACCTAGTCAATTATGGCGTCGGAAAACACCGTCAACAAAACTCACCATGTTTTTTGTGAAGCGCTTGAAGAGTCTGGCACTCATCTTGCTTGACGTTGTGATATGTGATCCATAGTCTGGTGACCGAGCCCCAAAAGGGCCCGGGAAATTTGGCTAAGGGGTGGAAGAATCTGTAGTAGACGATCTGATAGACCACGTTCCAGGCGATGTACGCCACGACGAGCAGGAGAAAATTCGCAACACTCAAAATTGCCATCATGAACGATGCGGCAGTAGGTGTGTAATCAGAAACGTTTCTTTGGCCAAATTTCTTTCGAGTTTATTTCTCAAATACCAAGCGTTGGCGCTCGCCCGAGCAGATAGCACATGATGACCAGGGGCAGTGGGTACGCCAAAGGATTCATCTGGTGGACCTTCACCAACGCCTCTGTCTCGATAGGTTGTGCAATGCAGTGACGAAAGATGCCGCGTGAGGTTGCATCGTGTCGGAGTAGACCTTGCAACAACCCCGCTCGTGGGCAACATTGGCTAACCGAAGTCCCTTGCAGACATGAAGTAATGACGATCGTATCACAGGTCCTCTACCGGCAACCAATGAAGGATTCAGATGCTGAAAACGGTGTCCAATACCGTAGGTACTCAGTTAAAGGAGAATCCCCATCTCCCCTGTCAGACTAATCAGACGTTTTGCTTTGGTTTCTCTTTAACCCGCTCGGTGATTTAGTACTGAGCCGACTAATCGGGGCCTGATTTAAACCTGGCGAGCAGGGGGATGCGGATTCTCCTTTAACTGAGTACCTACGGTATGGTGCGGTGACTTTGCCAGCCACGAGGCTACGGGCAAACAGACCATATTTTCTTCAGGGGTTAGATGCAGCAAAGTGGATGTTGAGGGCGCAGGCTCGGACTTGAACCGGTCGGCCGCTTCTGCGGGGGCACAGTGAAGTGGATCATCACCGCGATGGAAGATGTTGGAATCACGGTCTTCGAGGAAACCGGCTGCCAGCTATCTTTTGTTCAGTACCTTGCAAATATACTTGGGTACAGAATTGAGCTGTCTAGAGACAGGTGCTACACTACTAAAATAGGTAATAAGTTAAAACTATTGTACATATGAATTTTACGCGTGATCTGGTTGGTTCTGTTGCACCCTTGCGTTACCAGCAAGCGCACATGCCTTCGGCTCCACCATTGCGACCGTTACAGCGGCCTTCTCGAGAGCTGCATCGGCGACACAATGCGCCGCTCGCTTCTTGATTCCATTCATCACTACCGACACAAGTCTGGCAGTAAAAGACCCCAGATGGATCATACTTGGTTTTGATCTCAATCAGTTGCTTCCAATTTGAGGAGTAAAAGTCCTCCTGAAAATTCGTGTCGCCCCAATCCGCTTCGTTCATGTAAGTTCCAGTGCTTGGCGAAAGTTCCCGATAGACTGGGAGTACGTTCTGACGGACGTCGTCGAAGAGATCGATATTCGATGACACAGAAAGCTCGCCACTGAGAATCGGTCTCTCAAAGATGTCGAGAATGACAGCATCGTACCATCCAGGCTGAACCGCGGATGACTTGTCTCGCGTTTCTTGCGCCGTCTGAAGACCATGGTGAACGATGGTATGGAACACGGCCTTGCCATCCTTTCCAGCCATTATATCCATAGCTTTGCGAAGTTGATCTCGATTGCCCTCCAACGCTGATTTTCCCAACAAGCGAGAGGCCAGGGCTGAGACGCCGCCCACAGTTGCATCTGTTCCTGACTTGTTGGCGTAGTAAGCACCATAGTCTGTGTACGCCTTCTGCGTAATGGAAACAGTGAAGCCGGCGTCTTTCAGAGGGGTAATCTTCTCTGCGATGGGCTTGAACAACCGGGTCGCCTCTGCTGCGTCGTTGCCCAGCGTAGTGAAGGTCTGAGTGTAGAAAGTAGAAAAGTTGCCGCCGATGGGCACTGGGCTATTCATAGCCCAGGCGCCGTAGCCGGCGAAGCCAACCTCTGACAGATAAGGATAGGAAGAATAAATATCTGTCATCGCATCGATGAACTTGGCCGAGGCATTTGCGCTTGTTGACGCGGTGCCGATAACAACGTCGATGGCATCAATGTTCTTGGTAGGGTAGGTCTTGACTGTCATCTGTGTCACGACCCCGTAGGTACCACCTCCTCCTCCACGGATGGCGTAGAACAGATCAGAGTTATTGCAAGGGCTTGCAGTCACTATCTCTCCAGATGCCAAGACGACCCTTGCGGACAGGACCTGGTCGGCACCGAGCCCATAGAAGCGAGTCACCGGGCTGTGCCCGCCTCCTTGTGTCCAACCGCCAGTGGCACAAGGTCCCTTGATCGTTGTCAGTCAATAATACTGCAAGTACAACAAGATACCAATGGCGAACATACCCTGTTGTTTCCACCGACGACGATGAGATTCTTCTCGAACGCAGTGGGGTAGATATCGGACCACGAGTAGGCTCCAGTGATTGTCAATGCGCTCCCTTTCCAGTCCGTCTTGGGACAATCGTTTACGACCTGGAAGTCGTCATGGAAATTGAAACCTTTTCGATAGTTTTGCAACCAAATGGAAAGGCTACCGTAGCCGGTCGACCTTTGGTTTGTTGTTAGCTTGGCCGGGTTGGACTTCATTCGACCTAGCTGACCTTTGGAGGAAGTCATGGCCCGTAGACTTGATGACGACACGAATGTTATTCTTCTTGGCGAACTCGACCGCCTTCGAGATATGCTCCTCGTCGGTGACATTGACAGCAAATACTGGGGAGTTTCCGATTGTGCAGTTGGCCGAGGGGGCATTGGCAGTGAACTGAGCTAGTGGACAAGAGGAGTTGAGAGGATAGTCATAGCCGATGGGCTGAGATGCTTGGAAAGTCGCCGTGCTCCAGCCCTGGGTGACCGCTTCACAAGCGGCGGCATCCCGATTGGGTCCGGCATAACACGGCGCCGCAGGTGGGGCCGTCTGGATGAGGTTTCCGGCGATGGAGCTATTGAATCGGCCCCACTCTTTATCAGATGGCCAGCAGATATCATTAGGGGTCTGCGTTGCGGTCGGATTAGCATGGATAGCTGTACATAAAATGGCATGTTAAGTAAACTTCTTACACATTTGCATTGGCCAGAGACGAGAGGAATCAACGCGAGTAGCGTGATGTACGCGGAAGTAAGCTCCATAACTGCAGCACATGCAGCGGCCACACAACGTCGCTGAGAGTACCTTACAGCTGGTTGAGCTTCACTACCTGCAGCTTGTGGGAAGCCTTGAACCCAAATCTGTGCTGAAAGAACCTATTTCATCCGTTTACCTGCATGAACACCCAATCAAACGGAATATTTCGCAATTACCGAGTGAATGAACGCGGTGTTCTTGATGCGAATGGGGCTCCACAGGGAATGATGTGAGAGCTGACGTGAGATTTTACAGGGGCAATCGCAGTAACTAGAGCCCCCAGCCACAGCGGCTGGTCAATGCGACCAGGCACGCCCTCAGAATGCAACTCACCAAGAACTCGAACTCGGCCTTCTGATCACAAGTAATAGACATCTGCGGCCAACGATAGAGAAAAGGTGATTTGCGCTACAACAGGCCAGATGTTGATGTCAAGCACTTAGAGAACTACCTAGACTGGAACCGAAGCCACGGTCCAACCTTGGCGGATGTAACATGATCCCACATCTGGAACTCATTCACGTTGCCAGTCGACCCACCAAACGACTTCTGATCTTTTGTAGACCTGGTGAAGTCGAACCTGTAAAGGATATGCGCCAAAGTCAACGTGATCTCATGATACGCAAATCCCTTGCCGACGCAGCTGCGAGGTCCACTCGAGAAGGGATAGAATGCTGTGCGTGCCAACTCCGACTCTTTGGTCGATCCGCCCTCGCCTACAACCCATCTTTCAGGCTTGTACTCGAATGGAGAATCGAAGTAGTCGTCGTGGTGATGCAGACTGTAGATCCCAGTACCAACATCGATTCCTCCTGGAAGGGAAAGAGATCCTATAGTCATACCTCCTGGCCGGACCTCTCTCCAAAGCGCACCTCCTACAGGTGGCGACATTCTCAGCGCCTCATCAATACATGCTCTTAGATAATTGCATGAGCTAAGCTTGGCCCCGATGCGAATGTCCTCCACACTGTCAAAGGTCGATCTGATCTCATGACACAGCCTGGCATATGCCCTGGCATTTCCACTGAGGTAGAACAAGGTAGCTGCCAGTGTCGTCGAAGACGTGTCCGATCCTGAACCACTGTCAACGTGAGGCCCAAAAGGCGTTTGACAGGGAATGAACGTACCGGCAACCACTAGTGTAGCTGATTCTGCTCGTATCTCAGACTTGCTGAGTGTTGACTCGCCGTCCGGGTCCTTGGCTGTTTCAAGATATGAGAAGACATTGCCATTGTCAGAGAAGGAAGCCTTTGCTCTGCTTTTCAGGAGAGAACCAAGGAACCCGAGAAACTTGTTCCTGGACTTGATTGACTCGGCGAACAGATATTTGTCGACCCTTCCGAGCGCAAGACTCGAAGCTTGGACCAAGGCACTGATACGGACATTGGATGCCTCCAAGGCTGACATAACAAAGCGGTACTTTGGTTCTCTGAGGGCATTGTATTTCATGCCAAAGATGACCTCTGACATGATATCGAAGGTGAAGTAGTCACCTTCATAAGTTAGATTCAGGCAATCTCAAGAGGCAGTCGTGGAAACTTACACTGGTGAGACATGTCCAGTGCCTCAGACCCAGAGCTCGATGCCTGAGACTTTGCATTGTCAGACAAGTTGAGACAAAGTGTCTCTATGTGACGGAGGAGGATAGCTTCGTAGGCGCGCAATTGTGCATCAGAGAAGGCAAGACTCAGGATACGACGTCTGCGTGCATGATCTTCTCTGTTGCGAATTGTCAAGGTATTTGGGGCACTGTGAACGAGTGCCTGGTAGGCCTTTGACTTGATGACATTTGCACCATGGGAGCTGATTTCTGTACCCAAGCTCAGGTTAAATACAGTATGAGAAGAGGGATGGAAACGGTACATACCCCGGGCAGCCGTGCTGCTGTTGATAAGTAGGCGAGACGGCGAATAGCGGACAACGGGGCCTTCGAGTTCTTGTTAGCGGGACGTACTTAACAGTTACGATGGTCGACGTGACTTACCGTATTTTTGATGACATCTGTACATGTCAATATGAAGCGTTCCCCTCCATGCGTGATACGCGGCATAAAGATTGGTGCATCTTCCCAGCAGCGGACCTGGGTACGCCGCCAATGGGTGCCAGACAAGTTGCTTGACGAGGAAAGCTACAACCTACGGGAAATATCAGCCACAAACCCCATCAAACGGCCAGTAAATCTGCAGAGATAAACTTACGAAGGTAACTGCTGCAAATGCAGCCAAACTTAGATAACTCATTCTTGCGACAGTTTGTGAATCAGAACGATAATGGAAGCATTCCGCCGAATCTCTGGTCTTCGGAGACGCTGTATCACCGCGGGTTCCGCAGAATGGTGAATTGTCTCCTAAGGCACAGCGACCAGCAAACCACTTACAGGGCGGTCCATCGTTTACAGCGGGTGAGCCACCAGCCTGCAGCCCTGATTTCGGCCAAGCAAGCGATCTCCGTATGTGAGTCAGGCTCACGTCACGTTCAGAAAGAGCAGTTCTCTACGCGGGCTGCCCTGTGCAGCTGGGTGGCTCTAGGTGGGAGGATCCCTGTCGGAGCGCTAACAAACACCCCGCGGGGAAGCAAATGCGCTGTTGGCACTGAAAACGCATGTGTTACTGCTCGCATCCTCGTTCAGGGTCTTCCAAATACGGCGGAAACCATGACGAGCGTGATAAACTCATACCTGGCATTGCTGGGCCAAATCTTCACCCTGGCTGCCGGGGCGGGTTTCCTGGCGGTTGTAAGTGCGCAATTTCAAGGTTGAAGCTGGATGTTGAGCGCTAATAGATCACACCCAGGTGGCTCTCTGTGTTTATCGCCTCTACTTCCATCCCTACGCCAAGCATCCTGGGCCCCTCTTGGCGAAATTGACCAGTTGGTATTCTGTATACCACACCTATATTGGTGATCTTCACGTTGACATCTGGCGTTGTCATGAGAAGTATGGTAAGTCCAACATACTGGGCTGCAAACCAAATAAGATACCATGTTGCTAACACGCCATAACAGGGGACGTTGTCCGCTATGGTCCCAACAGACTATTGATCAACAATGAGGCAGGATTGAAAGGTGAACAGTTGTCACCGGAGAGTCTCATCGAATAAATTGTGTCTGACAGAATTGTAGGTATTTATGGACACGGCAAAAATGTCCGAAAGGCCAAGTCGTACCATCGCATTTCGTTGGTTAAGGGTGTGGAAGCAACCCAGAGTGTTGTCGACAAGACCAAACATGGCAAGCTTCGAAGAATTCTCAATCAAGGACTCTCGGATTCGTACATTCGAACATTCGACAAAGAACTGACAGATCTCGCTCGCTTGTTTTCGTCAAGTCTGGGATCAAGCAAGGACCGCTTCGTCCCTGACACTGACGCGACTACTGACGGATGGACATGCGCCAAGAACATGGCCCATTGGTGTGAGTTGACATTTAGCTACTGGGGATAATCGACTTGCACTAATTTCGCCCAGGTGACTATTTCACGTTTGACGTGACGTCGCAGCTGGTTTTCGGGAAGTCGTATCATCTTTTACAGAGCCCCGAAAACCACTGGGTTGCGGATGCTATCCTGGGTCAAATGCGCCGAGTGAGTTTTCTGATGCAATTGCCCGAGATGGAGGACATGAAGTTGCATAAGATTTTGTTTCCACACGCACGCAAGAAGGCACTTCGATTTTCTATGAAAAGCAAAGAGATCATGGAAAAGCGAAAAGAGTCTTCTGACGCTATCACGAATGACCTATTTTCAAAGCTTCTAGCTGCCAAGGACCCTGAAACGGGAGAGTCGCTCTCCCAGTTGCAGTTATGGGCTGAAAGCAACTTGCTAATTATTGCTGGTAAGAACTGCTATGAACAACGACGCATGATAGCCAGTGTCACTGACAGCATTTTCTAGGATCTGACACCTCCTCAACCGCAATGGCCGCTCTTTTCTTCTACCTGTCTAGATATCCCGAGGCATATGAGAAGGTCGTCAAGGAGGTCCGGAGCACTTTCCGCTCAGCAAAGGAAGTTTCTCAAGGACCCAAGCTGTCGGCTTGCACGTATTTGAGAGCTTGTATAACCGAAGCTGCCCGTTTGTCACCTCCAGCAGCCGGGGCAATGTGGCGTGAAGTGCAGGATGGCGGTCTTCAAGTCGGTGACCTTTACGTCCCAGCCGGGTACGACATTGGGACTGGTATCTACTCTATCAACCATCACAAAGAGTATTATCCTCAACCTTTCAAGTTCTGGCCCGAGAGATGGATCCCAGAGATTGTTGGGGAGGAAGCTGTCTCAAAGGCGAAGTCCGCGTATGGTACGTTCTCTGTTGGACCAAGAAACTGTGTTGGGAAGGGGCTTGCCATGATTGAGATCTCGCTGGCGATGGCTGCAGTCATCAGCGAGTTTGACTTCCGCCGAGACGAGACAGGGATGGGCAGAGTCGGGGAAGGCAAGGGAGATTTGAAGGACGAGTATCAGATCTTCTGGGCTTTCACTAGTATGAAGGATGGACCCTTTGTGCAGTTCCGGCGGGCCGAGGCTGTCGGTCTGCATTGAGGTGCCCCAGAGGTAGCAAATTTGTAGAACTGCACAAGATTATATATTCAAGCCCCCACAAATTCACGAGAGATATCCAGACTGTGATGGTCTGAATAATTTTGGAGCGATGGAGACTGTCATCGCCGGTTCTCACACCATACACCACAATGTGAGTAATCAGACTCCGAGCTTTGACTGCACGTCCAGACAACTGAGGATATGAGACTCAACGTGAGAAAATTCTGGAAGTATTATAATACAGAACTACTCTCGAAGACTATGGCGCCAACCGAAGCTATCCATTGCTGTGCCATTCTGGATGCTCTTCAGTGATCCCCATAACTCCTCATAAGCAGGCCCTTCGGGAACAAAGTTGAAAGTCTCATTGGTAGACTTCCGATGAACACAGGATACGGAAACTAATCCAGCCGCGGTTCCCGCGGCAAGAACCTCCGTGAAGTTTGAAAGCTCATCAAACCTTACCTAAGGTGAGTAAGTTAGCAAATACTGACCAAAGACTTACAGGTCATATGTCATGCTCATAAGCTTACGGTTCTCTTTTCCACCCTCCAGCCGAGGCTATCAGCAACTTTGGCTGCCGAATCCGCCGTAATGCTCTCAATCGCAGCTTTGCTGTCGGCAATGACCAGGCTGGTCTCCCCTCCATTTCTCCCAATACCGATGAACCCCGAGGTAGAGAACTCATCAATTTCAGTCTGAGTCTGACTGTCTAAATGCAAGAGGACGTTGTAACCCTCCTTTCTTGCCTCAGAAGTCCATCTCATCACTGGAGCGTAGTTGCCACCAACTTTCACTGCACCTGACCCCCTTGTGGCAGCACGGTCAAAATCATCAAGCACCAAAGCCTTGATGGCGCCGTGACCATGAAAGGCAATGTGAGGCTGAACAAAAACGCAAAACAGAAACTCCTCGGGGGGATCCAGACCAATCTGAGCGCTGGAACCAAATTGGAAAGGACGAATATAAAGGGATCCCTTCACATCGTGAGGGCAAACATACTCTGCATTCTTCCTGACGGCTAGGTGAACGGCTTCAAGGAAAATGTCTTCTGGTACCTCTGGCATGGAGACAAAGGCAGCGGACCTCCTCATTCTAGCAGCGTTGGCATCGGGACGAAATATAGAGATCTCGCCTGCTTGGTCCCTACGAGCTGCATTTCGGTAAAAATGATTAGCATTACTGTTTCAAACGGTCGTCAATATAACTTGATACCTTGTAGTCCTTCAAAGACTTGCTGACCTGCGACCGAATTAGCATCTATGGATGTCGATCTAAGCTCATGGGGACACACACCATAGTGCAACCCCGGAGCCAAGCCGTGTATTGAAAGAAAAGGGCTCTCAACAAACGTCGGGGTTGTCCATTTGCCAGTGGCTGCGTCGTAGACAGACTCTACGTGACCAGCAACTAAAAATAAAAAGATCAGCTGGATGTGTCCATGATGTTCTGCTTTGAGGCGGTAACTGACCATTATTCCTTTTGCTGTCATACACATCCCACTCTGGTTGCTCATTAGCGATACTAGCACAAGCTTTAGGAGAGCCCCTGTGTTGTTCCAGGGGTTGGGTACTTGCTGTAATCCGATTTTGGTGGTATCATAACGGCTGAGAGACTGAATGTACCCTGTAAAACCAACTGGCACAACAAGTCATCAGCGCAAATCAACAAGAAGAGCCGTCGTGCGCCTCTGAGCGACCAGCCTCCTACTGCTATGCCTTGGTAGTCGGCTCTCCGACAGGGGTCCGCTGCCAGTCGCACAGCACATGACTTACCGGGGCGCACCGGCCACAAATGAGTTTGGTCAGCATGACGTGAGATGAGCGTTCGCCCTGGCTAAGCGAGAGAGCATTGTAGATTGCGCAAGACAGTGACATGATATGCAATATTGCTAGATGAATTGGCTTCGCGAATTGGCTCGGCAAAGTAAGCCAAGGACTGTGGGCGATATCCATTGGAGAGACCGCTTGTGATTGGCCAGTGGCTGTGAATCATGGCGAAGCAGATGGCGATAGTTACACGGGCAGGCAGCTACATAGGTAGTGACTTTGAATGCTGCAGTCAGAGAGATGGAATACCTGGCCACGATTTTGCCGGATTAATGGAGTTGATTAAAATATGACGCCATGAAGATTTGCAGAAGATGTTTTAACGCTAGATGAAATGTGTTGTGATACCGCAATTAACCGAACCTGGAATCTAGTATCGAATAGACGAGTCTCATTCTAAAAGAAAATAGACCAAGTGTAAAGTGAATCGCCTTCTTTTCAAGCCTTGGGCTTCACTTCAATAAGCGGGCCATTCTTCCAACTGATAAACATGTCCACCAGCTCGTACTCTTTAGACGGATCCGGTCCTTGACCGCTGCACGTCCCGTTGACCCATGATTGCTGGCACAGTCTCATGTCATACTTGAACATCAAAGTTGCAAAGAGAATTGAGATCTGGAGGTATGCGAGAGGCTTTCCAATGCATCCGCGGGTTCCAGCACTGAATGCCATAAAGGCGGCGGAAGAGTACTTCAGAAAATCAGGGGTGATGATGGTGCCGTCTGCAAGTGTCTCACCAACGATCCACCTTTCCGGTTGGAACAAGAAAGGGTCGGGGAAATATTCCTTATCGTGATGAATGGAGAAGACCGGCACTCCGATGTTGACACCCTCGGGGTAGAAGGTGTCTCCAACCTGCACACCACCTGGTTCCACTTGACGGTGAAGCACTGAGCCAGCCGGGGGAGACAGTCTCAAGCCCTCATTGATGCAGGCCCGAAGGTAAGTGCAGGCCTGTAATTCCGTGCAAAACTCAATTTGATCAACACTGGAAAACACACTCCGAACTTCCGCCTGGAGTCTTGCGAGCTTGTCGGGGCTGTGTAGCAAGTAGTAAATCGTGGAGCTGATGGCAGTTGAAGACGTGTCGCTCCCTACTAGAGTTAGCCCATGGCCATGGCACCGTATTGCCATATTTTGCTTACCTGCTGTAATTAATAAAATTGCCTCTTCGACTAACTCTTCCATGGTGAACGTGTCTCCCGTAACGGGATCGACCGCACCAGTGAGCCAGAACATGAAGTCCTTCTTGGAATCACTCAGTTTGCTCACTCTTTCATCCGCCGCCTTCTCAATGAAAGAATCGAATGTTACCGTAGACCGAACGTGATGAGAGAAGAGAAGCCACTTGAGCCTCAGAGTGTGAAGAAGCGTAAGTGAAGACCCAGTCTGTTTGATGCATCAGCCACTGTTCTTTTAACACTTGTGCAATTCTACTTACGACGTTGTCTGCCCATAATGTCTCGTGGAGAATCTTTATGATGTGTCTGTTCCCAGCGTATCGCATCATGTCGAAAGATTTGGAGAATGACAAGTCACTCGAGACGTCGAATGTGAAGCGGTTGATCCATTCCGAGAAGTTTTTCGGTTTGCTCCACTGCTCTGAGTTCGAAGGCTCTCTTCCTGACAACACATAGCCTTCTTGGGTATCGTTGTCCAGGAACTCTAAACACTGACAGAGAGTCGCAACGTGTTTATTGATGGTGACACCTGCGGTTTTGAGCGCCGAGTCGGAGAAGCCTTGTCGAAGGATCCGCCGCTTCCTTGCATGTACTTGCTTGTTGATGGAAGAGAACAGACTGGCTTTCTCTGGATTTCTGGGAAACGCCAGATAGTTGTCCGCTTTTCGAGTGTAACGACTGTTGGTGTAGAGCATCTTCACCCCCTCGGCAGATCTGATGCTGACATGGTTGGGCCCATAGCGAACAATTGGGCCATATTTCTCATGCAGTTGATGCAGGTTGCGAGCTTGGTCCTTCTTCAGAGCATGATACGTATTGTAAAGGCTCGTCAAACGTCCAATCAGTGGGCCTGGATGGGAGCTCAACGGATGCAGAACGAGGCGCTTGAAAATGAAAGCAATTACAGCAATCTCAAGATATTGTTAGATATGAGACACGAGAACATTTCCGATGAACTGTAGGAATGGGGTCGGCACATGGGACGAAAACTTACCAGCAAAACAACAAAACCAGCCGTCGCGGTGTTTTTCGACACCGACAGGCTGGCACCAACAACCTTGCTCAGATCGTCCATTGTTCGCTCGGTCCTGAGGAACTACTGCCAGATTCCTCGCCCGAACGATTGCTGCTGGGTATCCACGAGTTTTCCCGGCGGGCTCCCGCATGCATCAAACGCGGTGTTGTCCTGACTCATAAGCATGCCCTCGGTGTTGAGTAAGACGGATACTAGGTGCTGATGTCACCTTTAAGGTTCCGGAGCAATAATCGACACCCCTGCACGACCGCACCCGAGGGTGGCATCTGATCCTGAAATTAACACGAATTAGGTTGCTAAAGTTGCGATGCCTTCGAAACCGACGTTCTCGCTTGCAAGAAAGTTCCAGATCCACAGAGCGCAAACCCTATGATTCGGGTTGAAGTAGAATCCCGAGAAGCAACTGCCATGCATCCAGAAGCAGAGCGGGAGTTGGCGTATATTCTGCTCGTGGAATTACTAGCGTATGCAGCTTGACCCCAAATCACCATAGGTGAAGGTTAAACTGACCTCGCGAATAGGCATCAGTTTGCGTATCCCGTGCGATGGTATGCCGACATGAGTGACGTCAATGCATAGTGATCATGTTGAGCTTATATTATCTATAGGATCGAAACACAAAATGCTATTCTCGGAGAGATCAAAGCGGAGAGGATTGTGGAGGTCGGGCCGGCGAATATCCTCACCAATATGATGAAAAGAACCTGGAATGGGCGATACACAATTTCAGATGATGTCCAAGGCCTTCGCCGGCGGATACTTGGGCCTGATGCAGACCTGCCAGAGATTTATTATCAGTCTCCCGTTGAGGAGATGAGTTCTGAGGAAAGGACTGGAAATTCGCTGGTAGCGAGTTCCCAGACACCACACCAGAGCGACGAGAATGAGTTTGGTTCCAGCCAGCCAGCATCACAGTCGACCATAGACGACAACCATGAGCCAATAGCGCCAATGATGGATTTGGAAGAGGCCAATGTCCCGGTCTCCGCAGTGCTGCTCGCGATTATAGCCACAAAACTAAAGAAAGCCCCCAAAGATATTGATACCACAAAGTCAATCAACCAGCTCGTCAGCGGTGAGTCAATATGTTCTGTCCATCATCTTTCCCAAGCACTAATAAGAGAAGGACGCTCAACGCTCACCAATGAAATTGTTGGTGATCTTCACGTCGAGTTCGCAAATCAACTGCCCGACCGTGCAGAGGAGCAGCGACTCAGCGAGCTGTTTGAGACACTTAGCAAGGTCCACACTGGAACACTTGGGAAGAAGACTTCATCACTCGTTGCAAGCTTTGTCTCCTCCAAATTACCAGGTAGCTTCAACCAGTCAAAGGTCCGGGAGCATCTTCAGCAACGATGGGGGCTAGGACCCATGCGCCAGGATGCGGTTTTGCTTCTTGCGCTCACAAGTCAGCTTGACTCACGCCTGCCTTCTGAAGACGCTGCGAAGAGCTTTATCGACGACTGCGCGGGAGCATATTTCAAGCAGGAGGGCTTGTCACTGCCCCGAAGCAGCCCATCCACCGTAGGGACAATCGCCAAGGTTGACGCAAAAGCTCTGGAAGTGATCAATGAAAGAAGCAACGCTTTGCTACGGGACATCAGTGAGGCGATGTCTCGGCATCTTCCCACAAACACGAGTCCCAAAACGGATTCAATGGCGGCGAAATCTGAACAAGAGGTTGACGAACTCGACCTGTGGCGCAGCGAGCACGGAGAAGATTATGCTGAGGGTATCAAGCCGATATTCGATATTGGGAAGCAACGGTTCTACGACTCCTTTTGGAACTGGTCCTCCCGCGACATTGCTCTACTTTTCGATCTTGCCAAGCACCCCAGCTCACAGAATGCGGGGTTGATCGAAGAACTTTCAACATCTATTATCAATCGATCTTGCGAGCGCTCTATCGCTCAGATCCAGTATCTTTGCTCAAAAACAATGGGCGAAAAGACGAACCTAGGCCGGATCATGAGGCTTTGTCTGCAAGCAAGCATATCCTCGAAGAATCGGGACCCGGTATTCATTGATGGGTCAATCGACCTGGCGCCATCAACAACTATTGACAAAGAGGGTAACATCAAATTTGCCGAAGTACCGCGAACATCCCCTCTCAAGGTTCGCAAGTCTTCAATCCCGCAAATGCCATATCCCGTGGGCACCTATGATCATGGCATCTTGACTATGTCTGACAGGCTCAGCTCTGCATATGCGGAAGACTTGGATACAGCGCGGCATTCCGGGTTCACCTTTCGGGGTAGGAATGTGTTGTTGACAGGTGCTGGCCGGAACTCCATTGGCTTCGGGCTTCTGAAGTACCTACTACAGGGCGGTGGAAGAGTCACAGTGACTACTAGCAACTACTCCTCAGAAGCCACGCAAATGTACCAGAGCCTTTATTCTCGACATGGAGCCAAGGGGTCTGTTTTGAGGGTTCTTCCATTCAACCAAGGTAGTCAACGAGACATCCAGGAGCTTGCGAAGAACTTGGTAGATGACTGGGACCCTGACTTCATTATTCCATTTGCGGCAATATCCGAGAACGGCCGAGAGCTTGAAGAGTTGGATTCGAAGTCGGAGATTGCCCACCGGCTGATGCTCACCAATCTCCTCAGGTTATTTGGTGCCGTTTCCAAGAATAAGCGTTCCAGGGGAATTATTACCAGACCTGCCACAGTCGTACTCCCCCTGTCTCCCAATCATGGTCTCATGGGTAACGACGGTCTCTATGCAGAGTCCAAGAGGGGCCTGGAATCTCTACTCTCGAAATGGAAGTCCGAAACTTGGAGTGACTATCTGTCTATGCTGGGGGTTGTCATTGGCTGGACTCGAGGAACAGGCCTCATGGACGACAATGATATTGTTGCTCAGGGAGTCGAGGGTATGGGAGTTCGGACATTCTCCAAAGACCAAATGGCTGCATTCATTGCGTCCCTCTTGGGCGGCAGAATGAACGTTGCTTGCCAGTCCATCCCAATTGTCGTCGATCTCAGCGGCGGAATGGGCAAGGTCATGGAACTGAAGGATAAGCTTACGAAAATTCGCCATGATCTTCGCGCCGAAGCAGACATTCAACGAGCTATCATGGAGGAGCAGCAGAGAGAAGCAACAATTACTGGTCGCAAGACGTCATTCCATACTCCCCAGGCTTTGCCGCGGAGAGCGAATCTACGTCTTCAGTTACCTCGACTAGCTGAGTGGAACGGGGAACTGGCATCTCTCGCAGAAGGCTTGGAGGGTATGGTCGACCTGAGCCGAATAGTTGTCATTACGGGTTTCGCAGAGCTTGGACCTTATGGGAGTAGTAGGACACGATGGGAGATGGAGGCCGAGGGCTCTCTGTCTCTTGAAGGATGCATTGAGATGGCATGGATGATGGGTCTCATCAAATACAGCAAAGATGTTCTGAAAGACGGGCTCCCGTGGACTGGCTGGGTAGACGCAAAGACCTCGGCTCCGGTGGAAGAGAGTGAGATCTTCTCACGATACATGGGATCGATCCTCGAGCATACAGGCATACGCAAGATTGAGCCAGACAATTGCGACAACAACTACGATCCGGAAAAGAAGACGACAGTCCAGGAAATGGAACTCACTCAGGACCTACCCCCATTTGAGGCATCGTCTGACGTGGCTCGGTACTTCCAACTTCAGCACGGTGAGAAGGCCGTTATCAGCAAGATGGAGTCTGGGCTTGTCATGGTCCAGCTCAAGGCTGGCGCGAAAGTTCTCGTCCCAAGAGCAAGTCGGTTCAATCGCACGGTGGCTGGCCAGATTCCAACTGGATGGTCGGCAAAGCGATACGGCATCGACGACGAGATTATTGAGCAAGTTGACCCTGTGACACTCTTCACGTTGGTCTGCACTGTCGAAGCACTCTTGACGTCAGGGATTGTCGACCCGTACGAATTATACAAGCATATCCATCTTTCCGAAGTTGGTAATTGTATTGGTTCAAGCATGGGTGGGCTTTCGTCGTTGAGACAGATGCACCGCGATCGATTCCTCGATAAAACAGTCCAGGGAGATATTCTCCAGGAAACCTTCATCAACACAACGGGGGCATGGATCAACATGCTACTAATGTCTTCAACTGGACCAATAAAAACACCTGTCGGTGCCTGTGCCACGTCGCTGGAGTCACTTGATACGGGATACGACCTCATTGTAGCTGGCAAAGCCAAGGTCTGCATTGTTGGTGGCGTGGAGGACTTCGTCGAAGACGTATCGTACGAGTTTGGAAGCATGAATGCTACCTGTGACACTGACAAGGAATTTGCCGCTGGAAGAAGTCCAGCTGAGATGTCCCGGCCTACAACATCAACCAGAAGTGGATTTGTCGAGTCTCAAGGATGTGGAATTCAGATCCTTACGACTGCCGAGCTTGCCCTGGAGATGGGTCTTCCCATATTTGGAGTGGTAGCTTTTACCAGTATGGCTGCCGATAAAGTCGGCCGCTCTGTCCCAGCACCCGGTGGAGGCGTTTTGACAAATGCCCGAGAAGCAAGCTCGGGGAGACGATATGCCACGCCACACCCCCTGCTCGATATAGGATACCGTCGAAGGCTACTCAATATGAGAATTCAGCAAGTCAACGACAACTACCAGACAAATCTGGACCTTATGGAGCATGAAATTCATTACATAAAAGAGATGGGAACCGACGGCTTTGACGAGGAGCGCTATCGACAGGACAACATGACTGCTTTTGAAGAGGACGCAAAGAAGCAAGAGGCGGACTTGAGATTCAGTCTGGGCAATCAATTTTGGAAGAATGAGCAGCACATCGCACCGATCCGAGGCAGCCTCGCAACTTGGGGCCTTGGGATCGATGATTTGGCGGTCGCGTCGATGCACTTGACCTCGACCGTGAAGAACGATACCAATGAGTCTTCAGTTCTTCAGAAGCAGATGGAATTCCTGGGGAGACAACAGGGAAATCTTCTTACTTGCGTAGGCCAGAAATGGCTGACTGGTCACTCAAAGGGAGCTGCTGGTGCCTGGATGGTGAACGGGGCCCTACAGATGATGGACTCTGGTTTGATCCCAGGTAATCGAAATGCCGATAACATTGACACCGACCTGCGACAGTACAATCTTCTTCACTTCCCAAACATGACCACCCGGGCTGAAGAGATCAACGCTTGCTCCATTACCTCCTTTGGGTTTGGACAGAAGGGCTCACAGGCCATTCTGGTTCACCCAAAGTTTCTCTTTGCGACCACCAACAAGCAGGCTTACGAGGACTACGTCGCGAGGAGGAATGGTAGATGGAGAAAGGCAAACAGCTTCTTCAGCCGTGGGATACTTCATGAGAGGCTTGTCAACACCAAGACTTTGCCGCCTTACCAGGCGGCGCAAGAGTCTGCAGCACTGCTCAACCCGGCAGCTCGTTTCTCTGAGCAACGCTATTAAGGCCAGGGCTGGATTCTCTTCTCAGATGCGAATATAGTTTTCTTTTTGTCGGCAACGCCAGCCCATCGCAGCGTTAATCAAGCTGGGCGCGCCTTATGTAATCAGCGATTACGTAAGGACCACCCTCTGTGATTAACGCTGCGATCGCAGCCGCTGCCTCTAACACAGTTAACTATATATATATCACTACTAATGTAGTTAATATAATATAATATTTACTACTTATAGTAACCCTTACTAGCTAGCTAGTCTTATAAGACTAATACTAATTAGTAATTAACTTTATAGTTACTATTATATAATATATTAATTAACTATAGATTAGTAAAGTTTTAGAAGAGGTAATTTTATTAATATTTATTTAGATCTATTCTACTTAAGAACGTTTAATTAATTAACTTATACTAATAAGGTAGTTATAAACTTTAAAAAAGATAGCTTATATCGCTTAAGTTACTTTAAACTTACCCTCCTCTAATCTCTAAGAAGAGTATATTAATATTAATATTATTAGTATTAATAGGATTAAGTAATATCTCCTTATAGTATTAATAATAGTAGGATTATAATAATAGCTTTTATAGCTTTTAATTCTATACTTAATAGAAGTGGTTATAATATAACCTAAGAGATAGTCTATCCTATTTAGAACGTTCTTAGTAATTACTTTTACTTTCTACTTGAAGAGTATCTATTATATATTTAACTCTTAATATTAATATTAATTTATTAACTTATAATTAATAGTAAAATTAACTTCCTATTTTACTAACTACCTCTCTTAGCTTCTTACCCCTTATAAGTAGAGTTTTTATACTATATAAATAGATAAGAGATTACTCTACTTTTAATAGCTTTTAACTACTTTTTTCTTTTTTATTAAGTTAATATTAATAGTAAATAGCTACTTTAAGCCTATTTAATAATAACTACTTATATATACTATATAGTATACCTTACTATAAGAATTTTTCTACTACTTAACTACTAAATACTAACTACTAACTATTAGTTAAAAGGAGAATTTTTTACTATCTTTTAACTTTATTAACTTATACTTCTTCTATAATACTACTATATTACTTTTATATCCTTAAGAGTCTACTACTTTATTAATAATATTACTTATTAAACCTTATTTACTTTCCTTAATTACTTACTATAATACTCTTTTTTTACTTTAGTAAAGGCCCTCTCTAGTCTTTATACCTCTATTTTTAACTACTATTAAACTATATTAAGTTAAATAAGTAATAAAGTAATAAATTATCTACTAAATAAATAAACCTTAATTACTTTAATTCCTAGTTAAGTTCTTTACAACTATAATATAATAAACCTCACCTACTACTTAACTTAATACTTTATTCTATTAATAACTTTAGTTAATAATAGCTAACTCCTCTAATTTAGGATTATTACCCTCTCTACCCCTTTTACTTCCTCTTAGCCCTCTAGTTAGTAATTACTTTATCCCTATCTTTATTTAAGTTTATAATATAGTTAATTATAATATTTAGAAAAAACTTAGTAATATTAATTTAAAGTTAAATATTACTACTTAATAATAACTTACTTTATATTTTCTATTTAATATAAAGTATTACTAACTTAATAGTTTTATTAGCTCTACCCTCTAAGGTTAGGTATATATTAATTTTAAAGAAGTACTAAAGTTTACTTTTATTTATTATAACCTTATTACTATAAAAAACTTTAGAAACTTCCTTATTACTAATAGAGTTTATATTACTATAAATAGTACCTCTATTACCTCTAATATCTATACTACTTTTTACTAAGACTTCTATAAATAAACTATAGAGGAGATTAATAATAAGGCTTCTAAGATTACTACTTTTAAGAAAGCTATTAGAAATACTAACTTCTTTAATAATATTTAAGGTATTAAGCTTAAACCTTCCTTAGTACCTTTAGTTAACTCTATTTATACCCTTATTAGTATAATACTATTTTTTAGCCCTACTTAAGATAAATTAATTCCTTTTAGAACTTATTAATTAACTACTTTTATCCCTCTAAATAACTTTAATATTAATATTACTAACTATAACTTAGTTAACTTAGCTATACTTAACTAATTATCCCCTTATTAACTTATAGATCTTATAAAGTTATACTATAATAGTATATACTTTAAGGGTAATATATATAATATCTTTAACTCTAAGTTTCTTATCTTTAAAGATTACTATATTAAGGTAGGTATTAATTAGTTTTAAATCTTAGGTGCTTTCTCTATTATATTTAAAGGTAAAATACTTAACTACTACTATAATAAGCTTTATAGTAATAATATACTTATTAACTTTACTAGTTTAGTTATTAAAATTAAAACCTATTTTAAGACTAAAGAGTTTTATTAAGTATATTTCTCTAAGTAGTATAATATTACCCTTAACTATATAATCCTAGAGAACTTTAGTAAAATTAAGATAGAGTATCTTAAGATAGTATTTAATAAGCTTATTACTATCTAATATACTCTCTCTACTATTTACTACTCTAATAATACTTTTTATAATTAGATCTTTAGTACTTATTAAGGTATACCTAAATATAACTATACTTTTATAAGCTTTATTAAAGACTATAAGAGTATTGCTAACTAGCTTTAATTATTTATTAGTATTATAATATAAAGCTAAGTTTATAAGTATTTTATAATAAATCTAGCTCTTATTAATAACTAGTATTAGATTAATTATTAATATAATAGCTATAACTATAGTTTTTAATTTAGCTATTACCTATATATACTTTATAGTTAATATTACTTTTAATTTATACTTCTTAAATCTAAGAAGAAGTATTATATTTATAGTGAGATAGGCTATTAATTAATAAAATACTTTATTAAAGATTACTATAAGATTTTTAACTACTTTAAGTAAATATATATTAATAAGAATACCTCTACTCCTACTTTTAATTACTTTTTAGTATAATATAAAGGTGTTAAAAGTATTAATAACTTTTTTATTAATAGCTATAATAAGGATATATTAAACTACTTTAGTACTCTTAATATTAATAACTTTAATACTAAAGATAGTTAGTATAAGTTAGATAGCTTAAATAATAAAAATTAATAATTTCTTACCTCTTATTTTATTAGTATTACTTTTAATAGCTTTAAAATTATTAATATATTAGGTAATAATACTACTTTCTATATTATTACTAAATAGAATCTATATATTACAGTTAAGTTTAAAGAATATACCTTATAGTTCTCTCTTAAGGGAAGGTATAAATTAATAATCTTTTAGGGTATCCTACTTAATATTAATACCTCTAAATATTTAATAGTAAGCTAGTCCTAAGTCCTTGTATTTTAATAATTAATACTAAACTTTAAAGTTAATATTATAAGAGTAGTTACTATTAGATTTAGCCTTAATAACTTTATTTACTTTTTAAGATCTATTAAAGTTCTTATACTACTTAGTCTTATTACTTTCTATATTATATTAATAAATATATCTTTCTTATACTACTTTTATAATATAGATAAGATAGAAGTTATATTTAATAACCTTAATAATATTATAAAATAGAGAGACCTTAAAGTTCTAGTTATCTATAAATAGAAGTATCTTTAGATATTTCTCTAATAGAAATAATTAGTTACTTATTATTACTTTAGTGAGGTTAAACTTTAATAACTTTATTACTATTTTAGCTACTTATTAGTTATTAGACTTTAATATATCCTTACTAAAGCTAAGTATAAGGTTAATAAAGGCCTCCTTACCTATCTAACTAAGGTTTATTAGTATTATTAACTTTATACTAGTTAACCTAAAAGGTTTAGATTTACCCTATATAATAACTATAAGTTTAATTATAAGATCTTTATAGATATTATATATCTTAATAGTAATAAGCTAGTACTTTATATTATTAATAGTACTACTAGCTTTAATATAGCTTATTTCCTTAAAGATCTATTAACTTAGTATATTTAGGAGGCTTTATATATATACTAGATTAATATCTACTAAAGCCCTTTTAATTTTATTACTATAAATATTAGTATTAACTTCTATAGTTATAAATTTAAGTATACTACTTATACCTTAGTAATTATTATTAAAGAAGTTCTTATTAAAGCTTATTATAGTATTAGTAAGGTTAAATATTACTATACTACTTTATGCTATACCTATAATATTATCTATATTAAAGACCTTTCTATCCCTTATAAGTAAGCCTTATAGATAACTATTAAGACTATTAATAATACTATTAAGCCTAATAATCTGATCTTAACCTTATTTATCTTTAGTACTTACTCTTAAGTAACTAAGGATTTAGCGCTATCTCTAAGTATTATAAAGTATTAAGAAGTTATATAAAAGGCTACTAATAAACTCTACTATATATATATTAAGTAATAAGTCTTTAATACCTTTACCCTCTATAATAGCTTAAATATATTATTAATACTTACCTTCTTATTATAGTTAGATATTTTTATATAGTATGAGAATAAAGGCTAAGCTAGTTTATATAAGCTTTTCTCTATTAATAGGGAGGATTATATACTTAACTTATCTTATAGGCTAAGAATATTTTAATTAACTTATATTAAGCTTTTTTATAATAACTTAGATAAAGATATTATTAACTCTAGTTCTCTACTAAATACCTCTAAAGTATTAATAATATTAGTAAAAGAAGACTAAAAAAGATTACTAATACTAGTACTACTATTATTATACTAATATAGCTAGTCTTATAAGGGAGAAAAATATTTAAAGCTACTTTTAAGTAAGTTATACTAAAGTTTATAAAGATAGATACCTATAGTAAAAATAGTTAATATTAACCTTACTTTTAGTATTAACTTCACACTAGAGGTTAATAATATTAATACTACTACTATATTTTTTACTACTAATAAAGTCTTTTTAATTAATAAAAAATATACTAACCTTAACTTAACTATATAGCTCTATAAGGTAGGTAAGATTAATATATTTAGCTACCCTTTTAAGTAATCTAATAAGATTAAAATTAAGAGACTTATTAATTAAGGTGTCTTTAAGATAATTATATATAACCCTATTAAGTATATAAATATCTATATCTTCTAATTATAAATAGTTAATAAGATTAAAAGTAAAAATACTAATAAGCCTTATAAGAAGTTCTACTTTATTATCTAAAGATATACTAATAATAGTAAGGAAGTAATTTTAATATAGTTACTAATAATATAGTATATAAGTTAACCCCTTATCCTTATTATTATACTATAATTACTACTTTTTAGTAAGATCCTCTAGTTTTATAATATAATATAGGTATATATCTAATTAGTAATAAAGCTTAATAGAATAATTCTAATATACTTACTTATTTAGATTTATAACTAATACCTAAAAGGTATTATTATAAAAGTTATTAAGTTACTTTATAGTATTACTAAGGCTAGTACTTATTAGTAGGCTATATATAGCTATTACTATAGAGAAGTCTTCTAGATAGTTACTTTAAGCTATAACCCCTACCTTTTAGTCCTTTTAATAATTAACTCTAACTTTATAGTTATTAGTATATAAACTAATAATATTTTAGGCCTTATTAATACTAAATTCTCAGCTTATAAGGATAAAGTTCTAACTAAAGCCTTATTTATAGTAAAAGCTAAATAATAACTTATTATTAACTAACTACTAATATTTAATTGTAGTATTATTAGTATTAATAAATTAAATATAATTATTTTCTACTAGAAAGGCTAAAATAAGAAGCTTACCCTTATTAATACTAATATTACCTCTAATACTATTAAGAAGTAATATATTAAATAATATATATATAGTATATATACCGTATTAATCTACTAGCTTAAGGTATACTATAATCTATTAACTACTACTTAATACTAAAACCCCTTACTTAATAATATTAAAGCTCTTAATATATAACTATAGTAGTAGATAGATTTATTAGTATAAGGATTAATATTTATACTTATTAACTTATTAACTACTAAACTCTTTATCTTTATTAATAGCTTATTTACTAATAATACTAACCTTATATTATAGCTTAGTTTTACTATTATTCTTACTAATAAGACCCCTTCTAATAAGAATAAATTTATAATTAATAGTAATATTATCTACTTTAGTTTAATAAAGAGTAAGTAAATCATTTAAAGTATACTAACCTCTAAAGTCTATAGTATAATTACTAGTATTAATATAGTTTATACTATCTCTATAACCCTCTAAATAATTACTAAATAACTTAGCCTACCTCTAATACTTACTATTATCTATACTAACTTATACTTACTATATAAATACCTTATTAAGCTAGGTTCTATAAAGAAGAAGCGTTTAATAATTAATATTATAGCTCTATACTAGTTATATAAATACTATAAGTTATATAAAATATAATAAATTAATAGTAATAATAACTTTATTAATGCCTTTACTAAAGTGAAGCCTAACTAGTACCTTATATACTTCCTTAATATAAACTTAGTAATAATATAAATAGAGAGATAAGTTATATAGGCTTAAGTAGCGCTAATTACTAGTATTAGTTTAAGGTAGGATTAAGTAATAGTTATAGAGTAACTACTATAATAGGGGTTATAAATAATTATTAGGTAATTACTATAATTACTAGTAATTATTATTTTTTATATTATATATCATTTAATAACTTCTTTTTAAACTATATTATAGTTACTATTAACTATATTAATACTAATAAAAAGAGAAAGTTATTAGTATTAGTAATATTAGCCTATTATAGTGTTAATTAAGCTAGGCGTACCTTATATAATTAGTAATTATATAAGGCACTGCCCTCTACGATTAACGCTGTAATTATAGCTGCTACCTCTAACGCAGTTAACTATATACATATCACTACTAACGTAGTCAATATAATACGATATTTACTGCCCACAGTGACCCTTACCAGCTAGCTGGTCCTGTGAGACCAACACTTTTCTACTCATTTCGTTTTTCTTCAGCACTTTTCATTCGCAGTTTGCCGCCTGGAGGCGCACCTTTTTGACTCAGCACTATCTTCAATAGATAATGTAATACAAGCATGGCGGGCAAGTGGCATCTCATGGTCATGTGTGTTAGCACTACAACCATAGCGCATTCATTAGCAGCATTCTAGCATGAAACTAGGAGTTTGTACTGAATCAGAATGTATATTGAACAGATTAGAGATCTCAATAGTTCCCTCACTCGCTACGTTTTAGCTTACTCGGCCGCTGAATACAGGATCTCTACTTGGTTGCAAAGTTCTTGATGCTCTCGTGTGCCGGGCCTTCAGGGGTTACGTATGCCTGTCTTCTGCGTCAGAATTTGGGTCGCCGTCATGGATTTGAGGATGTGGAGTCAAACCTTGGTCAATCCCCCATCTACCACAAGCTCTTGAGCATTGACAAATGAGCTCGCATCGCTGGCAAGAAATAGCGCCGCAGACGCTTGCTCGATAGGTTCGCCAAACCTTCCTTGGGGCAAGTGAACTTCCCTGCGTGCTCTCCTCTCCACATTCGTACCCAGGTAGTCTTGCATGAGAGGGGTGTTCAACGGTCCCGGGCACAACGTATTGAACCTGATGCCTTCTCTCGCATGAACTATGGCGAGCTCTCGCGTCATAGCAATGATGGCACCCTTGCTGGTGGTATAGGCTAACTGGGCTGTTGCAGAACCAATCAAGCCGACAACCGAGGATGTGTTAATCACACTTCCCCGGGATTTTCCGTGCTTCCGCATGCTCAAGACGGCATGTTTACACCCGTGCCAAGTGCCCTTGACATTGACTTGATAGGTGAGATCCCAAGCCTTCTGAGTCACTTCAAGCGCATCGCCATCTTCGTGGGGGAAGACGCCAGCATTATTGAGCATTACATCGACGCCGCCGTGTTGGTCTAAGTACTGGACCAGAGCCGCAACGTCATCTTCGTTAGACACATCGCATCTCTTGTAGTCAACTCGTCCAAGATGCGGTCCGTGAAGTTCCACATTTTGCCGCAGGTCTTCAAGGGCTTTGTTTGACACATCTGACAGCAACAGGTTCGCTCCAGACTTGGCGAACAGGATTGCTATTTGAGTACCAATACTCCTATCTAATATCAGAAGTCTACTCTTATTTTTTTGAGCAGCAGATCATGGCGTACCCTGCAGCTCCTGTGATGATGACATTCTTGCCCGTCAACTGGAATAACTCCGACATGGTTCGGTATTCGGTATGTTGAACGACAGACGGAACAAGACCCACAAGTACGGCTTCTGGGAACGGAGGTGTCTTCAGCTGCGTATCCGTTCCTCGACTTACACGAGTTGTCGGCACACAGTGAGGAAGGTGACTGGCGTGGGCTTATGCTCCGACCGAGGCAATGCAGCAAATGGATATTCCGAAGGATCACCACATTGTGAGCTGTCGACACATAATCCTTTCCGTCTGACTCAATGCACGTAAAATATCAATGAGACTGCAATAGCTTCTGAAGACCATGACGTGAGATAGAGTGAGCCTGAGTCAGGAGCTGATCGCCTTGAATCACCATGAGATGGGTGCAGCGCATGGGCCCTCATCGGCTCCGTCGTCGGCCCCGAGTGAGTCCGCCAGCTCGATACGGGGGGGAAAGTGCTCTGTCTACAATTCTGTAGATTTTCATGGTGATAGAGGTTTTCCAGTTTGATAATATGTAAATAGAAGATTCGTGATCATTTGCCTTACCAAGTAGTACCCGAAAAAGATGATGTTTGCAAGATTAACTGGATTCAAGGTGGACGTTTATGAATGAAGTTGTCTCGGCTTAAAGCTCTCATTGATGAGTGTAAGACAATAATGGCTAGAAAGGGGCAAAAAAGTGATATTTCTTGATGTATGTCTACCAAGGGACAACCTGGCCAGTCTGGGTGACGAACTTCCCCGACGTAGTCTCTCGGCTCGCTCCGTCAATGACTTGGAGACAGCCACTGACACTGCTGTCAATTGTATCCGGAGGTCCGGCAGCGTAATTCCATGCGTTCGCTGCGTAATTGCCCATGTCTGTCTGGACCCACCCAGGATGAAGGGCGACGGCGACCAGATTCTTGTGTTGGGCGTGCAGCGACTTGGTGATGTGATTCAAAGCTGCTTTGCTCGGGCCATAGGCACCCCCGGGGACCGGCTCTTGCGTTTCAATGGATCCGACAGAGGAGGTGACACCAATGAACTTGGCGGGGACATCGGTCTCGGTGCGGGGCTTGTCCATCAGTGGCCAGAGACCTTGGAACACCATCAACGGAGCAATAGTGTTGACCTCGAATGCTTTGCGGAAGTCCTCGGCTGGAGTTGTAGATATAGGAAGCATGGGGAAAGGAGCAGCTGCGTTGCTGACCAAAATGTCGATGCGATCCACGGTGCCAGCAGTAGCTACTGTGAACGCTTCACGCATAGCAGCAGGAGACGGCGCTGTGGAGAGGTCGAGCAGCATGACATGCAACTCACTACCAGAGCCTTTGGTGACTTCCGCAACGCCCGATTTCAGAGAGGCGGCGGCAGCATCACTGCGCACTGAAGCGACGACGGTGGTGGAAGGACGAGCGATCAGGGCCTTGACCAGGCCCAGGCCGATGCCCTTGTTGGTGCCCGTGATCACGTAGACGGTGTTCGTCATGATACAAATGTGATTGACAAATTTTCTCGGAGATTAAAAGGACAAGGCTGGGGAACTTGGATATGGAACTAGGTTTAAGCTGGTGCGGATGATATAGGAGGAAGAAAAGCAAGCTGCGCTGAAATCAAGCTGCATTTCCGTGTAAGAGGATTGGAAGGATCAGGGCGGGGGAAGAGACGAGCACGTGAGCCAGGAACCCGTTGCTGCGCCGCAGAAGAAAGAGTTTGGGTGTATCAAGCCACTTATCACGTCAGCGTCCCATCTGTTCCGTCCCATGTCACTTGGTTACAGCCTCGGAGCCTCATCTTGTTTCTGTGTTCATCTATTGGTCTTCATCTATCGCGTGTACGTTTACTCATTGTATTCTCTGTATCTTCATCCCAAAATGCGAAATTCTTCGTGAGCTGCATCCAATCCGTTCGCAAAGCCCTCGGCGACCTTCAAGGCCCGGGCGCGCTCCTCCTCCACGCGTTCCCATGTCCATCCGCCGCCGGCCACTGGCGGGGGCGGGGCCGGGACCGTAGGCAGTGACGAGGTGGAGTCTCCGTGTCTCCTGGAGGACCTCTCACCCTTGTCTCTCTTCTTCGAGTCCTTGTCTTTTGACTTCTTTTCCTTCTTGGACTTGCTCAGAGACTCGGAGGAAGTGTTGCCGTCGACCCAGTTCAAGTTGGGGACCTCAGTGCGGAGTACTCCCGCTGCCTGGAAGAACTTCTCTGGCGGGACCGTCAGGCGGCCGGCCTTGACGACGCACTTCGAGATCGCTGTCGCATAGACGCTGGGCGAACGAGAAGGGGCCTTGCCGTTCACTGACTTCTTTCGCTTCTCGGCAAAGTGAGTGATGACGTAAATCCACTTGCGGTCCCAGGACAGGATTCTGCTGTGCATGTCGAAAGCTACACCGATCTTGATCTCCTTCTTGAAGTTGCAAGAGGTGCCGGCGAGAAGCACTTGGACGCCCTCCTTGTACTCCTTGTACAGTCCGCCGCGGATAGCCTGAGACCGCAGGGCGGCAAGGAGATCCGTTCTGGCAACATCAAGGTCAGAGAAGTAGGTGCTGTTGGACTTGTGCAAGTTGTAGTCGGTCTCAAGCAGGGCCACACGAGAAGGAGTGACAACCGGCCGGAAAATGGAGCCTGGCCGGGAGTCAAAGTAACGCTTTCTCGGGAACCAAATGTTGTAGAAGACACGCAACTGAGAATATGTCAGACTGATGCGCTATTTCGATGAGGGGAATGATCTGCCGCTGAGATGACTTACGTGCCAGACGAAGGGCAATCTTTTGAAGTTGAGACAGAAGGCAGCAGCTGCAAGGGCGGCAAGGCACGCCTTGCCCTTGTTCTTTGCAGCCCAGCGCTGGGCCTGTTCAAGGGCCCGCAGGAGCACCGGCTTCGCGGCCTTGAAGGCCTCGATGGCCCTCGCGCGCAACGTCGCCCCGAGTCCTACAGGTTGAGAAGACGACCAAGGCAGAGCCTCTGTCGCCCGTTTGCGCAACATTGTGCTCTTTCCTCGACCGGGAGGTTGATGAGGCAACAACCAATTGACGCTCAGTGAAGGTTTGCAGTGGAATGGCGGGACATGCCTCGGTCAAGTCAGGCGCAAACTCACCGCCGGTGGAAGCCTCAGAACCCCTCTACACGTGGCACGATGAGTCAGCTGTTCAGGGGAAAAGGCGGTCAGGGGGATTTCCCAAATACGATGCCCCGGGCGAGCCGTTGAGTCTCATGAAAGTGGGATTCCATAGTATCCCTGTTGAAACATTCTGGTTCGTCAATGTCAGAGGAAAGCCTCGCTTAGCTGAGGTTGGACCAATGTAATGTCGGCAAACAAAACACAAGTGGAATCTAGTCTTGACGAAATTCAATAGCCTGGTGGACCAGAGATTCCACTCGATTGAGTGCTCTGATAGGCTACACAATGCCCAGCTGAGAAACCCGTTTCCGTTGGGGTCTAAGTGATGTCATTTCCCAGCCACAGGCAGACTGTTCGATGCCAGGCACCACCATCTGAACCGCGGCCCGCGGGGCACAGCGCCCCTTGAGTCAGTACGAAGCCTAAGGTCGTCGGTAGTCGTAGCACTGTGAGGTCGGTGTACATAGTAGATAACAGTGAACATGAACATCTTCTTGATGTTGTATTCTTCTCGACATTGTATTCAAAATCTTTGTTTGATATTACATATTATATACGCTGTCTTTGGGTTGAAAATGATGCTCCTCATGATGCTGGCTGAGAAATGACTTCTGTTGTTGTTTTCGCCCCCTCATTTGATGAGTTTTCTTCAGTTGAAATTGGCGCTGGTTTTGGTGGTCTAAGTGGAATCCACTTAATGAGAACCCACCCAAAGGTGCTCAGACAGGCTAAAATGATGACTAGCAAGAATATGTTTTTGATGCCGCTGTTGTACTCTCGAAGCGCAACTGTGAGCTGCTCTGGTGTGAGCGACTCTCTAAGGAATCCGAAACGATTCAAGAGCGTGTCACGGTCCACGGATGGGATCAGCTGCGTGAGACGTTCAATCCTGGTGATGAAGATATTCTGGGCCACGCTGATGAAGATGGAGCCCCCAACAGTGTTCACTAAGATGATAGCAGACGTGCCGTAGGGGACGTCGGAGGGGTCGAGGGCGACCTGAACCCCGACAATGGACTGCTGAACTCCAGCGCCGGTGCCGAGACCAAACAAGATCTGGTAGCCGATCCATTTAGCACTCTCAATATTGGGCTGGAAGGTGTAGAGCATGCCGGCTCCAATGGAAGCAAATATTGTTCCAGCGATCATGAATGGCGGGAGGTACCCGACAATGGACGCCCCAATCCCCGCAGACACGCCCGAGAAGATTAGGGCGAGAACCATCGGCAGCAGTCGGACACCCGACTCACGGGCAGAAACGCCCTGGATGGCCTGGAACCATACTGGAATCTGCAGCGACCACGTTAGAACGCACGAGCGCAAAGATGATGCTGCTGCTGTTGGGACGTGACTCACATAGTAGAGAACAACCATTTGCGCACTCGACAACGCAAATCCGTACCACAGAGATGAAGCGAAAGACCTGTTTCTCAAAAGTCGCGTCGGAAACGTGGCTTTTTCCTTCAGCCAGTGCTGATGAACAGCAACCGATATGAATGAGACCCCAAACACCACAAGGAGCCCGATGAGTCTGGCGTCGCTCCAATTGTACAGCGTTGATCCCCATTCAAGCGCGAGAAGGAGGCAGGTGATACTTCCCACTAAGCCCGTCCCGCCAATGAAGTCGACCCCTTTGATTCTGTCTTTCAATGGCGCCTGCTGGCCCGGGGTTTTCGGCGGCTTGAAGAGAAAGACAAGGACGATGAACAGCACGCCTCCAATAGGGAGATTTACCCAGAAGCACCATCTCCATCCAATGTGACTGGCAATCGCGCCGCCAATAATCGGGCCCAGTACAACAGCGACGCCTTCAAGGGATCCAAGAATTCCCGTGAACATCGGCCGCTGCTGCAGAGGCACAACAAGGGCCGTGATGCTTCATCCTAAGGTCAGCGACTGAGTTTGAAGAAGTCCTATCCGTGTACTAATACTGACATTAGAGCGCCGGAGATGCAACCGGCGCTGCCGAGACCCGCAATCGCCCTTCCGGCGATGAAGCTCCCGGAATTGCGTGCCAGGGCACATACTAAAGAACCCCCTTCCAACAAAAGCAGCGACGCAAGGAATACTGCTTTGCTCGAGAACGTGGCGTAGAGTTTTCCAAATGTTGGCTGGGTTGCACCAGTTACCAATAAGCTATGCCAAAGGTAAGTGAGAAGCCATCCACTGATGAATAGGTCGTCAACCCTGACTTACTATACAGACCCGTACCATCCTACGTCTTTGACAGATTGAAACTCTTCTGATAATGTAGGTACAATTGTTGCTACCATTGTGGCATCCTATACGTACCATTAGCGATTAATCATTTTTTGTCATGCCTCCTGATACTTACAAGAGCAGCAATCAACAGCGACAACCCAAGGGCGATGACCATGAGCACCCGCGGAACCATAGGAGGGAATGATTGTTCATCATCCTTCTCCTGTTGCGAGACATCTTGAGATGCAGAGAGTGAGTGCGAGTCTTCGACTGCGGCCGACGGATCTGGTTCTGAAGCCATACTAAGGTATGGCGACAATTTTGCAGCTTCGATCGCTAGAATCACTGAATCTGCTATCGATGCGCCTCACAGAGCACTGTCAACGGAGCATATGGGTGACTTAGCGCTGCGTAGAGAAGAACATACCGCAACCAATCCCCACGTACAGGCGACTGATTGTCAATAGACCCTGAAACGGGCCTGCGACGGGCTCCCGCCGACCTGCCGGCAGCCAATCCCGCCGGCGACCGGGTTTTCCGCCGGAAGCCGGCCGGAGGGCCACCGGGCGGACCGTGCCGGCAAATGTGCAGTCCGGTCATGCTGAGGTCAGCGCTAAACCAAATATGACCACCACACGAAGTGTCGAGATTACCTCACCTGGAAGATGCAAACGAACAGTATCAGTGCCAGGGGCCCCTGGTAACTGTCTGGGGAAGGGCCAATTGGCAGAGTACGGGGAATCTTGTAGTTGGGTGTAGTGCACGCGGAACAGCTGTAGGAAAGGTGCCAAACGATTTTGGCCGATTTTTCGATGCATGCAAGTAGTCAAGACGACACCAATTGACAACGACACCCCAACCGCCAGGGGTTCTCACAACGAAGATCCGCACCTTGAAGCCGGCCGAAAGACCGACGATGTGCAACCTACCGGCCTTTGCTGGTGCACAACCAGAATCCAAGGAGACAGCATATGTCGACATCGACATTGAAGATCTCAAGCAATCCGGTATCCCGGCAGGCTCGGTGCTGAATGCCGCATGGTGCTTGGCATTGTACTTGTACACCGGCCAGGATCACATCTCATTTGCTTCAACGGACGAAGATGGCAGAACTGCCAGCAAGACATACATCGTTGATCATCACCATACTCTCCGCGATGTGGTCAATCAACTGGCCATCACTCCAACTCATAACGGAGTGAACGGCACTCATACCAATGGGATCATTACCAATGGCTCACAAGACGCTTCTTGCAACACGCTGATCAGATTTACATCTCAGTCTTCTCATGCCAACGGATTTGCAAAGACAAATGGAGTCACGACCTCTCATTTTACACTACCAGATGAATATCAGCTAGCGGTGGAAGGATCCTACGATGAAGCTATGGGTCCTGAGTGCCACTTGTTGTTCCGTCTGTCTTTCATGTCCCTAAATGAGGCTCAAAATGTGGCATCCACGTTGAGTCATCTCATACGCGAGCTGGTCCACTCGGGCAACAAACTCATCCGCAACCTACAGCTTAGCCAGAGAGATCAAGACCAGATAGTTCAATGGAACGGCGTTCCACTCTCGTATTCGGAACGCCTTCTCCATGAGGCCATCACCCAAGTTGCGAGAGAGAGACCAGATGCTGCAGCGGTAGACGCATGGGACGGACGCTTGACTTTCAAGGCTTTGGAGGATACGTCCAATCTGCTTGGGAAGCAACTAATTCGACATGGAGTAGTCCCTGGATCTTTGGTGCTTTTGAGTTTCGATAAGTCATTGTGGGCTGTTGTTTCGTGGTTGGCAGTTCTCAAAGCTGGAGCAGCATGCGTCTTTCTGGACCAGAGAGCTCCTGCTAATCGTGTACAACAAATCATCAGAGCAACAGGCGCGACTCATGCACTTGCGGGTGCATCAACAGCAACAACTCTCAGTGAACTCGGCCTGGCAGTCATACAAGTTCCTAGCCACGCCGCCACTTCTAATGGCTTCCACGATGACGGACACATCTGGCCGCGAGTGCATCCGGAGGACACTGCCTTCGTCATTTTCACGTCGGGAAGTACTGGTACCCCGAAAGGAATTGTGCTCTCTCACTCGATCATTTACACGACCGCTTTGGACATCATCAAGAACCTGGAGGTCAAAGGTGACTCAAGAATTCTGCAGTTCTGTTCCTACACCTTCGACATGAGTATCGCCGACATGGCCACTGGACTCCTTGCAGGAGCTTGTATCTGCGTACCTTCCGAATCTGATCGGCTCGATCGCTTGCAGATTTACCTCCAAGATGCACGCACAACATGGGGAATCCTGACGCCGACTGTTGCACGCTTGCTGGACCCGAGGACAACTCCTGCTATGAAGACATTAATATTGGGTGGCGAGTTGGTGAGGGACTCAGATATCCAGCCGTGGGTCGATGCAGGAGTCCGCGTCTACAATGGTTACGGTCCAGCAGAAGCGACATTCTTGGCAACTACAACTCGAGGACCCATCACGGGGCGAGCCAGTTCTATCGGCCACGGCCTGAACATGAGAACTTGGATTGTTGATCCTGGCAGAGATCAGCTTTCACCCATTGGCGCTGTGGGCGAACTTATTGTCGAAGGCCCAGTCCTAGCCATCGGGTATCTAAATGATCCTCGGAAGACAGCGGAAAGCTTCATCTCCAACCCGAATTGGGCACAACTTGACGTACCCGATGCGACAGCTCACAGGAGATTCTACAAGACTGGTGACTTGGCACGCTACTCCACTGACGGATCCTTGGAATGCCTCGGACGCGCAGACACTCAGATCAAGCTCGGGGGTCAACGTGTAGAGCTCTCGGATATTGAGCATCACTTGCGCAGGTATACTTCAATAACGGAATCTGCCGTATTCTTTCCCAGGCATGGACCTCTAGTTGGACGTCTTACGGCAGTTGTTGTCGGAGAGAGCTCGCCTGTTGTTACCAACGGACATGGCAGTTACTTCCGCCCTTGCGAGGTTGACTTCGTATCCAAGGCAAAGTCGCTGCTGCTGCAAGCTGTAGCTCCTTACATGGTACCCTCTCTGTGGCTTCAGACTTCTTCATTGCCATACACGTCTACCGGTAAGCTGGATCGGCCTTCTCTGTTAGACAAGTTGGAAGCCGTTGCGCAGGAAAGCTCTTACCATCTCCTCGGCGAAAACACAATTACAACTACTGCCGATATCACGCCGGCCGAAACGATCTTGCAGCGAGCTTGCAGTGATGTTCTCAACATCCCTCTTCAAAAGGTGAATCTTGACAGGTCCTTCTTCGCCCTCGGCGGAGATTCTATCACCAGCATGCAGGTTATATCCACACTCAGACTAGCCAACAAGTCGTTACGGGTGAAGGACCTCTTGACATCTTCATCTTTGAGAGAGACAGCGTCAAAGATCGGAGTACTCAAAGCACATCAGCCCCTTCCGGTGATTGATGCGGGTCAACGATTTCCATTATCCCCCATTCAACAATTTTTCTTCAGGATCTCGACGTCTCGCAACACGAGAGATCATTTCCATCAAAGTGTTTTCGTCAGAATTGAGCAACCAAGAGAGGCTCAGGTTGTTGAGGAGGCTATTGCCAGCCTCGTAGAGAGACATCCTATGCTGAGGGCCCGATTCGAACAGGCGCCGACAGGGGAGTGGGTTCAATACATCACCGAGAACACTGATCAGTCCTATCAGTTTGTTTATCACCCGGCCACAACCTCCGATCTTCGGGCAAAACTGATGCTTACTTCTCGTGCATCACTATCGGCGGAGAAGGGACCCCTGATCCGCGTCAACATGTTTGAGGACAGTGGTGCTCATTACCTCTTCCTTGTAATTCATCATCTGGTTGTTGATCTTGTGTCTTGGAGAGTCATTCTCGAAGAGCTCGAATCGGCTCTCACAGAAGCCCAACCAACATTCAGCAACTCGTTCCCTTTTCTTGCTTGGGCTAACCAGCAGAGAGACTATGCCAACACATTAACGACCAGTCGCGTGTTGCCAGAGCTTGTGCCTGCCTCTGACTTCTCGTTCTGGGGCATAGAGAGGCAACAAAACATTTACGCCGATGTGCGTGAAAAGCGCTTCTCCATCAGCCCGGATATCACCAATGATGTTTTGGTCAACTGCCACCATGCTCTGCAGACAGAGCCAGTGGACATTCTCATCGCCGCTCTGTTACAGTCCTTTGGCAAAGCCTTCCGTGAAAGGCGCCCTCCAGCAGTGTTCACCGAGGCTCACGGAAGAGAGGCCTGGGATGATCAGATGGACCTCTCGCGGACGATTGGCTGGTTCACAACGGTGTACCCGATTCACGCAAGCGACTTCAAGGACACTATAGACCTAGTCATGAAAGTCAAGGATGCCCGGAAGCAAACCCCCAACAACGGCTTCGACTACTTTAGCGCCTCTTTCCTCACAGCTGAAGGCCACGATGCCTTCCAAAACCACCTCCCAGCGGAAGTTCTGTTTAATTACGAGGGACGATATCAGCTTCTGGAGAAGGAAGGGTCTTTACTCCGACAAGAATCCTGGACAGCTGGCGAAGCATTGGAGGACATCAGCCCGGAGCTTCAGCGCTTTTCCCTCTTTGAGATTGCCGCTAGCGTTCTGGATGACCGCCTCCAGTTCACCTTTGCATGGAATTCCAAGCTGAAGCACCAGAGCCAGATTGAGACGTGGCTTGCTAGCATACCCGCAGCCGTCGAAGAAATTGTCAGCACGCTGAGATCTTCCCTGCGGCAGTTCACTTTGAGTGATCTCGACCAATTCGACCTTGGATATGCCGAGCTGGACAGTTTGAAGCGTACGATGAAACAGATTCCGGGTGTGAGCAGCTTGGAAGATGTTGAAGACGTATATCCTTGCTCGCCAATGCAAGAGTCGTTGGCCTTGAGTCAATCTCGAGTTGAAGGGGTGTATGAAGTTGACATCGTATGGGAGGTAACCTCTTCCACTGGAGCTAAGCTTGATGTGAGCCGTCTCCAACAAGCGTGGAGCAGCCTTGTGTCCCGCCATGCAGCTCTCAGGACGGTCTTCATCGAGACGCCAGCTACGGTCGGCATGCTCGATCAAGTTGTCCTCAGGAAGTATGCTCCTCAATGCAAGCTTCTTCGGGCAAAGAACGCCGATGAAGCCCTCAAGATGCTGGCTGATTACCCAGAAAAGCCAAGAGGATTGAGTCGAACAGAACCTCTTCACAGGCTACTTATATGCTCTGCCGACGACGGGTGCTCATTCGTGAGATTCGAGATCAATCATATCGTCTTTGACGGCATGTCTATTGCTCCTTTACTACGTGACCTGTC